AACTTTACGTGTTCATTGTTTGCCTTTAAAAGGGCATAATATGCTGATTTTCAGGATAATTTTTGTATTCTGTGTCTCTACTGTGACATGTTTACATGCTTTAATGTTCAAAAAGCTCTTTATTTTTCTCATACTGCCTGTGTTGCAGCACCTCTTTTCACCCTCTGTCTGAAAGCCCAGTCTGCTCTGATTGGTTAGCTGGCCGGCTCTGTTGTGATTGGTCAACCGCTAAGAGATGTCCCGCCCCTTAGCCTGTCACGTACAAGTGTTGAGCGCTAACCAATGAATAGAATCTTGAGTGTTACATAGGGATGTCACTATGTTACTGAAGTAAACAAAGTGGCATCACTGTCTGATTCCCTCCTAATCCTGTTGACAGACAGACGGAAAAACCAAGCCAAAACATAACCTAATGTTATAATTCATACAAAATGTAAGTATTAAACAGGAAGAAGACCTCCAAAACAAGCAGAATAAAGAATAATAAAGTATAAATCTGAATTAAGGCCTTTGTTATGCCATTTTCTATTACACAAGCATAAACTAAGTGACAGGGTCTGAAGCTGTGTTCAGTGCGCTCTCTCACCCACTCAGATCATTCAAAACGTACTGAGGAGGTCTACTGATCTGATTAATAAAAATCCTCTGTCACATAATAAAGCACCTGTTGCCTTATTATGTGACAGAAAGAGTTGAAACTCCAGGTGCTGCTTTCTTAGGGATTTTAGTGAGATAGGTAGAGAAAATGCTTTATTGGATATCATTTGCGCTTTTGCTAAAACAGGTTGTATCCTTGTAGGTAGAATGCATTCTGGTGTAGCTTATTGGAGAAAATGTTTATTTTGATAATCAACCAGTGATACAAGCATTATTGTGTATAAGAAGTATGTTTACAATGCATTATAAGGCATCATAGGAAGCGTAACCTACATTATTGAATAATTGACATCCATATCCACACATGTATACTGTACCTGGTCACCCATGTCCAGCTGGTATTCAAAGCAGAAGGGGTCGTTGTCGGCTCTACTGTGGGGCAGACCCCATGTCACCAATAGACCTCCATCTTTGATTGATGCAGAGATGTTTTGGGGTGGAGACAGAACCTCTGTGGCAGACACAACCACAACATTAGTAAAATCATTATAAAAAATGCAGGCGGAACTGCGGATTTCTGCTAGCAGCAACTAAGCTTACAACCATATGTTACTAGCCAGTGAAAAAAATCAACTATAGCTTTCCCCTCTCTTTTTATATGGTAACAATTGTTTTATTATTTTGACGTAGGACACCAAAATTCCTGTCACTCCATTATCAAGTTTATTTCATCGTGATATTGACCTATTGGTTACCTTTTGACCCCAAGAAGTGAGATAAACCTACCCTGTTTCCCCTACTCAAGAGCTCAATGAGAGTTTGTCTTGTATTACCTAGCATGTTGAGGTCGTATTTGGAGGCGTAGACTGTCCACTTGTCGTACAGGGTGATGTTGAAGTGTAGGATTAAAAGTGACATCTTGTGATCATGCAGAGCCAAAGACCTTGATCCGACTTTCTCCTCAGACGACAGGTCAGGAAACTGAACTGATTTGTCACCATCACAGATGCTGCATGAAAACAGAGGGAAAGAGAATGTAAGGGATGTAAGTATGCCTTTCATTATTCATAAATACTCTCTATGCCACATGTGTAATGTATCATTTTTTTTAAATACCTGATGTTGACAAAGAGCTGAGTATCCTGCTGTAAGGTGTTAAATGACCAGGAGCAGTTGAGTATATTTGTTGGGTAAAGGAGGCAGTAAACCTTCTCATATATATTGTCCATCTCTACATGATGCCCCTGCACTGAAGAACTCTGTACATCGATCTGAAAAAGTACCACAAACAGCAAGAACAGAATATAGAAATCAGAAAATACATCTGCATTAAAGTGGGTGGCTTTATGTGACTGTGTGACCTTTGGACAATATAAAAAACATTGATTCTCACGTCATCAGCAGCCATTGTATCCTGACAGACATCTGAAATGTCAGCTTCAGCCTCTATTAAAGGAGTAAATACATTTGGAGTTTTAGCACGGGGGAAACTAAAGGCAACGGATGGTCAAGTTATAACTTTAAAGACCCTCACATATAAGTGGTCCAATGTAAGCATCAATGCATTTCCATTCAGATTATACAAAATATGAAAGCATATTTTCTTCAAAGTACACCATGCTTAATTAATCCACATTTTTGGGTATTTTCCGTGATTTAGGAAGAATTAGAGGAAGCCAATAACTGTGATTACTGTATACAAGGAAAGATGACTTCGGCACCACCCTCATGAAGCAAGATAACCAACTAACTGTGTGTGTGTGTGTGTGTGTGTGTGTGTGTGTGTGTGTGTGTGTGTGTGTGTGTGTGTGTGTGTGTGTGTGTGTGTGTGTTCGTCAAGCGTGCGTGCGTGTTACCTACCAATTTGTAAGGCAAACAAAACCAGCAAACTGGACCAAAGTATTGGATGTGCAGGAAACAGCTTCATAGCATACCTAAGGGTTTCAGACAAACAGACACACACACAAACAGAAAAAAATTACAGCATAATCCTGAGCGTACAGTGCCTGTTTATACTTCCCCTTTTTAAGTGCTTACATTTAGTGACTGACAGTAAGACATCTTTATGCCGTGTAATCAAATTGAAAGAAACAGCTTTCTTCATATGAATCTTAATATTTAAATTACATTTCTACTGCCGACAAAAGCTTTTACATTTTCCACATGAAAGAAAACTTTATCAATGCTTTGTTTTTTTTTCACCCTGCTAAACTTTTCTCTCTGAAAAGTGATAAACCATAGACTGCAAAGGGAAAACCCATGCTTAGCTATTTTAGGTGTAAGCTTTCTTGAATACAATTTTAAACAATCCATCTACAGTACAATGTGGTAAATAGTAGTAATAGGAAACCGTTACCTCCCGCGGTCCCTCCACTCAGTGCTCTCGATGACTGAAGATAGTGAAACATTTCTGTGGAAAGAAGAAGCATGACGTCACACACTTTACAAGGCTTCAGGAAACATTAGGCTTCTTCCTGTTATTTAATTTGTAATTTTTTTGATAAATACACTGCAAAATCAAAACATGTCTTAGCTTTTAAAAAATGCAGTAAAGACAAAGACTATAGAGTAAGACTAAGACAATGGAAAATTAATTAAATGTGTTCATTTTCTAAAAAGAAATCGAGAAGGTCGCTCGCGACTTGTGCCATGATATTTCCAAATAATTTTACACATTTGTTGAACTGGACACTAGTACATTGACATTCATTCAACCTGTAATTTAATTTAAGAGGTTTCTCAAGTTATTTGGATATTGTTCTTGCCTTGAAAACATATTACTAATTAATCGCTAATTTAGAAACTGAAAACGTCAAAAATGACACTAAAATTAAAACAATTATGAGAAATTAGTATTCCTAAATTAAGTATATATTTCCTGGAAGTACGTTATTTACTAGACACAGCTATAAAAGTATAATACAGAATTATGTATTCCTAAATAAAACAGCAAAAGCGTAGTTCCCTGACCGGGAATCGAACCCGGGCCGCGGCGGTGAGAGCGCCGAATCCTAACCACTAGACCACCAGGGAAGGTTGACTATTTTGCAGAATAATAACAATTTGTAAGTGACTAGAACCGTTTTCAGCCCTCGAAACACGAAATTAGCTTTGTCACATGTCATGGTCATTTCCACTGATCATAATGCCATTGTTGTGGTCTACTAGAATAGATTTATACTGTGCAATTTTCCAAACTCACATTGGTTTTGCATACAGCATCTCTGTAAAGTACGTGTATTCACTCTCTCCACTAAACGGCTCGCTGCAGCTCTTGCCCCCCCCCTCCCTGTCAGCCCAGTGTGCTCCGATTGGTCGGGACCAGTCGCGACGTTGTGAATCGCGCTAAGCTCCGTGGAGGTGTGATTTCCTTGTTTAGCGATACACAGCGAAACACAGCCAAACTCACCCTGAGCACACACAAAGTCACAGCCGAAGTAAAAACAATAAGTGTGGCTTGATATTGAGTAAGAAAAAGGTTGATAAACGCTGTGAGAATGGGTCTGCAGAGAGAATTTCGCCGTGATCCCAACTGTCTGTACCATAGCACCTCCAAGGCGCTAAAAATAAAACTTCAAACATCGCAAAATAAACTGGTCAGACTACTGCTTGACCTTTCATCTAGAACCCACCTCACCTCTGCCCACTTTGACAACCTAGGATGGCTTAGAGTAGACGACAGAGTACAGCTACTTGCAATGGGCCTGGTCTACAAGATCCACTACACCTCTATGGTACCCATGTACATGTCAAAATTCTTCCCAAAGGTCAAGGAATACCATGATCATAACACCAGAGGGAGCTCCACAAATCATGTGAAACCCAGATTTGGTCTGCATCCCCTTAACAATTGTATGTTTTGAGCTGTACTGTACTGTACCCCAATATACAAGTTGTTAATACACTTTTCAATCAATCAATCAATCAATCAATCAATCAATCAATCAATCAATCAATCAATCAATCAATCTGTTATCAGCCTGCAGCCAGGGAGGAGAGATCAGCAGAGCTGCATGCACTGAGTGTGTGAGGAAGTCCGTGGATTGGTCAATTTGGACCAATCAGCGGGGGCTTAACGTAACGGCTCCGCGGGCGTAACGTAACGGCTCCACGGATTGGTCCATTTCGTTCCGGGGACGACATGACATCATGATGTCCCCGGAACAATCAAATGGACAGTGACGTATCTCCAACGAGGCGTTTTGAGGAGGTATCTGTGTTAGAGTTTTACTCGCTACAGGGTGTACTTTGAGGGTTTTGACTCTGCACACCGTTTACATGCATAAAAACCTTCATAACACACAAGGGGACGGGTAATAACCGGAAAAGCATGACATGTCACCTTTAATACTTTGTTTTTTTGCTAAGGAAAGCCCCATGGGGCGGAGGATATAAAAGCATCACTAACTAACTGATCGGCTATTGTCACTACCTCTCTATCACGGCACACAGTACTGATAATCTTCCACTAGATGGTGGGCTAGCACCACACACACATGCATGTCCATTGTCTGCACATCCTATTCTAGCCTGCTTACCTAGAAGACATGGGAAATATAAAGGATTTCCGAGTTTTGAAAACGAAAGCAGACCTGCTACTTTTCTCACGGGCACGACGAAGAGACACGGTACAGTGCACTGCAACATGTTGTTCCTTTGTTCGATGTAGGTCGACTTTGATAAAGTGGCTAACTTTAGCAACGTCACTTAATGCCATTATCGTAGGAATTATGTCTAAAACGTGGCTGATGTAGCCAGGTTAGCATGGATTAAATCTAGATAGTTAAACTACATTTGAAAGCGATATCGATTCATTTTGAAGGGTTTTGCTGCTATTATTGTTGCTTTCAACTCATGAGTACATTAAAAATGATACATTTTATTTTTGGTACCAGATTATGATTTAAAAAAATGGACCAATATATTTACTAAACGTGTTGTTTTTCTCCCTGTCAGATTCAGCATGGCAGCCAACGACATTTTGAGAAGTAATAAGACATCCATTCTGGAAACGTTGTGTGCAGACTACAGGCTAATCCTCAACAAAGCTGATCAGAAGAAGTTGATAACTCGACGTGAGTACACAAATTTGAAAAGCATCAACAAACTAGATGAAGAGGGCCACGTTGTGGAGTTGGTGGATAAGATCATGAACAAAGGAGAGGAGGCCTGCTTAGCCTTCCTGAACCTCCTGCAAACTGATGAGGATATCCAGAATACTTACCCTGAGCTGAAGAACATACTGAATAACGAACACTGCCTCTTACCATACCCGGTTCAGGCTTGTTCAGTTGACAACACCGGTACGTTAACATGCATACAAATGACTAATATGCATGCCAAATGTGCGTTACTGTGAGGTTGACCATTTAAAATGTTACGTTTGTAAAGTGTCCTTTTGTTTCCCTCTTATTCCCGCAGATAATCAGCCACAAAGGCGAAAGGAGGTGAGATAACCTAATATTGAAAAAGCACACTTAATGTTAAAATGCTTGCGTCAGGGTTTTTAGTTGGCCTTTGTAAAAAAAAAAGACACAATTGACATACTTATTATCCTGTATTAACATCTACTCATAATAGCTTTGTAATACTGTTAAGGTAAGATTCAAACTAGTTAAGAATAGTAAAGTTAAAAAGTAAAGTTAAAATGGGACTAGATATCTTCTTACATTTCTGACATGGTAATATTGTGTAAGTGTCATTTCCATGTTAATTACCGAATTTACATACATTTTTCTTTCTGTTCTATTATGGATCTTATAGTGCTGCATATAGATGTAAAAATCTTTCATAAGTGGATTCAAGCACCAACATTTTCTTGTTCGTCCCCATGGAGCAATTTATTAAACAAAAACAAATCCTCAACCACTTACATTTTGAAAAAAATGCGACCAATTTCCAAGATGACCGTGATTTCCATCCAAGTAAACAGTATTTTAACATTTTCACCACTCGATCAAATTCTGCGATTTTGGTTTTGAATTACAGCCAAATTCACTATTTAGAAAATTCTTCAGAACTATTTTCAGTCCTTTTAAACACAGAATGTTACAATGTGGGACTTATTAGAAAGCATTTGAGAAACTAAACCACACTTATACTAATAAGAGTCTTCTATGTTAGCAGCATTAGCTTCCAACACTAAACACCATGATGTCACCAGTGTATCTCTACAGTACTACATTTCTACACCCCAAAATACCCCCACCGCATCAACTGCATTGCATATTGGCTACCCAGTTTTCTATTGGCAGATTATTTGGATGTTATGGCTTAGACAACTTCTGAGTCATTCCTGACCTCTGAATTTTGTTTCTACGTTGTTATTAAATTGTATGATTCGACGTGAAAAGTAATTTTATGGCAAAAAAATGACATTTCCAAGCCATCATTGGTGACCATCTTGAAAATTGTCGCCATCTTTTGAGCGGGAGGATTTTTGAGTGGCAAGTGGGCTTTTTCAAAAGAGTAAACTCAAAGGAGTTTGTTTGTTTTGAGTACTTGTATCCACTTTTGGACTATTTATTAAAATATTTAATGATCTGCAGCACTATTTAGCCATTATATCCACATAGCTATTATTATTCATCAAAAACCTTAATGTGTAAATATATTTACATACATAGCCCAGCCCTAATCCATTCCAGTTAGTTTCATCATTTTGTGTTTGTGTGAAATTGTTTCTGTTGTTTTCAGGACGGGCAGTATGAGTTGAACAGCCAGCCCACCGGCCTCTGCCTGATCATAAACAACGTACATTTCAGGGATGGTGGAGTGAGACATGGAACCGATAAAGATGCTGGTATGTTACAGAGTAGACAGATTTACGTTATCATCCCGGTTTTGCCTGTTGAAGCCTAACTAGGTTTTATTTCACTGCAGAAAGCTTGGCAAAGGTGTTCAGCTGGCTGAGGTTCAGAGTGCTGATGTGTGAAGACCAAACCAAGGACCAGATGGAGCGAGCGCTGGTATGCTTTGCTTCTCAGTGCAACTTCTCTCAGCTGCAGGAGTTCAATGTCAAGGAGTGGACTTGCAGCGGATTCACCAATCTTCAAGAGGCTCCTCGGCATGGCGATGCCTTCATCTGCTGTGTTCTGAGTCACGGAAACAAGGGTGTCGTATTGGGGATTGATGGGCAGCCCCTCCCTATCAAACAAATAACGACAACCTTCATGGCAACTCCTCAATCTCCCCTCACTGCCAAGCCCAAAGTGTTCCTGATCCAGGCCTGCCAGGGACGGCAGATACATCCTGGGGTGTTATTAAAAGGTCTGCAGGCTGATGACTCTCACTCGACATCCATCCCTCAGGAAGCAGATTTTCTAGTTCATAGTGCCACTGTTGAAGATTATAATGCTATACGAAGCAAAACGGAGGGGAGCTGGTTCATCCAATCTGTCTGTAACCAGCTAAAAGTAGGCTGTCTGAGGTAAATCTCAAACTCAACATTAATTATATAGTTATTGAAATATCCCATTGTAGATCTAAATCTGATGATAAGATAGTTACCATGTATATTTTACACTTGACTATGTTACCATTATGTGATAGTAACATGTTTTTCTACACCTCATATTTTTTTTAGGAACGAAGAACTTGAAATTATCCTCCGTCGGGTGAACAATGAAGTAGCCGGGAAAGAGGGCGGTGCGATGCCTAGTGCAGTAAAGCAGATGCCCGAAATTAGGCACACCCTGAGGAAGGGTCTTGTGTTGACTCCAAATCGCAACTGAAGCTTCATCGCCAAAAATAATGCAAACACACTATACACAATGAATGAATGAAAACTTTATTACAGAGTCAGGGTCCAGATAAAAGACAATACATTACATAGATAAAATACAAGGCATTACACATAATAAATTACATACACAGCATAAAAAAAAAATTTAAATCAGGAAATGTAATACATTTATCCTCTTTGGTTCTAAAGATCATGACAGCACTCTTACTGGCGTTGTATTTGATGTCATGTTCCACACCATACACAATGTCTTAGTGTGGCGTTTTCTTAAAATGCATTCTATCTTTTTTATTTTTCTTAATCTCTATTTTTCTAATCATCACTTTGAATAATTGTATTTTATATTGTCACAGATTTTGGTTGCAGAATAAATCTGTTTTTATACCCAAAGAATGATGATCACTGGTTGGTCCATGTTTTGGTAACGGGGGTATGGGGGGTGCACATAAGATTTCTCAAGTTATTATTTTTCACTGGAACTTTCTACAAACAGAATCCCTAAATGCCGGACTCTGATGACATTTGCACACCTAAAAAACAGGATAATAATGAGAAACTATAATTTTACTCCATCCTCAACACAAGTATGCATAAATCTGAAAGTGTTCATAAAGTACCTTTAAAACAAAAATCTATTTACTATTATGTCTTAGGTAAATAAATTCAAACATGACCAGTAGCCTACAAAATTAGTACATTTATATGAAAACCGTTAAGTAACTGAGTGATGAGGTGAAAATCAATTAGTCCTTAAATCAATTACCATTATTTTTAAAGTTTCCTGGACACATGGAGGATTTTAGAACGGATACAACCAACACATGGATGAATAAATAGGATTTCTGTGCAGGGGCGTTTTTTCTCCAAAATAAAAGTTTTTAATATTACGATCTACTGTATTGGCTTTACTGGTGCGATAGGCAGAATGCAGAGTAACATTAGTTCCTAATGTTACTCTGCATTCTGCAAGGGTCTGCAGTCAGACCCCTTTCAGCGATACACCGCCAATGGCTGGCTAAAGCGTGCATGGAAAACAATAGCACCTGTGAGGCTAAAAATCACAAAAAACCATATACCAGTGGTTCTCAACTGGTGGGTCGCGACCCAAAAGTGGGTCGCGGACCCGTTTGGAGTGGGTCGCGGATGTGTGAGTGAAGGAAAAAGTCAAACTTATGGAAGCCCATTTCTGCCACTTGAAAAAAATAAAATCCCCATGAAAAGTCATAATAATGAGATAGAAAGTCATAATAATGAGATAAAAAGTCATAATTATGAGATAAGAAAGTCAAAATAATGAGATAGAAAGTCATAATTATGAGATAAGAAGTGTGCATGCGCAGCAGTGGCGCTGTCTTCAAAGGTCCCTTCATCACCTTGCTGCTCTCCACCATGCAAACGGCATCTAGTCCTAAATAAGGTAACTATTACAGGTGACTTTTGTAAATGTTAGATGTTACATATAGCCTATATTGCAGCTAAACTACAACAATGCAGTTCATAGCTTTGACATTACCTGTTATGAACTATAATATATATGCCTATAGTTTTGTGGTAACGTTCACGCCACTAATGACAATAGTGTAGGCATACTGCTGCTGTGAGTTGCTAGCCTAACTCTAACCCGTGAACGTTACCACAAAACTATAGGCATATATATTATAGTATATATTATATTATATATATATTATATATAAAAAGTGTATCTTACAGTTCCTTTGTGAGAGAATTACACACAAATCTGCCAAGTGTCAGTGAAAATTGTTAAAATCACAAACTTACCTTTTAGAGAAATAGTCTTTAAGAAAAAATCTAATCAGACAATGTACTTCATTTTCTAGTTTTAAGGTTTTGCATACCTCAAAGTGTGTTTAAAAGTATCTTGGCAAGAGAAAAAAAGCCAAAATCTGCATATGCCATTAAAATAAAACGAGTTCCTTATTTGTGTTGGGGGTTAGCATCAGACCTGTTGAAGGGGGGCGTTACAGGGGGACGAGTCTGTCTGGCTCTCTGAGGGATGGTGTGTGAGAGGATCACTGAAGATCAAACTTAGATCAGCACTTGTCGCAGAAGGTATGCTGTGTGTAAACTCCAGAGAGGGGAGGTTTTGGTACACTGATGGCTGGCTTACACTGCAAACTTCATCACCTTTTGACAAGAGAGTAAGTATATAAAACGTTATTTTGGATATTTTACACATCAGCAAAAAAAATAAAAATAAGCTAGATATACAAACACATACAGTTTTAAATACATATATACTCACTTTCCACAGGGAATGAATCATATGGGGTTCCACCAAAATAGTTAATCCTCTCTAATATTCCAATTCGTATTTGGTTCAGACTTTCCTGAACTGAGACACACACAAAACAAAAACAAAAAAGATTTGATTAAAAATCTACACCACATTATGTGTACATAGAGGGGTACTTTTCCCAAAGATTCTAAATCATTACGAGCCATAGTGCTGTTACAAAATAAAATACAACAGATGCACAGAGGTTGTTTAACACACACCAAGCAGCATTAAATAATTACATGATATTATAAAATAAAAAGTACTTACCAGAGTTTTTCAAGATCAGATACAGGTCAAGAAAATGCATAGAGGAGATAGCCCTCTCACTCTTCTTAGAATGATCCTGTGCAATTTTTAAAGTTGAACTCCTATCCCCTTATAAACCAAAATAACAATAGCCCTTAATTGACACTAATCATTTAAAAAAAACTTACATCTAATTTAGAGAGGACAACTAAAAGTGTAAGGTGACTGTTTTAAACTAATTCCACCACATATCTTATTTTAACCTTATAATGTATTTACTTTAAAGAGTCCTCTCCTGCTGATATTCAGGTATGTGTCTGCATATGGTATCTCTGCTTTAAAGAGTCCTTTGTCCAGGTAATTAACGATGCTTCTTTTGTCCCCCCACAGAGTGAAACTCTGCCCTTGCATTGATCTTCAGTAGACAAAGCCTTGTATGTTTGTAAATGAATATTTTAATTTACCCTCATACTGTTGATTCTATGTATTTTAAGTGTTTACAGCTTTTCTTTGTTCACAAGCCCTACAACTAAAGAGAACATCCTTAGTTATCACTATTAAAACCTAAATAAGATCTTTTTTAAATTAATATGAATACCCTCTTTGCAAACAGAGACTTCCTTGTAGTTAACAGTTTCACAAAAACTTGAAAAGAAACATCCTTAGCAAGCACAAATCATTTAAAACAAACCCTGAATCAAATTTAGAGATGACAATAACGTTTTTAGGTGTCTTAGTGAGTGAAAATTAATGGCTGTTTTATTTAGATTGAGCATATTTCTTTTTTTAAAACTAACTCCATCCCCTCGCTTCTCACCTCACAGAGAGTGTCTTAATCAACATATAGATTAACATCCAAGGCTTATCTCAACCCTCACATCAAAGGCCAACTCCAATGTGTGTGTGTGTGTGTGTGTGTGTGTGTGTGTGTGTGTGTGTGTGTGTGTGTGTGTGTGTGTGTGTGTGTGTGTGTGTGTGTGTGTGTGTGTGTGTGTGTGTGTGTGTGTGTGTGTGATAATTGTACTTAAAGGTGGGGTAGGTCATTTTGGAGAAACCAGCTCGAGTGAGCTAGAATTTGAAAGTACACAACCGGAAAACATCTACCACTTCCTTACAGAGCCCCTCCTCAAACACACATGAACGCGCACATGACCAATGAGGGCACGAGATAAGTTTGTGCACAGATCTTCGGCTGGAGGCGTTTGAACCCGGCACAGATACTGCATCCGTTTTCTTGATTGGCGCTCCGGACGGATGGCGGTAAGTTGTCACAGGCGTCTCGCTGATTAAACCCATATCGATGCGTCTCTTGGCCATTTTTCTTTTTTTGAAAGGTGACTTGATGAGTGGAAATGACTGGCTTTTTATTTAGTCTGCATGGATTTATTTTTTCACCTAATTCCACCCCCCACTATCTTCTGGCCTCATATCGTGTGACAGGAAGGGGTGGAGAAAGGGGGAGAGGCCAGGGCTGTGAGGGGGCGGGGGCTAGACAGTCTCACGCATAACTTCAAAGAGACACCTAGATTAACATCAGAGGCTTATAACACACCGGTGTGAAATCACACCTGCCTGTTATAACACGTCAACACTCACATCAAAGGACAGACATCAAAGGCTAATTAGATTAGACAACAAAGGGCTGTGAGGGGACAGGGGCCAGACAGTCTCACGCATAACTTCAAAGAGACTGCCTTAATCAACACCTAGATTAACATCAGAGGCTTATAACACACCGGTGTGAAATCACACCTACCTGTTATAACACCTCAACCCTCACATCAAAGGATTAGACAACAAAGGCGCTACACAGGGGGGCATTTCACACCTGTGATGACACCTCACCCCTCACATCAAAGGATCTCGAATAAAGGGAGGCGGGACTTAGCTCATTAGCATAATTGTATCCCTCACATCAAAGGATCGCGAACAAAGGGAGGCGGGACTTAGCTCATTAGCATAATTGGGGGCGGGCCCATCTGTCACTTTTCATGCATACTAATGTGATTGAAACAGTATGTGTAATACTACTTGTACTGTATCATATTATTGATTGATTATTGCCACCCCCCACTTTGAGAAACACTGCAGTAATGTGAGGTCGCATTCACACCTAATAGTCCGTGTTCAGGTGCGCACCAGACGACAGTTTATTACAATGTTTCATTTTTCAGAAAGTTCGGTTTGTGTTCACACGGGCAAAACTCAAACGGACTATAAACTTTAAACACAAGTCATGTGCACGGAAATACTGTTCAACCATTCAAGACATTAAGGGGGTAAAACCGCAAAGCGCAAATCCCTGCCATTTCTACCGCAGCCTCCGCCTTGGAGCATCGGCAGGTGACATGCTGCTGTTAATCTGAAGATCAACAGACTCTAGCGGCCTGCGCATATGATTATATAATCAAACAAAGTCCGTTAAAAAACATTATAACACACATAATGAGACATTCTGCAGTAAGCAGGGGCGTTTCACCGACAGGTGGCTCTTACTTTTATGTATAGTTGACGGAGCATTTTCACTTTACACGACACTGTTCAACACTTAATTCTGCTTCACTCTTTAACTAAACAACAGCGGATGTCTTGAAAGACTCTTTCGCTAAAGATTTTGAAGACATCCGCGTTCTTGTGACTCGTAAATACTAGGCTTCCTATCATTTGGTGCGGACTGCGTTCACACCAGAGATGAACCCCTCCAGAGTTCACTTGCAAGCGGTCCGAGACCACCTCTTTTAGGCGGACCAGCATCCGGTTGTTTAGTTCACTTCAGAGGTCTCGGGCTGCGTTCACACCGACCCAAACGAACCGCACCAAGCGGCTAAACGCACCAGGGTTCGATTCAACTGGACTATATGTGTATAAGGCTGAAAAATAAATACTGAAACAAAGAACTGTAAATCAAGTTGCTGAATTAAATACCTGTAGCCTAAATAAACAAATACCAAAATACTATATTTTATGTTTATTTTATCCCGCGTTTATTGTGCCCTTTTCATAAAATAACTGGCCCCAGCCTGGCCCCCCCAGTAAAATTGGTCTAGAACCGCCACTGCTTGTGTGTGCACTTGCTCTGAAGAGAATTCGTTTGCACAATATTCCCCCGTTATTACGGTACTGTGGCGTTGTTGCCGTGACAACTAAAATGTGTTAGTCCTCTCTTCCGTGTATCGGGAACAAAAGCTGCACATAACTAACATTAAAAAGACTGTGTGATAAAAACTACGAAAAACAACCAGTCTGTCTTTCATAAGTGAGTCTTACAACGCTGTTCAAGCTACGGTGACACTTTTTTGGTTTTTACTACCGTTAGTAGGCTATCTGACATTGAATACAAACAGCGTTAAAGATGGAAGCCCCACTGGAAGACGAGCCTCTCGCCGGAGCCTTAGCGAGGATCGAGGGATACAAGCTAGCAGCCTCTGACTCAGCTCTCACCTTCCTGTCCAGCATCGGTGAGTTTAATGTCGTGTGCGTCAACTTAGTATGCACCACCTGATTTTGGCACCACCTCAGAATTGCCAATTATCTCAAAAGAGAAATACGCCATTAATCAGAGGTGTAATGTAACATGTACTCAAGTACTGTAGCCTACTTCAGTAACAAAATATGGTAGCCTACTGGTACTTTACTAGGGTACTTTTACATTATATTATAGGCCTACTACTTTGTACTTTTACTCTACTACATTTGGTGGGTTAATGGAAATTTAATTGGCAGCAATTTTGCTCAGCAGATTTTTGTTCAAAAATAGTTCACAGTTCCAGCTTACTCAATGTAAAGAGTTGCTGAGTCCTTTTACTCCTTTTACTTTGAGTACATTTTCCTGATTGCACTTAAATACTTTATATATTATTAAATATTCCTGATGCAGGACTTTTACTTGAAATTGAGTAGTCACAGTGTGGTGTTAGTATACTTTTTCTAAATCGGAATACTTCTTCCGCCTCAGCTCGAGACATATTTCAAACTGTCCACTGGTCTCATGTTAAAACTTAAATCTCCCCCACTTCTCTCAGAGCCTGCAGAGCTGCTGAAGTGTGTGTTCCCAGACTCTCTGGTGACTGTGTCGGAGAGCGGCAGAGACCTGGGGAAGTTCAGTGTGACGGTGGAGTTTGCCCGTAGACACCATCAGCCCTGTGTGCTTCTGCATGCTCAGAGCCAGGGAGCCATCGATGACTCCCCCTGTGGCACAACAGTGACAGGTGAGGTCGGGCAGAGGTGGACATCCGTTGTCTTGTCTTTTTACAGATGTGTCAGTATACCTTAATTGAATGTCCGTCGTCCTGTCTGTTTAAGCCTACCTAACCACAGACCTGGAGGTGCTGGAGGAAGATTTCCATGAGTACATTAAGGTGGGTCATTGCACATTTATTTTTATTTTAACACACATAGAAGTGAGAACTCTGTACCATGGTGCTTGACTGCCTTAACTCTCTGTCTGTTTTTATTTTTTAAAACATTGAACTCCGTTTCCAGCTGGAGGACCACAGTTTGGACAGGAGGTGTCACATGGTGCTACATGACGGACAGATGGTGATTGATAAAGTTACCACTGTAGGAGGGGTGAGTAAAACTATAGAGTAGAAATAAAATGTCCATAACGTTGATTAAACAACACATTATTAGGGTTCAATCATCCCTCATGCCATTACTGTAAAGTGTCATTATTTTGTGTGTGTGTGTGTGTCCAGGAGACGACAAAGGAGAGCATTTGTTACCCCATGTCTGCCCTTAGAGGGCTGGTTACAGAGGGGTCCAACTTTCTGCTGATGCGCCTGATCGCTCTTAGGAAGAGGGTGCCAGAAAACATGACCTTCATCTCCTTCAACCATGGTCTACACATCATCCACAACACTTTTGTAAGTTGTTATGCCTGTAAGACATCTTTGTCATTTTCATTGCTCTACTCAGGCTTTGTTCTCAAGGAGAACGTGTGTTGCTAACTGTCAAAAAACACAAATACATTTAGGAGCACTGTTAAAAAATGTAAAGTAACACAGTGTATTAATAAACTACATGTTGCATATGTTTATGTTGTGTGTGTGTGTGTCATTGGACATTTAATAACTAAAAGGGACACTAAAAAGTGATGCACACAGCTGGGACCGTAGCATTTTCATAATATGACTCAAACTGTTTCTCTGACTTCAGAGCAAGCTGGGTCTGAAGCAGCTGGAGGTTGGGGGTGAGACTGTGGAGGTATTTGGGCTGGAGAGGATCGTTGACTCTGTGGAGGACAGCCCCTCTACCTGGCAGTGCTACTTCCTGGCTGACGGGTAAGCTCAAAGACTACAGGTCCCAATACCCAACACTGTGGATCAAAGAGGGTACTACAGTTCATTTGACACTGTTAGTCAGTCTGCTCTGATTGGTTAGGCCGGCTCTGTTTTGATTGGTCAACTGCTTAGAGAGGACCCGCCCCTTAGCCTATCACGTACAATGTGTTGGAGTGCTAGCCAATGGAAGTGTGAATGTTACATGGTGATGTCATCATGTTACGGAAGTAAACAAAGGTGTCTAATCGAGGCGTTCCGGGGGGGGGAGAGAGAAACTCTGCAAACCATTTACATGCACAAACAAAATCTAACTACAGACACTAAAAACACTGCTGGAAAGAGAGAAGCCCAAAAAGCAAAATAGGGTCTTCAAATAACTATGATGACTTGATTAATTAAATAAAAAATGTTTTAGTGTGATTTGCATGTCGGAAATGAAAAACAAAAGGCAATTGCAATCAATCATGTTTGTGATTTGGCTACCAGTGATGCATATATGGTGTAATTAAAAGTGCATTGAATTGTATGTGACTTTTAACCAACAAGCATAAATTAAAAAACGTGCAGGAAAGAGAAAACACATTCATGTTTTTTTAGTTGTATTTCACGTGTGTGTGTGTGTGTGTGTGTGTGTGTGTGTGTGTGTGTGTGTGTGTGTGTGTGTGTGTGTGTGTGTGTGTGTGTGTGTGTGTGTGTGTGTGTGTGTGTGTGTATGGCGTATTGAGCAGTAATCAGTCAAATACACAGCATCCTCGACGCGTGCATGCGTTTATTCTCTGTAACTCACTTTGTTAAAGAAGAAAAAATGAATATGACTTCATAAATGATTTGTTTGTTGAACAGTTTATTTTCTCTGATCAGGCACTTGGCCAGCAGATTGCAGGTAGGATCACCGGTGACCATGAAGCTTCTTCAGCTGCCATCACATATAGAGAAAGGTATTCACTTTAACACACACGTTACACTATTCTCCAAAGAAACAGAGTAACGTGTAGTAAGTGTGTGTGTGTGTGTGTGTGTGTGTGTGTGTGTGTGTGTGTGTGTGTGTGTGTGTGTGTGTGTGTGTGTGTGTGTGTGTGTGTGTGTGTGTGTGTGTGTGTGTGTGTGTGTGTGTGTGTGTGTGTGTGTGTGTGTGTGTGTGTGTGTGTGTGTGTGTGTGTGTGTGTGTGTGTGTGTGTGTGGTGTGTGTGTGTGTGGTGTGTGTGTGTGTGTGTGTGTGTGTGTGTGTGTGTGTGTGTGTGTGTGTGTGTTAGGTTTTGCGAAGATTCCTCTGGTTTGGGAAGAAGACATGCAGATGTGCTCCAAGTTCTTGGACAGAAAGGTAACCAATAGTGTTCTCATGTAGTACATTTATTTAACGCTAATAGCTAAATTATTCTGTTTCCTCCCATACATCTTATCCTATATGTATATATATGTTATCATCATCTTACCCATATATCCTATGACTGAAGCAGAGTATAACTGTGTGTTAATGTCTCAATTGGGCAGGAGGAGCTGAAGGCTGACCATGCCTCATACTTGAGACAGCATCCAGAGATCAGAGCCCTCATATCTGACTTCCTGCAGTTTTTGCTGCTGAGGAAACCAGATGACATCTTCCAGTTTGCCAGAGATTACTTCATCCCTTTTGCCTCCCGTCGTCCTCCAAAACCAAGCCTGGAAACCCCCTAACTCAGAAAGAAAAGCCAGGGGCTCACATAAAAACAGCCTTTTTATAGCTTTTAAATCAATGATGAATTTTAAAGTTGTCTGTCTTGCAATTGTTTCCCTGAATAGTAGTGTTGCTTTCTGATAGTGCTTTAAAAAGGTTAAGCGATGTGAATAAAGTGACATGGTTCAAATAGTATTTGTGCTTTTGTGTTCGTTCCCTGACCTACTTAGGTGAAGCAGTAAAGGCATGTCTGAGCAATGTTTGCTGCCAAACAAGAGTTTTCAAAATAAAAGAGTAACAAAAATTACATAATAAAAATTCGTCTTATAACCTTCTCCAAATAGTAAAGAAGAACGAGAGCACTATTTGTGCATTGTGTACACAGTCTTAGACCACTTTATATAGGCTAGTGCAGTGTTTGCGTCTTTAGTGACAATAAACACAGGTTTTCTTTTGAAGGTTGTAAGCGGAAGTGACCATTCTTTAACAAAACCGTCACTCTTCTCCTCTGAAAGTGAAACCAAGGTACCAGCGAGCGGCGGGCGCACGAACGTCACACGAAATCTATTTCTACCACTTTACACTTCATTTGTGATTTTTTTCTCCGTCAAAAAGTATTTTTTCAAACTGAATAACAGAAAAGGTAACTTTTTGCTTCGAGGACGTAGACTGACAGTGGTAAGTGTAAACGTCTCAAGTTGTTTCAGCTGTGTCATGTTTTGCTAATGTACACAGCCTGTACCCCAATGTTAGCTATGTAGATGTAAACGGTAAACAAGCTGTGACTGTAACATTATGTCAAAGTTACACTGGTTTGACTTTGCGTTACAGTTGGTGCTGTCAAATATTAAGTCAAAACGTACTTTATTTTATTTACTCATTTTATTTTGTTTAAGTAAAAAAACAAAAACAAACATCAGGGTTGGTATTTTCCGTGACGTCACTGCGCCATACACCGTGAGTTTTATGGTTTTAGCAGCTAAAGTCCAGTTAGGGGAATTCTGTTTTTACAACACTACTTTTCTTATTTCCAGCCTTATCTTTTGAAGTTGTTTTACATTTAGTTTGTATGCTATTTTGAGTCATAAAATTCTAACAAATAAATGTATGTTAGAAGCTACAATGTAAAGTGATGAAAGGGGTATTGTTATTAATAAACCAATATCACACAAATACACATTAACATATATGTCTTATCGTTTAAAGTACCTGCCTGAGGAAGTTGACTGCGTACAAGTAAACATTTTAAGAGTTTTATTAGTGTCAATCAGTCAAAAAACATGTCTACAATGTTCTTAATGTACTTTCTGATATGTTTATGGTGTAAAAAAATAAGAATCTGTATAATTACAGCTACATTTAGTATAAAGGTGGTAATTGGCCATTATTTCAAGCTCATGTTATTTATTATTTTCCTTGTTTCTTCTTACAAATGCCCACTTTACTATTAACCCCCTCCTGTGTCTGTGTCTTTACTAGCAGTGCAGTGAGCTGAGCAGCAGGCCTGCAGCTGGTGGATCAGGATGGATAGACTGATGCTTTCTCACATTGATGAGCAGCTGGAGTCCTCCGAGGTGGCCGCTCTCTGCTTCTTGTGTCGGGATGTGGTCAACATTAGACGCCTGGAGGGGGTGAGCTCAACATATCTAATACTCAGAGGTGGAACAGTACTCTACTTAAATACAATTTTTAGATAATGTACTTGAGTAATTTATTTTCATGCCACTTTCTACTTGTCACTTATTACATTTCAGAGAGAATTATTGTATTTTTACTGCACTCTATTTGTCCGACAGCATTATTTACGCTACAAATGATGTTGATTGCAAAAAAAACGTATACAGAATTGCGATTAAAAAAACAGGAAAGTTGAGGAAATAATACACTTTTTGTTATATCTTTTTTATTTATTGACTAAGTTTGTCCATACATTTACTTAAGAATCCAAACTTCATGTTTTGCATAAAGTATGAATTAAATAAGACAAATAAACCGGCCTTATCGTATTTTGTAAATCCAGGTCTTTTTTTTACATTTCTTACATTTACATTTTTACAACAAGGGGAACCTTTTTCTTTAGTGAGTACTTTAACACTTATGTACGTTTTCCCTATTATGCTTTCATAGTTTTACTTCAGTAACTTTTTCAATGCACAACTTTTTCTTTCAAATGTTTACAATGTGGTATAAGTAATTTGACTTAAGTATTGGATCTGTGCACTTCCTCCATTTGTCCCAGCCCTACTTCTGAGGAAAAATTGTCTTATTGACCCCTAACTATGGACACTTTTGTCGTTTTCTTATAATTGTAAACTATTTGCTACATTGACTACAAAACAAATGTTGTATGGTAAAATATGTAGTTTTCACTAGCAGGAACCACGCCACAACAATGTCATGTTTTGTAAGTTTATTGAGGTAACATGTAAATGATGTGAGGGGGTGAAGGGATGGTCTGGGAGGACGAGCTGTGGTCCGTGCAGTGGGAGACTCAGAGTGGGGGTTCCGTCTCCGGCATAATTCTGCGTGGGCTGATTACGGGCCCCCAGACGGTACCTGGAATTAGATGTTAGTATACACGGTATGTGAATATAAATGTTGACGGGCGGAGGATGTTGGGATGAAGGGGGAGGTGTGGGATGAGGGGAAGGGATGAGGGATGAAGGATTGGGATGAGGGATGGAGGGATGAAGGATGGAGGATGTAGGGATGGATAGGTACGGATGAAGGGATGAGTGAGGCTGAGGATGTAGGGTGTAGGGCTGAGGGATGAGGGGTGTCGGGCTGAGGGATGAAGGGATGAGGCTTGAGGGCTGAGGGAGCCGGGATGAGGGCTGGCGGTGTCGGGTGCGGGGTGGGGGCTGCGGGCTGTCGGGATTCGGGGTGCGGGCTGGGATGCGGGCTGCACGGCTGTCGGCTGCGGGCTGGCGGCCTGCGGGCTGCCGGGGCTGCGGGCTGCGGGCTGTCGGGTGCCGGCTGCCCTGCTGTCGGGCTGCGGGCTGCCGGGCTTCGGCTGCGGGCTGTGGCTGCGGGGTCGCTTCGGGCTGCGGGCTGTCGGGCTGTCGGCTGTCTGGCTGTCTGCTCGGGCTGCGGGATGTAGGGATGAAGGGATAGGGATGAGGGATGAGGGATGAAGGATGTAGGGATAAGGGATGGAGACAAGCATTGGCCGGAAGTTTTGCCGGATATAAATAGGGGTGGCCGTGGTTTGAGGCGGAGTTTTAGGCGTGGCCATGCTCCTGAACCTATGTTAACAATTTAACCTTATTTCTAATTTGAACAGTAATAATGACTTTAATATAATAATGTCAGCTTCATCAAGCAAAATGCTTCATATTCAAGACAAATTAGAAAGTAGAGACACAGTAAGCATTTATTGTTTTTGGGCGAAAATTATTTCTCTACCTTCAAACACCACTTCACTTGCTTAGTACTAAAATAAACATTGTGAGAAGCTCCCTTTGGGTCATAACTTATCTTCCATCATTGCTTGGACAACTTTCTCAGCTGTTGCATCTTTTGTGAGTTCTCCAAAGTTTATTTTTGTGTTTCTCGGTTGTCCTAACACAGATCGCTGATGCAAAAAGGCTCTTTGTGAGACTTGAAGAACAAGGTCTGCTGGAGGACTATTCCTTCCTCTGTCAGCTGCTCCAAACTATCCGGCGAGCCGATCTACTCAACCGCCTGGAGACGGACAGCAGGCGACCAGAAGAAACCGATGCAAGTCCTGTGCTGTCAGAATACAGGTACATATTTACTGTAACCGGGGAAATAATAGGGTTACAAATACAGTTTGTTTGGCAAAGTCTGTATCCCTAAATATGTCTGTTGTTTTTCCTGTTTGTATTTCACTATAATCCTCTTTCTGTCAGGGTGGCGCTGTACAAAATCTATGCGGACATGACTGAGGAACATTTGGAAACGTTGAAGTTCCTTTTGAGTGACAAGCTGGGCCGAAGACAAACTGAGGCATGCAAGGTGAGAACAAACCCACGTAATCATGATAAACCACAAGATTAAAATGCTGCTATTTACTATTATTTAGGGGGAGATAAAACAAATACACATGCATTTGTAATAGAGAAATGCATGACAAACCGGAAAGAGAAAACGGAGGATGTTTACTTTATTATTACATGATTTCTTAATTATAGGCATGGAACAATAAGATCCGACACTAAGCTAAACCATTGACAAAGCTGTTGTGATAGCCCTCTGAATAATGTGTGCTACACTGAAAATCCGATACAATCCATTAGCCTTACTATCAATCAACAACTGTCATCTAGACATAGGGTACACCTAGTGTTGAGTTAGATCTGCTATTTACACTGGAGTTACTTCTTAATTCCATATAAATATATTATATAATTCCTATTTTGAATCAGAAACAGATTTATTGCCAGGTAGGTTGACACATACGAGGAATTTGACTTGATGTCATGGTGCATACATAAAGTAAAACAAAAATTAAAAACAAAGATAGAGAATTATTTATATATATATTAATATATCACTTTTTTTTTTTAAATAGTAAAATATAGCAGTATTTACATACAATAAAATATGGAATAAAATTCGCCAGTAATTAAAAAATACTCACATTTGCACAATGTTGCTCTTAACATTTGTATTTTGAATGTTGCTCACTACTCGAAGTTCTGGGTGTGAAAGAGTTTAAATAAATAAAAAGCCGTATTTCATAACTAGTCTATTTACTAACTTGCTTTGGGGGAGTAGGAATAATTGTTTCACAATTACAGAGCGCGTCATTTCGGGCAGGTATGTAGCAGGCCCTCGATGAAAGGGAAACTCCCAGGATGACAGTGAATACGTGTCAGACTTGTTACGCCCCCTTGATAAATGATATGGAAATCAGTTACAATGGCTCGTCGATCAAACCAGGTGGTAAAAGTAGAAAATGACTAAAGCATGACGTTTTCTAGATGGCTAGGTTTAATGCATCAATAAGGAACAGTTTAGTTGGTAAAGAAATGGAAAACATTTGAAACTGATTGGTCTGGGTATCAGCAAATATGGGAAACTAAAAGTAGTATCAAGCTATTCCTACTATCACCGTGCATTCATGGACATGAATACTGACTTCTTTGAATATTTGACTGTGTATTTATATAGTTAGATTGTTTTGTGCACTGCAACAATACTTTTACTCAAGTCATAATAATCATTTCAGGATTTCTCCTCTGTTAATTGCAGACAGCACTGGATGTGTTTGCTGAAATGGAAAAGACTGGTTTTCTGTCAAACGCCAATCTCCGTGACCTGCATGAGATACTGCAGAGGATAGATCAACAACTGGCTGCAATCATACAGCGCTATGTGGAAGGTATGAAACCCACACACAAGCACATACACATTTAAATGTTGGATTATAAATGTTCAACCCAACTTTCCTTTGTGCTTTTATACTTTAAACTTATAAAAAAAAACGAATTGTGTTTGTTCTAAAATGTATACAGATAAAGTAATTTATAAAAGAAGACAGGCATGTGACCTCTTTAGATGAGCCAAGAAGTGTGTTTTGAGAGAAGGTCAGGCAGAGGCAGGTTGTGTGCTCTGCGCTATCTTCCTGCAACCATAGCATGCAGCACAGACTAGTGAAATGCAAAGGAATTGGGGAGTTTTCCTAAAATACATGGAAAAATGTGGCATCAGCAGAAAACTAAGACAAGTTTCTGAGTTCACTAAAGATGCAATGCTCATATCAGGAAAATAACTGTCAAAATGAAATAAAAGAAGGGAGATATGAAACAGTGCTTCATTGATAGGGGTTGTAACATGTTTACTCTAAAACATACCACTGTCAGTCAGTGGTTGGCTGCACGTGGAGTCAACACAGAAAACAACTCTTTTGCTTTTGGTCATTTTCCCCCCACAATGTTTTTACTGGGATTTTTTTCACACAACAATGTAAAAACAAACATGCTTCGTCTATATAATACAAGATAATTATTAGAAAGAAGTATCCATTAAAAAAAAGACACACTACTACACCGTCTCGTCAACTGCACCAGCACGGCATCTATTCATCCTCTTGAACATCAGATACATTTAGATCCTTTGCATAATCAATGAAAGGCCTCCATCAATTCTCAAACATTTGCCGTCTAGAACTTAATACATAGGATATCTTCTCCGATGGGAGGCCTGACAGCATCTGTCCCAACCAATGAGTGATGCTTGGGCTTTGAGCCTTTTTCCAAAACAATGCAATACAGGTTTTGGCGTACAGCAAACTGAGGTAGAAGACTTTTACTGCTGTTTTAAAAGATAAAGTGTTGGCAGTGTAGTCAGAAGTGGACCTCTCGCCTTCCAACCAGGGGTGTCAACGACAACGCTTGCGATTAATCTGGAAACCTTAACTCGTAAGAAAAATGTACTTTGTCAATTTGACATTTTTTCAACTTTATACCAATAATTTAGAAATCATGTTATAAAGTGGAACCTCTGATGTCTATTACCAGTTAGTAAATACTAGTATTTGAAATTCGTTAACACATTTTTAATTCAATTGATACCATTACTTCCAAGATAATAATATTCATGATATGATTGTGCTCACTTTAGGGGTAACCCAGCCGCTTCCTCGCAGATTATCTTCTCATCTCAGCATGGATAACCAGGTGTGTATTCAATTGTGTTTGTATACAGTTATTCCTTTATTGAGCCAGTTTACTGAGGACTGGAACTCTGTTTTCTTCCAACAGGGGGTCCAACCCACCACCCAGCCAACACAACCTGTCGATGTGTCGATATCTGAGACTCAGCCCAGCTGTAAGTCTGTTATTTTTCACTGTATTACAAACTCACAGCCATTTAATAATCACCCCGAAAGACTAGCCTTCCAACTTTTTGCTTCTACAGATATTCAATGTAATTGTTATCGTACAAATACAAGAGTCCACTGTTTTTGTTTTTCAGATGAAGAAGCGAGTGTTTGCACCGATGCAGAACCAAAAACCTCCTCCTCTCTTCCCGATCAGGTAACCATTCCCCCAAACCAAAATACCCCTCCCTCCTTTGTTCTTTTTAACAACATTGTTTATAATTTGTCTATGTGGATCTGCTTGTGTCCCTTAGACAGATTACTACGCCCTGACTCATGTGCCACGTGGTTTGTGTGTGGTCATCAATAATGAGGACTTCACAGGGATGTCAAAACGAAATGGGACGCAGGCGGATGTGGGTATGTACCGTTGTATTTGAAAAAAACATGTGGTCTGATTTTCAATTCAGTGTTCAAGAGGCCCTCTTATGCTTTTTCGGGTTTTGCCTTTCCTGTTGTGTTTTATAAAGGGTTTTGTGAATGTAAATGGCTGCAAAGGCTAAAATCCAAAAGTTCCCACACACCCTGCCTGAAACTCGATTGTAGCCCTATGTTTACTTCAGTAACATAATGACATCACTACATAACACTAGCGCTTCTACTGGCCAGCGCTCCAACACACGTGGCTAAGAGGCAGGACATCTCTAAGCTGTTGACCAATCACAACAGAGCCGAGCAGCTAACCAATCAGAGCAGACTGGGCTCTGGTTTCAGACAGAGGTGCTGCAGCACAGGCAGTATGAGAACAAAAAAGCATGTAAACATGTCACAGTAGAGGCACAACATACCATTATGAACCTGAAAATGAGCACAATAGGGTCTCTTAACAAATGTGATGGTATAAAATAATAACAATCCACTCGTATGATTGAATGTGTCTCTTTTATGTGACACAGGGGCTCTGCGCTCAGTGTTCACCGCTCTCGGCTTCACTGTGCTGGTGCGCGACAACTTGACAGCAGGTGATATGAAACTGGAACTACACAAACTGTGCATGAGGAATTTTTTGGATGAGGATGCTTTGGTGAGCAGCCCCACACACCTTAAGACCATACATTCATTGACTGCTATGTGTACTTTGTTTTATATTGTTTAAAGGAATAGCTTTACAGTTGGAATGTTATGATCAATACTTATTTTATATCGTTATGGAAAAGATAAAGTTACATCCAAAAGCAAGAATAAGTCCGGCACCTATAACTACAACTTGTAATTCTTACACTTTTGTTATTGCACAGATTAAGCAACCAAGATATAATATGTGTGCAGAACCAGGCTAGCATATTCAGTCTTTTAGCAAACACAAGCTAACTAGCTAGCTCGCTATAAATTGACATGCATCTCTTGAAAAGTCTCTTGACCTTAGATAGAAAGAGTACAGTTCCTAGATGAAAATGCTCACAACACGGTTAGAGGACTATTATCAGTTCATGATTTCTTAAAAAAGACATTGCTGATGTTTTTTCGCTCTTTGAGCTCCACAAGCCGAGTGCAATCTAGTTTCCATTATATTGTAGAGGCAAGACAATTGAGTTTCATAAATAGAACTACAGGTAGGAAAGAAAAGAATAAATATTCATTTTGTGGTAGAACTCAGATTGTATTAAGAAGACCCTTTATTTATCCCCAAGTCGCTCAGTTGTTATTACACACAGTACAATAATCACACATGCACAGGACAGGGCCTATACAGAGGAGGCCTGAATACATATACAAACATATGCATGTCTGCACAAACTAAAATATTCAATGTAATAATAATAAATTCCTGAACATATTGTCCGTAATAACTTTTCTTCATACTTTGGCCGACAATCGTAAAACCGTTTTAAAAAGAGCATTTTATGCGTTATAAAAATGTAACTTGCGATGTGGACGTGAGAGTGGTATGAATCTTCTCATTTAACTTTCAGCATAAAAGCAAAGAGTGTATTTTACAAAATGTTGAACTAGTCCATTAAAACATGTCATAGGGAATCATATCTAAATCCAAGTTAAATCAAGAAAGAGACTCATGTTCTGAAAACATGTCTGCTTCTAATCTCAGGTGATATGTGTGCTTTCCCATGGAGAAAAAGAATGCGTGTTTGGGACTGACGGGAAGCCGGTGTTCCTGCGAGAGCTGTCCCAGCCCTTCTCCAGCAGGAAAGCTCCCACCTTGGCCGGGAAGCCCAAACTGTTGTTCATTCAAGCGTGTCAGGGGAGCGGCTACCAGAAAGGATCCATGCCCTGTCCCCCAAAGGCAAAACAGGAGGAGGAGGAGGAGAGAGAGAGCCACCTAGAGGAAGACGCTGGTCCCCTGCGTGGAGAGACGGTGCCTTGGGGGGCTGACTTCCTGCTGGGCATGGCCACCGTGCCGGAGTGCAAGTCGTTTCGAAACACTACCACGGGCTCCATCTACATCCAGGAGCTGTGCAAGCAGCTGAAAAAGTCTGCTAGTAGCAGGTGAGAGATGCCTCCATGCAGAGTTTGAACGTCTTTAAAACCAGGCTGGACTCCAGCTTAAACTCTTTCATAAAGGACAAGCACTCAGTAGGTGCGTTTTCAAATAAAAAAAACCAGAGTGGAAATGCCAAACATTTTAGAAAATGTAAATATTGCAAAAAACCTTGGCTCAGCTACGCAGACGGATTTGTCTCAATATTGTGTGTACAGATCAACAATCATTGTGGTAATGTGTAATCTGTAATGTAAAACCCCTTCCACAATGCAAAACTATTTTTAAAATGTATTCTCCCAGAAATATTTTGCTCATATAAATCAGATCTGCAAATACACAAACACATTTCACAGATAAAAAAATATTTCTATACATTAAATGTATTCACGGGTAAATTGAAGAGTATATGTGATAATTTTTCTAGCATTTACAATAAAAATGTGTAAATCCAGTTTTTATTTGTAGAACAAAAACCTAATTTCAGTCAGACAACTCACGTGTTTCTTAATATGTTTATTAGAAGCAGCATATAGTTTGAGTTTGGCGTCTAGGCTCGGGTATCATCACTGGGATGGAAGCTGGGGTGGTGGGGGGGCAGGCAAGCAGCAGGAACATGGACGCAGCAATAGCAAGTGAACACAGCAGTGGCAGCAGCACAGCGAGGCAGAGGCAGGAAGACCTGGCAGCTTAAATAGAGCGGCAGGAGAATGTGTTTGGTTGTAAGACGGACGAGGCGCGTCACGTGTTAATGTATCATTGGTGCTCGAGTTGACTGCCTGAACTAGCTCGCAGGCTTCGCCCCATTTGTGGATCTCAATTCTTGGTCTGTGGATTTGCATTTTTAACACAAAAGAGAAATTCTAGGTGTGTCACTGAAATTGTTGAATAGTATGTGATGGCTTGCACATTTAAAAGTAGGAGCATGGTTACTGCTGCTTTTTGTTTTTAAACAACAAGCGGCAAGTAAAGCATGTTGATTGTTTTTTTATGTAAATGTATCATAGTGACTAAGAATTGGGGGTTTACTGGTCTGTTCACACAACTAATACTGAGACAAATCTATCTCCACAATCAGCTTATTGGAAAACTAGGTGTATCGATAAAAGAAAAATGCGACAGAGAGATTTTGTGACTTTTGATGGAGAAACTTCACTTTTTCCACAAAATAACATAGAATATTTCTCTTTTCTCAAATCTGGGACCATATTCGATGTTTTTGAATAAGAATATAGCCACAATTTCAGCAACATTTATCATATGTGACATGTTTCCTCTTTTTTCTGTGCAGCAAGGATAATGACGATATACTCACTGTGCTGACACGTGTGAACAGGGAGGTCAGCAAAGGAGAATATTTGACCTACAAACAGATGCCAGAGCCCAAGTACACCCTCACCAAGAAGCTCGTCCTCAAGTGTGTGTGAGCTGACCGGGACAATGTGCAACGCTGGAAATATTCCAACTTTTCATAGGCCTGACTGGTTAACTGTGTGTCTGACTGTGGCTGTGTGTTTTTATTCTCGCTGTACAGCTGGTTGGATGAATTTGAATGTCAGTGTTTTTGAAGTTATCTCAAGAAGGGGATGTGTTTTGATCATGCCATATCAAATGTATTTTTGGAAATGTTGAATGATTCCCATGTATTCTGGAAAAAATAAACAATAAGACATTTGGAAAGTTTTGTTGTGTCACAGTACTACAGATCACAACAAATAACCAGTTGAACAAACCCTCCATCCCCATTTTAAGGAACATCTTCATTGGACTCCTTTGTTTACTTCCGTGACATAATTGCATCACTACATAACGCTCCTACACATTGTAATGATAGGCTAAGGGGCGGGACATCTTTAAGCAGTTAACCAATCACCACAGAGCCGGCCAGCTAACCAATCAGAGCAGACTGGGCTCTGGTTTCAGACGGAGGGTGAAAAGAGGAGCTGCAGCACAGGCAGTATGAGAAAGATAAAGAGCTTTTTGAACATTAAAGCAAGGAGACATGTCACAGTAGAGACACTAAATACAAATATCATACCTGAAAATTGGCCCCTTTAAGAAAAAGCAATATCAAATGTATATGTATAATACAATATAAAACCTTTCCTTTATCTAGCCCTTCTAATCATTTGCAAGATCCTGTTTTTTTTAATTTACAAGTTTAAATGTATGTGGACATACAAGTAAATGTTAAAAAAGGTAATGATAGTTGATCATTTAATATTGACATATAGCCTATTTTAATGAAGAAGCTTGTGCATGCAACCTGATAACAACTAGTTTTGAATATAGAATTGATATTACTAAATACTTTATATTTATAATTTTTAGTTGCTCTTGAGTCTTTCCATGTTTTGCTACTCTATAGCCTACTTCTACCCATATGAAATATAATCAACACTTAAATCAGACTTAAGTTACACCTGGAATAAATCCAGCTACCCTGCAGTACAAAGTCATTAAAACTAGCTGCACCTTTACCAGCTTTGATAACACTTTAATGTATCAATAATTATAATCAGTATATGATATATTATTATTCTGAAATGGACCAATCTGCATAATGACTACTTTCTATTTCTGGTACTTTAAGTATATTTTGATGCTAATACTTTTGTAATTTTGCTTGAGTAACATTTTTGAATGCAGTACTTTTCTCTGGTCAGTCTGTAGTAGCTCCGTTATTTTAATAACATGAGAAGAGCCTGCTTAAAATGACTCAGCTCGAACCAGCAAACCTTGTTGCACACACACACACACGCCCAGTGTGACGGATTCTTGTGAACTCCACCCTGCTGCTCCTCTCTTTCAGGAAATGTTCCTTAACTTACAGCAGCTCAGACCCTGGAACAGACGGACAGGCCGCTGAACAACTTTATATTAAACCTTTAACATAATTATTTCAGCACTTTGGGGTCTCCTTGTAAACAAAAGGCGTGACCGTCACCGGTCGCTCGTTCTCCTCGGGGAATCAACAGGCAGGCTGTGTCTTTCGTTGGCATCTGTTTCTTGGTAAGTGGAGCTCATTTTAAAACATGTCATGTTTACACAGCGGTTAAATATCGCCGAAATATTCTATATTAAATGTTGTTGCTCGTTGTGTATTTTGAGTGTAGCTTCGCGTGTGCTTGTGGAAACCCCCAGCACCTGAAAGGGCTTTTTGTGAGCTGAGGTTTGGTCCTCCAGGGTGGGGGGGGTGGCAGGGGGTGTAGTCAGTTAATACCAAAGTGAAGGCTTAGTAAGGCCTTAGTTAAACTGATGTTTCCCACAGCTATCTTAAAACGTTGCTCTTAATCTGAAATGGGGAACTGTGATGGTGCACATTTTCTGTCAGCAAACATCTCGAATACTTTTTGTCAACTAAGTTTGGTTGGTTGTTTTACCGCAGTGCTCAGTACAGTTTCCATCCCAAAAATAGACTTTTATATGGGGCAGGAATTTTGATTCCTCCGGCCAGGGAAATCGGTGATGCAACCAATAACATTACTGATGTGGTTCTAAATGTCTAAATCTAAGTGTCTAAATGAGCCACCATGGTACCTACCTACCAAGACCATACAATATAGGCCTACATGAGAATGAAGCCATTACCAGGGATGGACCTGGCCCAACAACACCGCTGATATAACTGAACTCCAGACTGTCTGAATGTTGTTTGGTTGGTTAGGGGACTGAACCTTTTACTTTAAAAACAAACTTAACGTTATTTAATGATCTGCCGATTATTACATTACATGTCACTTGTTAGACGCTTTTATCCAAAGCGACTTACATACTGAATACTGTGGACAATACCCACAGGAGCAATTTGGGGTGAAGTGTCTTGCCCAGGCACACAACGACATGCTGACTGCAGTGGGGTTTGAACCTGTGACCCCCTGATCCCAACACCAAGGCTCTATCCACTGCGCCACACGCCACACGCCTCCCCATTATTATTATTATTATCTTCTTGATTAATCGATACATCTGTGTGCCTAATAAAGTAATGAGAAAGACGACAAGAAACCCCCCCCCAAACAAGTACACATTTTGTGACCCTGTCTCCCATCATAATTAATTTTCATACATTAACTAAAGACTTGAAGACCCTAACTTTTATTATTAATTTTAGAACAATGTTTTTATTAACATTTTATATAATAAAACACATGTACTCAGTGTACACTTCCAAACATACAGAAGTGCACCTCGAAAGCTGAAATTACACTGAGGTACAGGTGTTAGAAAAAACAGATGCACAGACAAACATACATTAAAAGAGTACAAAATAATTTAAATTTTTTTTAAAAAAAATTTAAAAAACAGAACCCCCTCATACAAAGACATATCATACTTGCATTTGAAAATTGAATACCATTTCCAGCCAAATTAGTTAAATTCAAGGCAATTTCACGGTTTGTAGATGAACTCAAAAAGTCACATTATGAGGTTTACACTTATAACCTTTTTATATATACAGTCTATGGTCAGTACTAAATTATCCTCATCATCAGCTAGCTCCATACCTTTTCAGAAACAGATTAAATGGTCTCCAGATCGTATCAAAAAAGTCTTGCTTCCCTTTTTGTATATATGCAGACCCTAACTTTTATTTAACGTGGATGGTCGGAATAACAAAACACTTTCCACAACTAAAACATAAAATAACATACATGACAGGTTGAGTTATAGTTTGTGCTAAGTTAGGTATCCAAACGTGTCCACTGACTCACAACCATGATGATGGAGACTTGTATTTGGTGGACATGATGATGTATAATAATAATAAGGTTTCTTATCAAATATAAGCCACCTTACGACCCACAACAACTGGTGTGTCACTTTCCTATAGAAGAGTTACACCCACATTTCAGCCCTCTCAAACTGCCTCTCATGACCAATACTTGGTCCACTCTGTTTCTTTCTGTTACTGCACATACTCTGAAGCACTTTTTCCATTCAGTGTTTTCTGTCCGGTTGCTTGGCGCTCTGCATGTGATGTAATGGCAACATGAGGTGGAGTCAACTAGTTCTTGAATTCCTTTACTGTGTGTATTCCCCTAAAAACCTCCAGTGAATAAATAAAGGAGCAACAAGAAACCTACTTACAAACACTGATCTTTAATATAGTGGCTTATTCTATGTTGTATCGAGTCAGAGATCATTTACAAAATGTGGAAATCCATTTTGGAAGAAATGTTTAAAATAAAAATGACTTGAAGCACTTAAAGGGTCCTGTTTAAGTAACACAGCTCTACTTATACTCATGGTAGGAACATGGAATATTTTGCTCATATATGACAACATTGTGTGCATGTGTATGACTAGGTGTGTGGTTTATTGTTAGAGTTCCCCTCAGGGAAACATGTAGTGGTTCCTGAGCCAGTGGTGGTTTTCAGGAGCCATGTGCTAAGCAGAACCATATGTTAAATAACTGGATGGCCTACCTGCCTGTCAGCCTTCCATCTGTGCACAAACTTATCTCGTGCCCTCATTGGTCATGTGCGCGTTCGTGTGTGTTGGAGGAGGGGCTCTGTAAGGAAGTGGCAGATTTTTTCCGGCTGTGTATTTTCAAATTCTAGCGCACTCAAGCTGGTTTCTCCAAAATTACCTATCCCACCTTTATCCTGATACAAGCCCAAATGTATCCCTTATGTCTAACTCAAGTATTATTATAACCCAACCAAATCTAAGTGTTGGATAAATATGTGCACACACAAATTCCTAGACCAACACCTGCTAAGACAACAGGCCTTTACCTCTGTCTGTTTTTTTAAATGGCGTATATGTTAAGTTTTGATAATATTTATATACAGGGATTTTCTATACTCTGTACTGTACTGACAGTCTATGTATCATTTGTATATCTATGAGTATGTTACTCCTGGCCATTGTGTTGTCAATCAATGAACAGAAACACTTTATTGCAGTTCTTAAGCTACAGAGTTGATGTTGCACGAATGTGATTTAGCTAGATTTTTAAGCAAATATTTCAGAAAATAATCACATTAGAGCAGGGGTGCCCAACCAGTCGATCGCGATCGACCGGTCGATCGTGGGGAGATTCCCAGTCGATCGCGAGATGTGTCTAAAAATAGAACAACAATATTCTGTTTTATCGTTAATGTCCTGTAACATAACTTCCTGTGCCAGAATAATGCACTTGAACGCATCAAAGCTTTGTGATTGGCCGGCGTGACCCCATGTGTGGCTGGCCGGCGTGGCTGGTGAGCAGTGGGCAGTGTGCACTAGTTTGCTAACGTTGTTCGTGTCAACAGGAGTGACAGTCCGCACACACACAAGACCGCAATTATGGCAGAAGCAAAAACATATATAGGCCTAATTCTCACTCCAAGTGGGAGGATGATTATTTTTGTATCTATTCCAATTCAAAGTCCATCTGTCTCATCTGCAATGCGAGCGTGGCTTTATCGAAGAAGGGTAATTTAGGAGCGGCATTTCAAAACAGTGCACAAACGCTCCGAGACGGAACTCCCTCCTAATTCTGCCCTACGCTCCCAAAAGGGGAGGGGCCTGAAAGGACAGCTAAATGCACAGCAGTCCATTTTCACCAGGCCCAACAACAAGAGCAAGGCTGCTACCAGAGCATCTTATCGTGTCAGTCACGTTCTTGAGAAACACATGAAGTCTTTCAAAGACGGCGAAGTTGTGAAAGAAGCATTCATGGAGGCTGCTGATGCGCTTTTTGGGGACAGTAAAAATAACAGTAGCATTTCAACAGGTTTTTGATATAATAAAAACTCAAGTTAGATACCGTTATTAATCTGCTGTAAATTTTAGTTTGTTTGAATTTATTCATTATAATTATTGTACAAAATGGTATAAGAATGCAAACTTAAATTGATTATAGTCTATTATCAATTCAGGTTAAGAAACTAGTGTTGCTTGCATCCTATTTTTTAAAGGCATTTATTTTTATAATCTACTAAAATGCAACAAAAAAAGGGTTTGATTCTATTAATTTTGTCTTTTTTATTGCACTTTGGCAGCAGATTCCTGTGTAGCTTCAGATCTGAGTTGTCTTATTAGTAAGCCTCATTTATACTTTTGTAGCAACACTATTTTTATATAATGGCAAAGAAAGGGTTCAGTCTTTCCTTTTTTCCCTGTGTCATATGTGGCAGCACTGTTCAATGTTTCTTGAAAACATTACCCACTGTAGTATGTGACGTGTGAATAAACTCCAACTCTGTATCAACAACACTGTTGTGTAACTTCAGTTAAATACTTGTATGTGTGTAGATTAGAAAGAGGTAAGATAAAGGATCTGCAGTATTTTATGAAGTATTAATCGTACAAAGGTCAGTTTTATACAAGTAGAAGTGTGTATTTACCTGGTAGTAGGCTGTCAGTAATGGCTACGCCTCTCTATTTGGACTGGTAGATCTCGGCAGACTGGCAACTTTAAAAGTAGCTCTCGGTTCAAAAAAGGTTGGGCACCCCTGCATTAGAGTATAATATAAAAATCCCTATATGACAGGACATTTTATTCGTTTTCCCCTCCCATTCATTCAATACATAAATGGGATAGAAAAAATCAAACGTTGCGATACGTAATATATCAGTTTTTTCCCTGCATTAGCGGATAACAAAGTGATCACTTACATTTGTTTTATTAGAAATGGTCTGCGCTCTCTGGACAACAATGTTATGTTTATGATTATATTTTATAACACTTTTTCTCAATTGGCTCATATCTTTGGCATTCTAAGAATGCAGTTTGCTGTATCAAACCTCATGGTGTATTTGGGCAATGCAACAAAACTGTAAACACAGTATTGGCACATTATCCCCTTAAAAAGCTAGACCTTGCTTGTCGAGCAGCTGGCATTTTAGTTTGTGATTTAAATATGTTGGTTGCTGTTAGCAATCTTCACAGTGATGAGTTTCCCAGCTGTTTATGTAGTAATTCAGTTGCAGGTTCATGTATGTGTAGCCTGCTGCAGTTACATTTTAGTTCTAGGATATAGAATTCAGTATCTGCTGATCTCTGTGTATTTCCTGCGATTGGGTTTTTTAGGCTAGTTTAACATTGATGTTAGTCCCCCTTTCCTTTAGAACCACACTTTGACAGATTAGTGTAACAGCATATGTGCATTTATATTTAGTAAATGTCTACAACCATAAAAGGAGAGCCCTGACCTCCCGAGACCTGACATGACACTACTTCATCACGGATTTATTTTCCTAACCACCAATACCTCCTTCCCATCAAATGGGTTACTGAGCCAGTTCAGAGCTAGTGCCCAATGGCGAACCAGTTCTTCCTGTTCCCACCGCAGCGGGCCGAAAATTGCTTCGCAGCTGGCACCAAAAAACTGCGAGTATGTTAGGTTTACGTCGGAGGCTGGGGCGAGATGAACCCTGAACAATAGCCTGTAATCAATACATGTTGCCATGTCAGAATATCACAAGTAAGATCATAATGAAAAAATACGGGGTTAAAATATGCCTGTAGAAAGCGGCTAATGCCCCAATATAAAAAATATTCAAGCAGTCAATATAGTCAGATGAGCTTCGGTTGTTATGCTTACAACACCTATCTAATACCAGAGACACTTTACTTACGGCCTTATGATGCCAAACAGTGTCAATACAAACTGGAAAAAAGATATCACTGAGGAAATATGATCAGGACACGTGGCTTATGAGACAGTCAGACACTGAATTACAAGGGTGGAAGAGCAGCATAGCGGTCTGCAAAAGCCAACCACATACTATAGGCGCTTTCACACCGCAGTACTTTTCCCACAAAGGTTCATCACAACTTAGTTCATGAGAACTCTTTAGTTCTCATGAGAACTCTTTAGTTCTCATGAACTAAGTAGAGATTGCGTTCACACCTGAATAAGTCCCTGGGGGTGGATTAGGCAAATGGAAAATATTAGATAAGAGCCACATTCAAGTTTCAAATGTAGGGCGATACATGTGATAAGATGACATTGGCAGGTAATATTGATTCCACATCAGGGCATGACAGGGCCCTACTGTTCATTCCATCTGTTCACAGCTTGTGCACATAGCAATATGAATTGTCATTTGTGCTTACAGGTAAAATGTCCAGGTCAGACTACCCTCCAGGGTACGACGAATCCCGGGGCCCGCTGTACGCCCCGCAGGGTGGAGGATACCCACCACCCCCAGCATATGGCTTCCCTGGCTTTGGTGGTCCCCAGCCGGGCCAGCCCTCTGCCCCTTACCCCGCTGGTCCGAACGCCCCTATGTTCCCGGGCCAACCTGGGGGCTACCCGGGCCAACCTGGGGGCTACCCGGGCCAACCTGGGGGCTATCCTGCCGGCCCGTACCCAGGACAGGCTCAGCCGGGTGGGCCTCCAGGAGCTGGCTACCCCATGCCCCCTCCAATCATGCCGCCCATGCACATCCCATCAGATATCATGAGCTCTGGTAAGACTGGGACTGCTGAGCATGAGCAAATTCTGAGACTCTTATTCAAGTTGAAAAAACATCCACTCAGTATTAAGAGTAAAATATATTCAGGAAATAGGCTTTTGTATTTTCTTGTGATTTAACACCAGAAAGTCAGGTTTACATAATTGTCGCAATTAAAACATTTGATTTGGTTAGTTTTGATTTCACATTGCAACAATGCGAGTGCACTAAAGACACATGACATGATCTAGGTGAGCTGCGTCGTCTCCCTTTGCTTGACATTGATTGGTTTGTGGAATTGCCCTCTCCTATCCTATTTGCATCCTCTCTGGAAATAACTGAGTATTTATTTTCACATGTGAAACTTTATTACAACTGTAATACAGCATGGACTACAGATGTGTAGCCCGGACCATGTTTGGGGGGTTTTACACCTGTAATTTTGGTTAATATCAAACTTAATTATCTGGACCATGTATTGTGGATGTGAGAGGGCCCAATGCTCATAGATTTTTTTTGTTTGGTATCAAAAAAAAAGTATTGTAATTTTAGAATAGTGCATCCCACAAAGCGGTCAAAAGGGAATACATTTTTTTATGGAGTAAGATACATACATAATGTAAATAACAATAATACATTAATTTGGAAGTAAAGAACAAATAACAGTAGACTGAAGAAGAAAAAAACAGACCATGGTAGGGTCAATACTTCACCTCTGTCCTGGCTTTAAACTTTGAATTTCCTGTGATACATTGAGTCTTTGTGGTCATATTTCTGCAGATGACCCAGATGATGGGTTTGCGGCGAGGGGCAGCAGCTTCGACAGTATGAGCATTCGTCATGCCTTCATCAGAAAGGTAAAACGCACAAACCATAATAAAATTGGTCGTGTGTTATCATTTCATTTGAGTCTAAGAGCAAAGATGTGTAACAGGGTGTAATTTCCCTTTTTTCTGCGTGTGTTTTTCAGGTGTATTTGATTTTGGCTGCTCAGCTCCTCGTCACCACATCTATTGTGGCTCTGTTCACATTTGTGTGAGTATATAGAGCGTGGTTTGATCTCTGTTTGCATCTGTGTCTCTATGCGTCACGCTGCTAACCCTGCCTCTGTTTCTCACAGCCGACCTGTCAGATTGTTCGTGCAGAGAAACCCGGCTCTCTACTGGGCATCATAGTAAGTCTTACCTGGATCTTTTGTAAGAATTAAATGAAAGTTTGTATTTGTTATATTTTCATCTCTGCATTTATTTCGTTTCAGCGCTGTGTATTTCGTCACCCACCTTGTGCTGGTCTGCTGTAAGGGCCCCAGGTGAGTGTGACAACGTTTTCTGAAGAATATTTGCGCAAATAATATTTATAAAACTGCATTTAATCTTATTATCTCACCCTCTTTGTAGGAGGAAGTGCCCATGGAACGTCATTCTGCTTTGCATCTTTGTGAGTCTTGTGATTGACCTTTGAATCAAGAAGTGTAAACTTGTAATTACTGCCTTTACTGCCAGTGTCCTGGATGTGGCTCAAGTCTATGCTTAGAGTAGAGAATTCACACAGCCTAGGCTGGCCTCATCTCAAAGTTAGAAGCTTGTCTTTGGTGCTAAACAGTGAGTCACCCCACATGAATCAGGCTGTGTTTGCATATTGCAAAATGGCTTTATGGATTACGTCATGGCGCAGTTTATTCTGTTGGTAGAGACTGCTATTGTTCAGCTTTGTGGGGATCGTTTCTAGATTTCATATCATTTTTTTACATAAGAATATACAATAATATGTTTCAGTTATATTTCAAGTTTTATTATTTACTTAAGGGGACCATCCTTTTTTTCAATTGAATCACCTTGGCATGCGTCCATATTAAAAAGGTCATGTCACGATTATCCAATACCATATTCAGATCATTATCAAAGTATGCTGACAACTCTGGCACTGGCATAAAACATACTGGAATCCCTTTAACCTACATCTAGTTAGGAAATTGCGTTATAGGACACATCTGTTATAAGTGAGTAAGCATAAATCATATGGTGAGATAAGTTATTGTCTGTTTTTTTTTTTAAAAGTCTGTTTGTCTTACATGATGTATTTCACAATCATTTGAATACATTACATTTATATACCGCTTTTCTAAATACTCGTATTACTAATATAAAGTAAGTACGGCTTGACTCCCAATATTAAACGAAAATGAATTATTGACTTAAGAATGATCGTATAGCTTTCGCTAAGAAAGAACATTCTGTTCCACGGCGCACCAACGGCTGGAACAGCGGAAACAACAACAACGTTACTTAAAATGAATGGCAGCACTGATCCAGGTTTTCTGTATCTGTCCAAGTCTGTTCAGCTTCTTTTCCACTAACAAGTCTTTAAACGCTGCCAGAGCCCATCACGTGTTCCTGTTACTGTTAGCTTACTTTACATATTTGAACCTCTTTCCTTCTCTCCATTGATCCTCCATAGCAACGGTCATTATTTTGCTTAGCAGTGATGTGTTATCAAGTATTAACAACCTCTGAAATGTCCAATCAGAATGGAGTATGATTAGTATAGGCATGTAATAACTGAAAATCCCTGAAATGTTCATTCAACAGGATGCCCTTTTTATTTTAATGAAATCCTTAATAACATCATACATTGTCCCATCCCTAGTGCAACCCTTTCGTAGCTTTTAATCAGCGATTTTAAATCGGTAACAGGATTTGTTTTTCTAGAATATTGTGATGCCGCTGTAATTTTAGATCGACCAATATATGTCCTTTGTTATTTTTTCACAGACCCTGGCTTTCTCCTATGTGACTGGATCAGTTTCCAGGTAAGACATACATGTACAAAAAACACACTTCTGTTTATTTGCATGGACAGTGTCAGTGTCCCTCAAAACAAACTGTGTTGCTCTTTGTTTTTAGTTACTATGACACAAAAGCAGTGTTTCTCGCTCTGGGGATCACTGCCGTCGTCTGCATCGCCGTCACTGTATTCTGCTTCCAGACAAAGGTGGGGTTTGTGTGTGCTCATCAGATCAAATGTCGCAGTGTATTTTTTTTTCTCATGTGTTTTAACGCAGCTGTTGGTGGTTTTCTCTTTTTAGGTGGACTTCACAAAGTGCCAGGGCCTTTTCTGTGTCCTGGGGATCGTAGTGTTCGTGACTGGCATCATAACAACCATTGTGCTGTCATTCAAATATGTGAGTTAAGGCTAAAAACACAATTTCGTCATGAAAGCTTTTCCAGTTTCCTTCATTGTAACGACTGTTTGCTGTTTCAGATCCCGTGGCTTCACATGCTCTATGCAGGTATAGGAGCCATCGCTTTCACTCTGGTGCGTATTATGCAATTTAATGTTATTTTTGTTACTGTTAACCCTGTGATGATACTTTGTGTATCACTTGTTCCAGTGTTAGTCTAAATGTTTCCTGCTTGTTTTGTAGTTCCTAGCTTACCACACCCAGCTGCTGATAGGCAACAGGAAGCACTCCATCAGCCCAGAGGAGTATGTGTTCGCCGCACTCTCCATTTACGTCGACATCGTCCAGATCTTCCTTTTCCTGCTGCAGATTATTGGTGCTTCTACCAAATAAGTGCACCCAAGGGAAAACAAATGGCAGGGTGCAGACAACAAACTCACCTTTTTTTTTTTTAAAGCTTTTGCTGTCAGTCAGAATCAGAATACATTTATTCAAATCATGACATATAATACAAATGTCAAGGGCTGAATTTAAGGTTTTGTCATAGGTGAATCCTATGCACAAAAAAATGCACTTTTTCCGAAATGAATATTTATCTTTGTCTGCATTAAACAAATTATCAGTGGCTTTAAGAGTATTAATAATACAATGTAAATACAGTAGATACCTATGGACACTGGACTGCCAGCTGCAACATTTATTCACTCTTACCGGACTCATGTTTTAACGCAGACCGTGTCTCCAAATGTGTCTTCTCATGATGTTCTGCTACACATGGACTGGTGCCTATCTGTAAAAAAAAAATAATGAGAAAATGAGCAGATTTCTTTTTTTTTATTCCATCTCAATTTTGCCAACACAGAGGCCCGTCTCTGTGGCGTTGAAGTAAAGTAGGTGGGGGTGGGCAATGCCTCAACATTTGGTTGCAGATAACCAAACAAATGCAATGGCCAGGATAGTAATTATTTGTATTTAAAGCAGGTTATATAGGCCTACCTAATTGTTGAGTAAAAACCAAAAACATCATGGTTAATTTATTGAATTAATCTATAATAGCCTACTTTTATCTACATTTTAACCAAGGAAATATTTTTACAACATCAGGCATTTCTTTAACATTTGCGCCAAATCGTTGATGTTATAGTTCTATGGGGTAAACTGCAGCAAGCAAGTAATTAGCTTAGCTTAGCATGAATGATTTGAAATGGAGAAATGGCTAGTCTGGCTCTGTCTGAGGGTTAAAAAATGCTCACACATTTAAAATGTAATATCACGCTTAAGTCATAGAAAATCTAAGTGTACATACTTAAGGTTGTGCATGTTTTTCCTGATATGCCAGAATTATTCTTGCCCTCTATTAGCAACTTCCTAAACTTTTCATTTTAAAGTAGAACTTGCTTGAGAGGTGCTGATAAGTGGAACAAACAACTTTCGGACGAATTCTGGCTAAACATTTCCCTCCCATTTTTTATTTATGCTAAGCTAACTACCTCCCAGCTAGCTGTAGCATCATTGGTATCTATCAGCTCATCTTTCTCTCAGCAATTTTACAAGCATATTTTTCAATTTTATACTTTAATTGTATACATCAGTCCAAAGGCCAAGTAGGATTTAATGGTAAATAGTTTGAAAGGTGAGCTCAACAGATATGCACACAACAGCAGATGAAAAGCTAATAAATCTGCTTTTAGTGTGTATGTGCATTACACATCTTCCATGTTACATTTGGTATAGATTCTAGCGACAGTCTGGATACTCAAAACTACTCTTAGCGTCAGCAGTATTGATACTTTGGTGACCAATCTGCCCACCAAATAGCTCGGTGCATCTGATTGTAACTACGCACGTTTTTAACATATATATATGGTTCTACATCACTAGTGCCTTCACAATGAAGATGTATCAGAGATTCATTTTTTTTTTTACCACAGATTTGAGTATTGTTACATAAGTATCCTTTTTATATATATATTCTGGTGTCATGGTCAGACCTCGGTCAGATGCATAGGTGCTAGCAGGGCTTTTTTTTCTTACAGGATAACACAGTCAATGCCATGTTGTTAAATTAATGGATCATTGTTCAAATGCTCCTAAATGACCAATCACTGCCAGCTAGTCTTCTCCACAAGTATAGACGCTATGTTAAGACCCATGTTACATATAACCCTTGCCTCAAAACAGCTACGGTGGACATGTTGAATGTGAAGCACTGAGTGTCATTGTGGGTTACGGGTTTGTAAATATACATGTCAATTATGTTTACCTTTCATATCAAATAAATATATGTATTTGATGACGGTGGTTCATGTGCATTTTTCCAGGTTTCACAAATTCTGTATAAATATCCATTTATTTGCTTTATCATATTTAACGAACATCAGCATCAATCAAATAAATGATCTTTCTCCAGATTCAACAAAGTGATCTATAAGCATCTCTGTACATAAGCAGGAAAAATCAAATCTGCCCAAAAACAAACAAACAAAATGGCTGTCACAAGCACAATTTCATGTTTTTGCTTCAGAAAGAAATACTCAGAGGTTTTTAAACTCATGAAGTTTTCTTCTGTAATCAGTCTTTTTGCTGCAGTGCAGTGAAGTCAACGTCTCAGTGGTGACATTTAGGATATGTGCATAACATTGCAGCCGTACATATACATCATCGCTCCAGTTTGAGATCATCTTTATGCTGGCGGTAGCGACTCCCCTCATATTCTCCTTCGTTTGACATCCTCATCCTCTGTCGGACCTTCAGCTGCTTCAGTCGGTTCTTGTCAACTTCTCTCTTGGTCAGCAGGAAGCCGATGATACCTGCGGGGAGGCCTATCATCCTGGAGGGAAGAAATGTAATATATTGATTTTTTTCAGTGCTCAACACTTACAGTATCCATATTGATGCAGAGTATGGAGAAACACTCCATGTTGTAATACTAAAGGGGAGCAAATTGTTTGAAAATGCAAAAGGTTTCATTGTATGGTATTATGTTATGAAGACACCTAAGTCACAATAAGATATAATTGCAATGTTTCAGTAACCCTTATACTTTGTCCACCCTGTTTATTTGAGTGTGTGTTAGGCAAGGCAAGTTTATTTATATAGCACTTTTCAACACAAGGCAATTCAAAGTGCTTTACAAAAAATGAAAGACATTAAGAAAAAGGCATTTAAAATCAGTCATTGAGGTGTAGAGATCAAAATGCAGATTATATTACCCTGGAGAAGATATGACTGTTGTTTCTGCAGTACTTCTGAATTAAAGACAATTGTTTTACTTTAATGAATATTAAAGCACATAAAAGTCAAATCTGGGTATAGTGTCCCTCGCCTTGTATAACTGTATTTCTACATAGTTTCTGGTTCAACAACATTGACAGACTTTGCTATTTTCAGCACATCAGTCAAACAGTTAAATAAAAATATATATATATTTGAGTAGATCGGACACCTAGTCTGCCAGGGTGGAAATAAAACAGAAGCAGTCAAATAAATGGTGTTGTCTGAAGTGTTTCACCAAAAGGATTGTAGAGGAATGAAGAGACTTACCAGGCATAGCTAATAGGCATCATGGGATTCTTTGCCTTTCTCCTGGGCATGTATTCAGGACCCTCCTCCTCCTCCTCCTCTTGCTCCCCGGCTTTCCTGTCGTCTGTGCGTGGGTCGGCTTTGCTGTGAGCCCCGGTCTTGGAGCTGCACAGGGAGGCAGCAGGGGAGACATGTAGCTGCGAACACTGACATACTGCCGGGGCTCGGCTCCTCTGTGTAAGGAGCCATCGTTCGGGAACATAGCAAACTCCTAACAGGGAAAAATAAAGCTAAGTTACATTATTTAGACAAATAACTATACCACAGCCTCTGTAGAAGACAGGTTGGATAATAAACGTTCAAAAAAATGTGTAGTGTCTGTGTTTTACCTTTCAGTAATGTCCTGACTGCTGTCACGTAGGGCGCCGCCATGTTTGTTTGTTTGTTGAGTAATGTCTGACATGCGCAGTTCAAACCGGAGAGACGTGATGTAAGAATTACATATTTATTGTTTACACGTCATATGAATGAAATGATTGCCATGATAATACAACAGGAGAATGTAATGGTGTTTGGCGATTAGGCCCCGGTTTGCAGGATAATCATTCAGGAGGGAAAGCACCGCTCCGATGAAATCCCCGGGGTCTAGACACTGGTGGTGGTGATGAGTAGGTGAGACCGGTCTGAAGGAGGAAGGTTTAGCTTTGTCCTGAAGGAGACAGGAGGCGAGAGGGGTGGAGGCGGGTTGCGTGTGATCATCTGCAATGACAACTGACAAGGAGGAAGAGCAGGCATTTAAGGCATTTAGCATGTGCAGCGATTGGCTGCGAGGTGACGCCCTCGTATTTAATGAGGGGGGAAGGGAGCCATAGAGTGACGTGTGAGTGACTCGAGTTAGGTCTTCCTTATTGAACTTGCGCTAAAGCTTTCATTTAACACCACACAGTCATGGCGCAGTAGTGTATAAAGAGTAATAGTTTAGTATGTCCAAAAAATACATGAAAAGGTGAAAGGAATGAGAATGTTTTTTAAAGCCATAGAACATCTTTGACAAAAAGTCAATAAAATATGTCGAAAATATCGTGGAAAAAAAGTTAAAGTATTTATTTCACTATTGAAAAATGTAATAGTAGGCCTATAGTATGATTTCACATTTGTGAAATAAAACATAGTAGGCAGTCTAAGTTCAGATTTTTTTTATAGTAGGCCTATGTCAAAAACATGCACAAAAACGACTTAGTAAAGTGCATTTTGAAAATAAATAATTGTTTTCATATTATAGAAGGACGGTAATTTTGGGGGGGAAAAAGGCTGAAATATCAGAAAAACTATGACATGAAAACTTGTCATAAGAAAATGTTAATATTTTAAAGTCATTTTCAACCTAGTAGACCTACTGGTGTAATGTTATAATTAAATACGGCAGGAACAGCATCAAATAGCTTTTAGTTTGTCAATATTTTATTTCTTTAAGCAACTTTTTTTATTCAATTTATTTCATCATTTTACAAAATCACATTGAAACCATAGAGCCTCAATGTCAAATATACAGTTGTGGAATAAGCGATTGGACAATTCTAGGGCAGTTTCCTTAACGTAGGGTCAAAACAGACAGAAACCATCAAACAACTGGAGAACAGAGCAGCATATTTACAAAGCAGTTTGACTATGAATGTCTGGTTTTTAAGAGCCCCAGAATCTTCTGTACAGTTCAAAACAAGTCGTATAACATCTCTGATGCTTCTGGTATGTATGCGTTACATATAAGCATTGAACAACACCTTGAACATCAACTTTATTGTTGAAGTAAAATATCAACAAGGATGGAAGTTGTAAGGGGAGTGAAGAAAACATAAACACAGGGGTGAAGTTTAATCTTCCAGGGTGTAGTTGGGGTTGACAACAAACACGACTTCTTCTGTGCCAGCAGATTCTGAGCCCTTCAGCCCGGACGGAGACAGCTCGATGAGGATGTGATCCTGGGGAAGCAGAGAGGCACAGGGTTAAGTGAAGTCAAACACAAAACGACCTCCATTCATGGCTGTATGTTTGCAGCGTGTGGACTCACATAGTGCACCAGTCTGTGGAGGACCTTCTCTATCAGACCCTTCTTATTGACCAGCTCCTCTTCGGAGTCAATCTCCGACTCGATCTCCTTCAGATACCAGTTCACCACTGCACTTTTCTTCAACTCCTCCTCTTCCTCAGCTGAAACACAGACAACAGGGAAAAGGTTAGACCAAAAATAACTAAGAATCTTTTTGTTGCAATAAGTATGAAGAGAGGCGTCTTTCACCTTCTTCTGCCCGGCGCAAATGCAAGACCAGCAGGTTGGAAATGCGCCTGTACTCGGGGAAAGACAGGCGGAGAGCTGGTTTGGCCTGGCTGCCTGGCTCAGTGTGTCCCTCCACACCGTTTGTGTTGCCGTTAGTTCCATTTGTGGGCCCATTGACACCATTTGTGAGGCCGTTCACAGCATTCACTCCATTAGGGATGGCGTTTCCTGCAGAGATAACATTTGCGTTAGAAACCTGGATGACTTTTCAGTTCAGGAACAAACTTCAGCTCTAGTTTAGTTATGTTGCGCCCTTGCAGGTGCATTTATACGTTTGTGTGTCAGTACCATCCTCCTGTTGCTCCTCTTCCTCCAGGTCGTCATCCTGCCCCAGGTTGATGTCGGGCGTCTCCACTCTGATGATGGATTTGTTCAGCAGACGGAAGGCTTCCTTCACGTGTTTGGGCTGCACCTGAAGACATTAACAGAAAGGAAAAGGTCAAAATCCTGGTACAAAGAAAAACTTGCGAGTAGTTTAATAGTCCAGGATGTGGTTCCCATTGAAAAGCTTTAGTAGTCTGCATTCATTCGAAGGTGGAAAAGTTAACATGTGAGCAAAAACCTTCACAAAGGGTGAGATTTGAGCCTTCCAAAAATGTTGCGTCTATTCCCACTAAAACTGTTTTCTAAATAGTACGACTTTGTCCAAATATGTTTGGCTTATTCCCATCATCTCAGAAAACAGATATGTTTAAATGTACAGAAAGTTTAAAACATGAGCAGAAATCTTGCAGAAACTCTCTCTGTAGTGAACTTTGGGATTTTAGCCTTTGCAGACCATTTACATGCACTAAATGTATTCAACACACTACAGGAAAAGGAAAACCCCAAAAAGCATAATAGGGCTCCTAAAATGCAACACTATCACTTTAAGAGTTACATTTTTCCTGAATCCAAGTGTGTACAACTTAAATTGTTCGATAACATCTGTGCACCCTTTGTGTTTGCTGAGCAGCAAATCGTTCTTGGCACCCACCTCGTCGCAGCAGTGCATGCGGGCCATGCCCTCCGACAGGCGGATCATGCTCTCAAGCTGCCGCACCGTTATCCTCCAGGCCGACTTGGTCACGCCTCCGGAGCTGTCGCGCTGTCTGAGACGCTTGTACTGCTCCACGATGAACTCTTCGGATTCGCTGGAAATCTACAGATGCGGAACACGGAACAGTTTAATACCGATCAGAAGCGTATACATTGCTAACCTGATGCTAACACGATTAATCGCAGCAGGCAGACGCGCACCTTGGGTTTGAACTGCCTTGCAAAGAGCAGATATCTGCGGATCTCATCCAGAGAGTACAGTCTGTCCACAGATTCTGCAATGCGCGAGTGCAGGTCCACGATGCGTCTGGCGATGGCGTAGTCCGTCACCTTGGATACACACATGATCAGATAGAACGTTAAGTAGGAGAATTGGATATTTAGTGCAGAGAGGATTTAAGAAAGTAAGAAAATATTAAAAACGCACTTTTAAAACTAAAACAAATATACAGACTATGCTGCTTACCTCGTTACAGTCGTCCACCAGGATGAAGAAGAGGTCGAAGCGGCTCATGATGGGGGCAGTCATGTTGACGTTCTGCTTCAGACTCTTGCTGCGGTCGTAGCGCCCGCCCACAGGGTTGGCTGCAGCCAGGATGGAGGTGCGAGCGTTCAGGGTGGCCTGAAGAGACGGAGAAGTCTAGTTAATTTACTGCAGATTTGACTGGAAGGTTCTTTTAATTTGGGCTTAGAACAATGATTTTTAAAACAAGTATGTGGTTTTAAGTGTGTTGAGGTTGTGCTATAGAAATGGGCGTTCAGGCCTTTTTGCACAGGGCGTTATTTTACTTGTGTGTTCATTTAAAACTGTTGCTGCCGTTTCAAAACTTTTTCCGAAAAGAGAAATTCATTTCAGAGCTTTCCTTCATAAGCAAAGGCTTTAACTTATCACATTATTTGGATTGTAAATAAAAACAAGGAGGTTGTGTAGTCCAAAACAAGACGGAAAATGCGTTTTATACTCAAAGACAGCACATACCAGACACCAGAGTTTCTGGACTTTGACCGGCAAGTCTAAATCTCTCCGGTCAAAGCATCCGGTCAAATTCATTTCCCCTTAGCGCAATACCGCATTGGTTGCGCCACTTATGTGACAGACAAAAGAGTATGTGACAGACAAGAAGAGTCAATTATAATGTCTAACACTTCATGTGGAGAAAGAGATGTCCTGTATGGGTTGATTGTGCGTTGATCTGTTGGTAATGCCTTCGGGGTTCCGGTGGGCATGTAAACAAATGCATAATGCTGCGCTATACTTTGTGGCCTCACCCAGTTGCATAGCGACACTTATTGTTTAGGTGTCTCTTAATAAACAGGTAGTCCTATCATTAGCTAGAACTAGCTGGATCTGATCGATATGGACATAAACGCGAGTGAAGTCTAATCTGACGGGAGAGAGAGATCAGCTGCTGCTGACGAGTCGACACGCAGCTCTGCATGATCACATGCAGCGGTGAGCGGACAAAACACACACTTCAGGTTAGAATATCACACGTAGCTATTTTAATTCTCAAACTACCTAAACTAGTTATAGATATGTTTAGTTTTACTGTCGGTTCACTCATTACTGATCCGCGAGCTGCATGATACTGACGGGCTGTCAGGAGAGGGAGAGAGCGCTCCGTTTATTATAAATTACTGTACACTTTTGAATAATGTAGTTAATCTACTATAATTAGTTTAATATTGAATCATATCAATTTGTTTTAAAGCTCAATAAATAACAAAGAAGAACTTTGACCGGCACTTTTCTCATTTTGTCCGGAAGATTTCAACTTTAACGGACATGTTGACCGGCAAAAAATTCTAACGGGAACTCTGCCAGACACACTACTTCTGTTCTCAACTTTCAAGATAAAAGCCCAAGACATATACTATTATTTTTTACCAGTCGGAACTATACCTCACTCAATAAAAAAGCTCAAAGTAGCTTAGGCTTTTAAAATGTTACTTCAGATAACCTGCAGGAGGCTGCTTTCAGACATTATTCTATGTTTGACTGCGCAAATCTATTTGTATAAAAAAGGAGACATTTTCATGTTAGATTCTCAGTGCGTAAAGGCTTAAACCTTCATAGTAATTGCAACAATTTTTTGTTTTTAGCATTTAGTTAAATCTGGCAGTAGTACCTTGACTCCGGCCTTGGTGATGCTGATGGTCTGCTGCTCCATGGCCTCATGGATGGCCACCTGGTCCTTAAGGTCCATCTTGTCAAACTCATCAATGCAGCACACACCCTGGAGGAGAATCACTTGCTGTTAATACCACTGAATGCTCTCAATAATGTCCTTCACTGCCTGCGTTCCAACACTCACGTTGTCCGCTAGCATCAGAGCTCCGGCCTCGATCACAAACTCGCCGGACTCCTCGTCTCTGACCACAGCTGCCGTCAGACCTGCAGCTGTGCTCGCCTTCCCGCTGGTGTACACTGCTCTGGGACTGAACTCCTCCACGTGCCTGCAAACACAATTACAATATCAGATCCGTGCATATCGATTTCCGTTATAGCTGCACAATTAAAAAAGGGATATTATGCTAATATTTGTATTCTGTGTCTCTACTGTGACATGTCTCCATGCTTTAATGTTCAAAAAAGCCCTTTATTTTTCTCATCCTGCCTGTGGTGCAGCACCTTGTTTCCCCCTCTGTCTGAAACCAGAGCCCAGTCTGCTCTGATTGGTTAGCTGGACGGCTCTGTTGTGATTGGTCATCTGCTTAACCGCCCCTTACGGCCCGTCCACACAGCAGCTTTAAACAAATCTTCCTACGCTTCTCTGCCCATTGACTTTGAATGGGGATGACGTCACTTTGCCTCGCTTTTCGCCGAACTGCATTGTGGGGGAGCGAAGCGAAGATTTCCAGGATTTTCAGGATTCAAAAGTTGAGCAATGTTCAACTTTTGAAGCTGAGCTGGAAGCGTCAGCCAATCAAATCCCGTTTATGCAAATCTGACAGTAGAAGCGCTAGCCAATCAAACCGCGTGTAAGCAGGGAGAGCCAGACCGCAGTTCATTTCCTCATATTCCAAACGAGAAATTACGGTAGCAAATCACCCGGTTCTTTATGACCAGAACTATTAACGGGATACAAACCAGAGGAACCAGGCATAGAGGGAGGTGGCAGAGAGAGTGGGTGAAACTGGTAGGTTTTCGCCTGTTTGGGGAGTTTATATATATATATATATATATATATATATATATATATATATATATATATATATATATATATATTGCTCGCATAAAATCCCCGGGGTTTTTTGCTTTGTATGTCGGGGGCGGGAGATTCATGTGATTGGTCGCAAAAAATCCCCAAGCTTTCAGACACGCCCAGCTCCAAGATTTTCAAGATTTTTGAAAAGCTGCTGTGTGGACGTACCGTTAGCCTATCATGTGCAATATGTTGGAGCGCTAGCCAATAGAAGCGTGTGTTACTCTTTTGGAACTTTGGGATTTTAGCCTTTGCAGACCATTTACATGCACTAAAACCTATACAACACACTACAGGAAACCCCAAAGCGCATGATTCCTTTTAAGGATTACAACGTCAAGCCAGATGTGGGAATTTGTCCGCGTTGTGTCACATACTTGAGGAACTGGCTCTTGGCAGTACTGGGGTCTCCGACGATGCACAAGTTGACGTCTCCTCTCAGCGAGATGCCCTCCATGGTCGTCTTGGGAACGCCTCCAAACAGCATCAGCAGGATACCGCGCTTCACCTCGTCGTTGCCTGGAAATCACAGCCGCCATTTAACTAAAATCCCAATAAATCACTTTGACTAAACTTCCCTGGATCCAAAATAAATGCTGGTTGTGAGGGTGGAGCACTGACCGTGGATGGTTGGGAAGAGGCTGGTGCAAAGGTTGTGGTACAGGTTCTTGTCCTGGCTCATCTCAAATACTTTCTCCCACTCCTTCTCCGTCATCTGGCTCTTGATGCTCTCTGCTGTCTGCTCCTCATCTCGCAGCTCCTTTCCACCAAACTACAACAAGACAAAAACAGAATTTAACACCAGGCATGTTCGGGGCTTTGGTAGCTTATTTGGTTTCGATGATAGCTTAGGGATGTCACAAGAACCAAGGAGTTTGTATGTTGTCAAGGTCTAACCCTAACTTGAGGGGACCTGGTTTTCTACAGTGGACCCAGGTAAGCTAAATGGAATTAAGGCTCCAAACTAAGGGCGTCCTTGCATTAAGAGGAAATATAGAACATTTGATTTGCATGTTTGTACAACTGTCATTTAGCAAAGTGCATACTGAATCGAGCACTTGAGTCTTAAGGTCCAGAAGGAAGTAGTAACCACATTATTGAGTTCTCAAGAGGCGCTTTCACATCGGAGTACTTTTCCCTTTTAGTTCCGATAGTTCCTGGGATTTTGCGTTCACACCAAAAAGAGAACTTAGTTTATGAGAACTTTTCCCTGCTAGAGAGCAGGTACTTTCCTGGAGAGAAAAAAGTTCCAATTTCTGATTGGCTGGGCGGATTGCAAACCACGCCCCGTAAAACTCTGAAAAGGTTTGTGAAGCCGCCATTGTATTTGCTGGCATTAGCATTATTAGCATTAGCCCAGCGCACCAACGGAGAGAGACTAACTTATGGCAACACAAAATAAAACATGGGAGCGGTGGAGATGAGGAGGTGTCGGCGTTCTGGCGATTTACTCGGAAGGCTTCAGTAGAAGCTGCTGGGAGCTGCGCCTCCGCTATTTGTATATAGGGGAAACACTGCACTTTAAAATGGAAGATCCCCATAGGCCCCACCCACTCGATCGGACGATACTGATTCCGGCGATCGGCCCCAAAATTGGCGATCGGAGCATCCCTAATTATAGGTATAGACTGCTACATTTCTGATAACGTGAAACCATATAGAAATGCTTCATTTTTAGCTTGAGTGTCTAACCCGTGGGTTGGTGGGGGCCACGTTGCAGGCGAGGAAGGCCAGTCTGTACGAAAGCTCTCTGACTCCCAGGGCCTTCAGTCCCTTCAAACCATCGGCTTCAAAGCCCTGTGGCCCTCCAGGGACCCGGGTGCTGGTCTCTGCGCGCACACCTGTGGACGGGACGCACATACAAACAGTCATGAGGTGTGCAATATGATTTCTTCCAAGTATTTTCACAATTCAGGTGAATTTCAGGCTCAAAGTGTCTGTCCAAAAATTGTACCGGGAGTGGTGAGCTGAGAGACGTCCGGCACGACGATGAGGGTCCCGGTGAAGTCGCAGCGGTCTCCGGCCTGAGCCATCTCCACAGCCTCCGCCCTCAGGACAATCTCCAGGGAGCGGGGGATCGAACCACGAGGCAGCTCCGCCTGCGTCTCCTGGACACGCACCTGCACACAGAGACAGTCAAGTTCACACACCCATTTACTTACAGACACATACATCACATAGAGGTTTTATACTGTTGCTTATCTTATCATATTCACTTCGAAAATTGCAGATTGGTAACCTTTTCCGCTAAAAACAAAAAGCCAGGAAAATCGATAGCATCAAGAAATGGTATGCCCTTTTGGCGTTCAAGGAGGACATGATTATCCCTGATGTACAACAGGTGCAGTTATGTAAGCATCTCCATGTATGCTCTATTTATGTTATGTTGGTGAAACAAAAAAGCCAGAGGTCAGTATGTTTTTTGTCCAGAGGGAAAGCAGCTATAGTTACCTTCTGGAAGTCGATGAACTTGGATTTGTGCGTGTCGAGGTGGAAGCGGCTGCGGTTGTTGCACACAGGGTTTCTACAGATGGTGGGAGGAGAGTATTTGAACTGCTGGGGGACATCTTTGATCAATGCCTGGCAGTCCATGCACTGGAAGGTGCCACTCACCTGCAAAATAATCAACAAAAAGACAATGTTATCGAGGAACAGCCCAATTGTAATCACGTAGCTCTTCTGTTATTATTTGGTGCATGGTGGAGGTCTTACCAGTTCAGGGTGGACTGGGTGTGTCCTCACCACCTGCCCACTGATCCTCACCAGGGTGCCGATGCGCATGGATGACAGCTCACGGATCCTACATCCCACACAAGGAAGAAGTTGATATATTTCCTTAGAATTCATTATTGGACGCTTAAATCTAACATTATTGTAATTTGATTGATTAAAATCAAAGCACGATACACACAATTTAAGTAGTTATCTGTGTCTTACTTGTGTCTGGTGGGCAGTTCCTCCAGGGCTACGTAGAACTCTTTGTTGAGAGGAACATTCCCGTGATCCCGAGCAAAGTTGCGCACTGCCCGACAGAGGAAGGGGTAAACTCTGCAAACAGAATCATTTCAATGTGAATACAAATCTCCATGGCTGTTAAATCACTCAATGGTTTGTTTTTTTAATAGAGCTGCTACAAATGGTTGCATTATTGATCGACAGAAAAATAAGCGTCAACCTTTGAAATAAGGGAGTATGTTTCCATGCAAACTAAGGGCTGTTTTCAGCCTCTCAAATATGGACACTTCCTGCTTTTCCCTATGTTATAGCATAATACTCTAAATATCAAATCAAGACATACAATGACACTAAAGAGGACTTTAATGCAATGGGATGGAAATGTTTCCCTTTACCAGCTGCGATTAAAGCATAATGCTGCTTTAATTCTATTTTGAGATGTTTAATTGTAGTATTGTTTATTTCTACTCTTAAAATGCATTGTTTTGTTTTGTTGTTTTTATGCTGCTGCAATGTAAACATTTCCCAATGTAGGATTAATAAAGTACGTCATATTTGATCTCTTATTTTATAATGCATCATTAATCATAATACAGCAATCTAATATGATTCTGAAATGGACCATAAAACACAGTGGGTACTTTTGGGTATATTTTGATGCTAATACTTTTGTACTTTTTCTTAAGATCGATTTTGATGCAGGGTTTTTCGTTGTAATCAGATTGTTAAAATGTCTGCACTTCTACATTTCCTGTATACGTAGGCTACATTCTGTTTCACAGGACGAACTGGGGTTTATACTCTGGTTTCAGCCCACCTGTAGTACTCCTCCTGGATGGTGGTAGCCAGCTCCTGGTTGAAGCCCTCCAGGTCAGTGAAGCTCACCGCCAGCGTGTTCCTCTCCGGCCTGATCAGCTCCTCTGCCTCACGGACATACTTCACCTCCCCGTCCCCGGTCTGGTACCTGCACACGGATACAGGCAGAAGAAAAGTTACTAAATATGATCAATAACCACCAGCCGACCAATAGTAACTGATGAAGAGTGTTTAAAAAGTGATGAAGAGTGTTTAAAAAGTGATGCATCAACGCATTTTGGCGGCCGACAACAATACAAAGAAGCCTGTTTCTGGCTGACTTACTCCTCTAAGAAAGCCTGGAATAACTTCTGACATTTTTCAGCCAACTCGTCTTTCACAATCTCTCCGGCATTCTCCGCGGTTGCTGTGGCAACATCCATGTTGAAACACCGTCAAAAAGGAATAAAAGACTGAAAAACGTTCAGAATAACACAGAGTCGTGCCGCTGTTTTCCGGAGAGACACGCTACAGTCTCGACAACAGAGCAACGGTTTCGCGCGAAAAGAGTGACACGTGACGTTTGGCGCGCCGATTTTGACCAATCGGTGATGCCATGATAATACTCTCTGTGTTTTAGCCAATCAGGAAGGAATATGTGAAACGACGCAGGCTTCTTCTGCTTTTTCCCGCCGCACGCTCTATGGGATTAGTTTTGTATCATAAAGATAAAGCAACACCTTTTCAGAATAAAGCAAAACTATGAGTTTAAAAGAAAAAAAAACTGAGTCAAGTAAAATTCAAAAATAAAACTATAAATTGCAAACACATAATTTGTGTAATCATGTAAACTATAAGTATTTTTTGTCTGTCGAACAGTTTTGCATCATATTAATTTGAAATAATACAGATCATATCATAGCTTCAAAATAGTTTCGAGCGTTGCAAAAATGAATGCTAAATTAACCTTAAACACTCACAATAAGTGCAACTACCATTATAGCTCGTGTAGAAGATAACAAGCCAGTGTTATTATAAAGGGTAATACCTATCAGCATGTACAAATCATTACTAAGATTATTACATGTGAATATACATTCATATCAAAGACTGTATAGACAAATGCATGTGGATATGTGTAAACCACTGTAGTGTTGCAGTTCCCCACTGTGACCACTGGAGGGCAGTGAAGAATCATGAGTCTAAATGATCATTCTAGCACTTGCAATATTACTTTCATTCACTTATTTTCTCACAGTGACTGTAGAGAGCAATACTCATGATCAATAATGATATTCATTGTTTATGTCAGCAGCATGTAACCATATATACCTTGACCATTATGTATATTTTTTCCAGATGTGGGAAGTACATTATCTGAGTACTTCTCCCACCTCTGATCTTTTCACATGTTGAGGTAATCTACAGAGCAAGGCCAATGTAATGGTATACAATGTATAATGTACATACTTAGTCAAAAATAAGATAACATTTGGTTACACATTGGTGCTGATAATCTCTAAAATATGTATTTTTTCATTGCAATCCCAATATAAGCTGTCTGCAGAAGCTGCAATTCCAAATGTCATTTATTTTGTCTTTCTAACCACTTATTACTTACTGGCTGCAATAAACTGAGCGGATGGTTTTCTAAACACATTTCTTGGTATTCTGCACAACACAAAGTTGGCACAACTTGACTCAAGATCTACTGGAGAAGACTGTTTGTTAACCACAGCAAAGAAACAGCTATGCACCAGAACAGTGGTTATAATGGCAGGGAAAACAAACTACCTGTTGTCATCAGCGCTCTATGTCCCACTCAATACTCAATTATGTGCTCATTTTAATCGTGAATACACATGTTCTCAAAATGTACCTTACTGTGAAATATTGTATATAAAGATTTATTTGTGTATATTTGTATTTATGTATTCTAATCCTATGTTTGTTGACCTATGTTGGTATTACGTTTTTTTATATGAATCATGAAGTTATGTGATACTCTGTTAATTAGCTTGGAAGGGGGGATAGACTTTTCTTGTATTTCTTTGCTTTGTGAAGCACTTTGTGTAACCTTTTGTGTACAAACAGTGCTCTATAAATAAAGTTTGATTTGATTTGTGTTTATCCATTTATTATTTACATTTAAGGAGAAAGTCTTTATAATCTATTTTATTTCAAATGAAGTTAGGGGAAGTTTTTCTGTGTTTTCTTCACAATGAATACTAATTATTGAATCAAAACAAAGTCACTCCTGATTGAAATACCAATACAAGCTTTTGGAGAAATCTACTGTAGTCGATGAGTTTAGATTTATTTGGTGTAAGAAACTGAAATTACCAAAACTACAAATGAAGATTCAAGATGAAATGATTTTTGATTAGATTTGTGATTTGACCATTTCAAAACAATGTAAACATCATATGTAATTAAATGTGATTGCAGCTACATTTTACAGAGTGTTTATCACTCACAATCATTTACAAAAAGTCTGCAATCAGCTTCTGCATGCAGGATAAAGTCGAGGCACCATCTGTGACCACCACTAATTTCTACCCTATTTTTCCATTAATATCTATTTCTGCTCCCACATTATTCTCACATGTCCACCTGCTGAGGGCAATACAAACGCTCCCGGCGGGCTATTGGTTTCACCTGTCACATTGTATGAATCAACCAGGAACAAAGCAGGAAGTTGTTGCTGGCCATTTGGATGCAACCCAGTCTTTCTCTCCCTCTTTATTTCATCTTTTGTCTTGACCTCTGGTGTTCCCACGATTGTTCAGCAGCAGGAAGCTCAGCTTGTCTGAATATGAGAGGACCGGACCATCTGTAGGCGCACACAACACACACACACACACAACACACACACACACAACACACACACAACACACACACACACACACACACACACACACACACACACACACACACACACACACACACACACACACACACACGCACACACAAACACTTCCCCTAACACTCACACCACATGTGCCACAAGTGCATCAATAAAGGTCGGCAACAAGACTTTTGATATAGTATTCAACTCTATAGTTAATGTAATAAAGATGTACGTTATGTATTTAGGTACATTTACATTCCATCACTGATAGGCCTACCATTATTGGTTCTACTACCAATTTTACAATCACAGACACCCACCGACACACACACATCAGAACACGGTAGGGATTAAACATAGTCTGTAGTAACAGTTGAAACAGGTGAAAAACGACAAGATGGGAACCAACAGTTCTAAAAGCTGCAGGATATGTCGAGAAGAGGAGAAAGATGGTTCAAATGAGTCGTTTCCTGGTGTATTTGTATCCACATTGTGACACATTTCCATTGTTTTAGTGGTGTTAAGCAGCATTTCAGCATTTTTCTGACAGGCACAGTGAGAAGGTCAAGTGTAGCGTGTGATTCAGTTACTGAAGGCTGATGGCTGTTGAGAAACAAACAGAGGTGCAATCACCGCTAAATGCACTTTAACACAGGGGTATCTCCTCTTGCACTTTATGTAGCTCTTGTATCTTCTCTTGCACTTTATATGTCGTATAGCTGCTATATTGTATTACCATGTCATAAATACTTGTGTATGCTGCTCTTCCTCTTTTTGCTTATCATGTATTTTGTTTTTGCTATGTTTGTCAAATGTAATCTTCTTAAATGCTTTATGTGAAGGACTGCAGATGGAAATGAGCTCAAAGCTAAATCTGGCACTGTTACGTTTGACACATTTGAATGTTTTAAGTGTTCATTACTGTGCATTGTCCCTGCCAAATAAACGATTAAATAAATAATAAAAAAGGCAAACATCCCCCTAAAACAGTCCAATCTTAGTCCTTCCTTTACTTAGTGACATCACACTTGCACTTATAATGGCTATCGTTCCAACGCATTGTACGTGATAGGAGCCAGATATCTCTTAGCGGTTGACCAATCACAACGGAGCCAGCTAACCAATCAGAGCAGACTGGGCTCTGGTTTCAGACAGAGGGTGAAAAGAGGTGCTGCAACACAGGCAGTGTGAGAACAATAAAGAGCTTTTTGAACATTAAAACATGGAAGCATTTCACAATACAGGAACAAAATACAAACATGAACCTGAAAATGAAAATGAGCAGAATAGGGCCCCTTTAATATTATTTTTGGGGCCATTCTTTCACTAGAATGGCTTAAAATGAATGACTAAATGCATTGTTATACTCAGTGAGTTAATCATGTATTTGATCAAGTCTTTCCTTTCTTTTTGGAATAAATGTCCTCAATTTGGTGCTTCTAATAGAAAGGGCAAGACTGAGGGTGAATGGTTTGCAAATGCACGGGAAATCTAAATCTAAAACTGAGAGCAACAAAAGCGACATTTCTAATTGGCTCATGAAATGATCATGTAAGGATACCATCATGCTGACTTTTAACACTTTACAGATCTACCATCTATATGTTAATCTAAATGTTTATATATACAGTCTATGATGTTAATACATCACCATATTGCTTGCTGTTTCCCGATGTCCTTCAGTGTCTCTCGTGCATGTTGGTAAACTGATTTATACTATAACAGCTCTGTGTGTTGGTGAGGGAAGAGCTGCTCTGGTGTTTGATTGTTTTAGCTGCTTGTTTTTCCTAAAATGAGCTGCAGCAGGAAGTCTTTCCTGTTTTGGATACACTATGAATAGAAGAGAATTGTGTGTGAGTGTGTATGTGTGTGAATGACAGCTATAGAGAGAGACAGGGAACAAAATATATGAAAAGGTACTATAATTGGTAAGTTTTCCTCCATATATTGACTATGAATGAAGTGATTACACACACATTTCTGCATATATATGAAGCCCATGAGAGTTACCGTGATGCCACAATCCAGACTTCCTTTTATTGCTTACTAACTGTATTCTTCCTATTTGTCTCTCACAACTCTCCTCTTCATCCTCCTCAGCTCTGCTCCAGGAAACAGGACACGGTAAACTTCCAGCTTCTGTTTCTCACACTTCCAAGTGGAAGTAGGCATGTGGGAAGTGCTTTGTATACATGTGTGTGCATTTAAGTACTGAACAAATGGACCTCCTGACCCCTTTATGCTCCCTTCTCTCTCACGTAGAAGAAGCAAACAGTTTATATCATCATTGTTGATCTGCACAACCATGACAGTGACAAACACACAAAAACATGTGCCTCAGATACACCTGGCCACCAAACGTCCCATTTGAAAAAAGCACAGTTTCATTTTTCGAAATAACTTTACTGTGCCCATGCTCCGGATCAGTGGATTCAGATGGCAGGTAGCGGCTGACTGATCCTGAATCACTACAAATGAAGACAGGCTGATGATAATACAGATAGGAACACCATACGTGCCACAAATCATTTCAACACTGTTTTTCTAATGCTATGTATCTGTTAACCACTCTGCTCCCAAACACCAAGTGCAACAAAAAACAATCGTGATTTGCCACCTTGGACACTGCTGTCGGCTTAAAATTAAACCACAAGCGAGATGAAATAGATTTGATTCAGCCATTTCACTATTCCACCATTCCTGGCCCATTGCAATGTGTTTTCTATGATAAAGGGTCGGCCATCTCATTAGCTTGCTTAGTAGTCTCTGAAGGGTTTATGTAGTTTTGGCTTTAAAGTAATTACATTAATTATATCTATCTCCCCCAATGAGAATGAGTGTTTGTTGTGGTTCATTGCTTTAAGTACAAGACAGGAATTTACAGTTTCACTCAGGAAGCTAGAGACCTATTTCATAACAAAAGACATTTTCACACATATGGGTATTTTGTATATTTTATTAGAAAACATCAATACACACAGCAGCACCAAAATCATGTCTAAAAACAATATTTACAGGAGAACCCCCACATGGAGGGAGAAGACAAGTCGTAAACCAGCAGACTGCTCCTCACTTTCTCAGACCTTTTGTGTAAATGTCCTTAAACACACACTTATATACACAGTATATATATATATACATGCAACAGAAGCAAACACTAGCTGGAATGTAAACTGGAGGACTCGGACTCTGTGGTGGTGGAGACCCCTGGGCGTCTTCTTGGTAAAATCTTTAAACTTGAGGCCCGGCTCAGAGTGAGGGCTCTGCGGGCCGAGCTCTTGAACCCGGCCCCCAGGAAGGCGTACAGCAGGGGGTTCAGGCAGCAGTGTGCAAAGGCCATGGGCTCAGCCACCACCAGCCACACGCCCAGCACGGCCTCCAGGGTGCAGCCGCGGGGCAGGACCTCCAGGCGCAGTAGGGCGTCCACAGAGATGCCCACTCCGTAGGGCAGCCAGCACACAAAGAAGCAGAGAACCAGAGCGATGGTGGTCCTGACGGCTCGCCGCTTCTGCCTCTGGCCCCCCAGCGGGCCCCGAGTCAGCCGGGTGACGATGACGCAGTAACACACCAGGAGGACCAGGCCCGGGATCACCAGACCCACCAGGACCAGCTGGAGACGGAAGACTGCAACCCAGATAGGAGCGTTGTCTGCTGGGTAGAACCGCTGGCACAGAGTGGCCCCCTCCCCCCCCTCCTGAGTCCTCGCAAACACCAAGTCTGGCACTGCCAGGAGGCCAGCAGGCAACCAGGCACCTGTAGAAGAAGAAGAAACAAAACATAAGAGACTGTGGGGGGAAGAACAAAGAAGTTGCATGGGGGAAATAATGTCTGTCAAGTTCAACACTCACCCACATACACCAGTCTGTGTGCCAGCAGCTGCCTCAGCCCCCCCGTGTTTGTGTACGTGGCTCGGACCACTGCCAGGTAGCGGTCCAGGCTGATGAATGCCAGGATGAGCACGCTGCCGTACAGGTTAACCGTGTAGATAACGTGCACACCGATGCAGGTGGCCGCACCGAAGCGCCAGTTGGCCAGGGCTGAGTCCACGGCCCAGAACGGCAGCGCCAGCACAAACAGGAGATCAGCTGCTGAGAGATGGAGGCGATACCGGTCTGTGAGGCTGCACTTTGACCTGGAGACCAACATAGGAGGGAAAACCATTCATCTTATTGGTCAAGGACACAAAGAAACTCACCAGATCACCAACAATAAACATCATCTCACCTGCGTTGGCAGCCCAGCACTATGACGACGAGCCCGTTTCCTGTGATTCCGAGGATGAAGATGAGGGAGTAGACCACAGGCAAGAAGACCTGCTGAAGGTCAGCAGTCATCACCTGCTCCACGTCACAGGGCTCCTGCAGATCCCCCGCCAGGTCGCCAGAGCCAGAGCCGGAGCCTGTGTCATTGAGGTCGTAGTCGAAGAAGATATGCTGGGGAGACAATGATGATTAAAGGCAGGAAGCATAAGGACAAAGCAACAATCGATTGTAAACACAGATTTGTGAATCTACTTAAAAGCTTAGTTTGACCACACATCACAAACTCACCTCATAGTAAGACATGACGGAGGCAGTCCCTCTCTAGACGGAGTGAAGTTGAGATTTCTGTCTGCAGGGGATATATAGTTGCGATCGTGCTCCTCCCCCAAACACTCCAACACATCTGTGTTCCTGCTGAAACGTTTTTCCTGTTTTCGAGGTGTCAGGTGCTGATAATGGTTCTATCACAGGATACTGAATTTGCGTGTGCACTGCATGAATTGTTTTGGCCCTGAGACCTCTGGTTTGTCATGATCACAACCTATTGGTAATAGGAAAGACTGCAGATGAGAAACAGACCGTGTTTGTTTGTGTCCCTCCAAACTGCACGCTCTGTAAGCTCAGCACAAGCAGCAGGATTTTCAGCAACCAGTGTGAAAATACTTTTTGTATTTGATTATGTTGTGATGCACGGGAGACCAGAAGTGAATTGGAGATGATTATCAGTCAAGTTTACTTTATGAGTTCCTCTGATCTGTCACTATCAGTAACACATTAGTGTGTGAGTGTGAGTCAACTTTCTAAGGGCAACATAACAACATGTTTATCACTGAGTTGTGAGCACATCCTTCTGAAAAGTGAAACTGGATTTTTACAGTGTGTAATATAAATAGAGGATTCACTATATTTAAGTTTACGCTGATATCTTTTTTGGCTTATTACCGTTATACCTCATATTATTGTATGTAATATGTATGTGAGTAAGTCTTTCATGTAATTGAATTCACATATGATGATGTTACCTGTGATGGCCCCACTGGCAGATGCAGACATATGCTTTCCATAATGTACACGTTCACTGGGCAAAACAGAACCAAAACATTAACTTATGTAACATGTAAAGCACTGGCCTGTGATATTTAAAGCCTTTTGCTGTCGATACCAAATAGTGTATTTGTATGTGACATCATGATGCATAGGCCTACTATGATTATGACATAACAAATTGTTTCAAATAAACTATTTTAAATGCATTATTAAAACCATAAGTAAAATAAGGAATTACAATTGACAATATCTATTTTACCTCGTCTTTAAATAAGTACAATATTGAATTAAGTTGTACCTCACAATTAATTTGCTTCAGCATTTCATGATCGTTTTGATTTAAAGAACATTTTAAATGTAAATAGGCAGCTCAGAGAAACAGCTGCTGCTCTTATTGACAACAAGTTTAATAAAGTCAAAGTGATTTAATTCATAATTAAAGGCATTTAATTATAATGAATGTTTTATTTGTTTACAATGAAACTGTATATTCTACATCCTTGGTGTTGGTCAGCAGACACATTTCCTGTCTTGGCACTCGCCGTTTTGATTTGAAATCCCAACCCTCCAACAGTACAATATAATCCCATGAGTAAACAGCAACAGGTCCCAAAATAAACTCCGACCCAACTCTCAGTCCCTTATCTCTCGCTCCTTCTCCACACCCTTCCTCCACACTCACTGGTATCAGCACAGATCTCTGGGAAACAACTTTGATGAGGTACAAAAACAACTTATCCTCATCACATGATTTAGACAACTTAAACATGATTTCTTGTAACAGAGGGCCTTCTGAATAGTAAACTAGTTTTAAAACTCATCATTTTCAATATAGAAAAAAATGATGTTATCAGACATGCTCCATGCTCCTTCCATTTGTATATAAATGATATAACTTGGACTTGGAATGTATGAACTATAAATTGACATGGTTGGAAACATAATGGAACACAAGAGCGAGCACCTGATGTGAACTGTTACTCGTGTTATTGGAAATAAATTCCATACTGGTTGTCCTAACAACCTGCTGCTGCATGTTAACCAAAGCCAAGCGAGGAAAGTAACATAACTAACATTTTAAAAAGAGAGGCCCTATTGTTATCTTCTTTGTTTTTCCCCCTTTACCTTAAGTGTGTTATATGTAAGGGATAATGTGCAGTGACGCGGTCATTATGGGGAATTCTGTAACACATAGGTAAGCTCTCTGATTGGTCAATAGGCGTGTTTGATTCCACGATCAAAGAACGGTCAAATAGAACGTGCCTTTTCACAACAAGTCAGTATCCCTCCGCGTCTGAGAAAAACGGTATACCCTTGGCCTGAAAAGCAAACTGCTTGAACGGTCAATAAATCCTTGACAGCGGTCTGTCTGTTCGGTATTAACAACGTGTCACGTGTTCTGAATTGACCAATCAGAATCGAGTATTCAACTAAGCCATGTAATAAGCATGCATATTGTTCATTCAAGAGCATATCTCTCCCCCCCCCCCCTGCCTGAAACGCCTCCATTGGACTCCTTTGTTTACTTCTGTAAGATAGTGATATCACTTTGTTACACTCGCGTTTCTATTGGCTAGCGCTCCAACACATTGTAGGTGTTAGGCTTAGGGGTGGGACAACTCTTAAGCGGTTGACCAATCACAACAGAGCCGACCAGCTAACCAATCAGAGCAGACTGGGCTCTGGTTTCAGACAGAGGGTGAAAAGAGGTGAAAAATAAAGAGCGTTTTGAACATTAAAGCATATAAACATGTCAATAAGGAATCTTAAATTAGCTAGTAGGGCCCCAAAAGGTGGCTTTTAAATTCTTAATTATAATTAAATTTGAGGTGTCATAACAGTAAACAAAAAGTAGAGAATAAAACATTCTTTCTTTTTGTTGCTGTTATTAATTCAATCGACTGATTTAAAAAACATATATATAAACATATTTATTGGTATGTAATGTATAGTATTAACATACGGTATATATTTTTCTGAAAAAGGAAAAAATGTAATGTCAACACACTTAATCCCACGGGGCTGATATACAGTGCTGATTCCTTTATTAAGTGGCGCCACCATGTGGGCTTTAACAGAGAGGGTCTAACAACACTGCCCAACACCTGAAAATAGTTCATGTTTACACACCCACCACTTGGAACTGTCTTTCATTTGATATACTTAGTAAACAGGCTTTTTTTTATACAGACAGGTCAAGGATATAATGTGTCCCAAATGTATACTCCATACTACATGTAAACATATAGTTTTGCAATTCTAAGAAAATATGTAAGAATCAATAATCCTTACTATCTGCATTGTGGTACAACACTAAAATAGATTATTCTTTAGAATACTGAAAACAGCATGGGATTAGTCTGTGGTATTAAAATGGATCATGAGTTCTAGTTATATAGTTCACCCTACTAAGGTGCTCATGTACTGGTTTGATCAGTCTATTCTAGGGATTGGGTAAAATATACATGTACAAAAAAAAGAAGCAACACTAACGTTGTGTGTTGAATTAAACTACTTGCTAACAATAAATAAATAACATGCAGGTATGTGGAACTGTATCAGTGGTCTACTCAACTCAGAAACATCAAGAACAACAGAGAAAATAGGAGGGCTAAACCGCAAACTTAACAAGTAAAAGCTACATCAGGGCTTGAATACCTTCCTGAGTCACTTAGCTAACGACTTTCTTTCACGACCATGCTGCTGTTGCAGCGCAACTGGGCAAGCAAGTCTCTGAATCCACACGCCTTTTTCGCTGCTTTCTGATTGGATGGGAGCTCTCTGGGCTCGGTGGGTTCCAGGGAAACGTTGGCGGGGATCAACTGAACAGTCAAATGTGTGTTCGATTCATCGCTGACTTCTTGATCGATCTGATCTTCCAAACCAGCGCTGAGAATGCTGCTCTTATCGGTGCTGCTTACACAGATGTTTTGGAGGTGATGGTTGCTGCGGAGACGCTGCTGCTTCGCCACACGAGGACCCTGTGAACCAACTCTTCTCCTCTTCCCCCTGTTCTTCTTCATTTGTTTCATTGGCGTTCTGAGACACCGTCTAAGGTTCCTGACACAAATGATGAAGTCATTTTTCATGTTAACAAGCTCATTGAAGCTTTACTGCTTTAAAGGTGATGTGTTTGACGTTACCTCTGGAGGAAGCTGTGCGGTCTTGTGCAGGCTGAAGATTCCAACTTTCTCCCACATTGAGAGTTAAGTCTTTTCTTAAACAGTTGTACCAGGATCAGAAGCTTCCTGTTGAAATACAGCGGTTATAAAGGGCTGAGAACATTTGTATTTGCATAGCTACAGGTGTTCCTTTTGTAAAAAGGTATACGATGTAACATTCATACATTAACATTTTTGAAACCGACAAGACCTGTAATATTATCCCAAATGTTTCCAACAACTTTTAAACCTAGAGAAATCTGCTATTTTAAAACAAGGTAATGGACCATATTATTCAGGCATATGAAGTGGCAAAATATCCCCCTTGAGCATGTTTTAGCATAGTTGTTTTATTGCTGTATATTTAAAATGTTGAAAGATTTGAGTCATCACACACACACACACACACACACACACACACACACACACACACACACACACACACACACACACACACACACACACACACACACACACACACACACACACACACACACACACACACACACACACACACACACACACACACACACACACACACACACACACACACACACACACACACACACACACACACACACACACCGTCTTTCATTAGGCAGCTTCCTCGGTCTCCAGCTCTTGATCAGAACCCACTCGTCACATGTCAGGGAATTGGGATCTTAAGTACAAACGGAGAGGTTCAACATGTTGTCGTGCATCCTGAGAGTAAACGCTGCAGAGATGCACCTCCTTTGACAAATGACTGTAAATGTGGAAGATATAAAAACAATAGTGCAAAACTAGTAATGAAACTGGCTTTGAAAAACAGAAATGCTTACAGAGGTAGTTATACTATTCATAATTCAATGCAAGCACATGGTTCAGAATTGACTTCATTGGACAAGTTGAATCAATAAAAAGATGCAGGTATCAATAGAAAACTATGTCCAAAGAATTATTATATAAAATGTTTACGCTGAGCCTTCATTTACAGCAATTGCATCATAACTTTCATTGAAGTCGCAAATATTTGGAAATCACCATTTCACTATATACAAGGCTGGCTGATAGCATGCCAGGAAGGACTTGACTGTGACGATACTTTGTTGTACTAATATTTGAGGGTACCACGTGCACATTTCCCAACACATACATTACTGTATCCACCGTTGCTTAAACAAAGAATAACTCACCATTGTTCAGGAGTTTGTCTTTCATAGGTCTTTTCGACTTCTTTGCCTCCTCTCCGAGGCTCCTACAGGCTGTGCACACGCCCTGTGAGAGAAGCTGTTTCCTTCGAGATGCATTATGGGGGAGGAAAGGACCAGACACTATGCTGCTTACAGAGACGCAGTCTGCATCTGAATCATCCACTCCTTCATCAGTCACCTCTACAAACCTCTCTTCATCCTCCTCTCCGACACCTTTAGCCTCAAGTGTGCTGTTAATGACGTCAAGGATGTCGCGGTCCCTCCTCTCCTCTGCATGGACTCTGCTGTCACTAGTTTCTATTTTCTTCAGCCCATTCCTCTTTGGCCTACTCCTCAGCTTGCGCTGGATATCTTCTTCATCCGAGCTGGGGTCTCTCTGGGCAATCTTCTTGGAGGCCTTCGTTAGGCTTGAGGAGCGTTGGGTCAACATGGATGTTTTCCACTTCAGACGATACTCAAATGACCTGTGATAGAGAACAAACCTGTGATAAAGAGCCCGTGAGGGGTTATACATTTGTACATGATCACCAAGACGCAAACCTGTATCTTATTCAACAAGTTCTGCAAATAAGTCCTAAAACACAGACATTTGTACGCTTTTATTCCCTCGTCTCCAAGTGAATGTTTTTTTGTTGTTGCACGAAATAAGATCTGTGGTTGACTCAAGCTTAGGAGATTTTATAGGTTTTGTTTTAAAACATAAAATACCCAAATGTATTAATTTTGTAGCATATCTTTAAAATAATGCTGGCTAACATAGGGCTAAATGAAACTACCTAATGTTGATATGCCAAACACAAGTTGTGGTTAGGTCATAGCCCAACTTTAGCATTACACTTCTTGGGATTGCATGTATGCTTCAGAAATCATACAATGTGTGTTGACTTGTGAAGATTAACTTTCTGAGAAAAATGTGCAAGTATCATACATTTGTGTTTTCGACAACGCTTACTTTTCTTCAATGACTCCAATAAAAAACCCTATTGGCTTTTTGACCAGTGTGATGTTAACTTCTGTGTTGGCTTTTAGAAAAGAGTTTTCATGTGGTCCTACCAATGATATTCTACTCTTGTGGACAGTGATGACTCCACGCCATCTGCCTCATACTCGCTGTCAGAGGCCGGCCTACAAAGACAACAAAACAATGTAATGATGATGACGATTGGGTAGAAGAATAACAAAGGCACAATGTTAGAAATAACATTCTGATGGATCTCAATTGTCAAGTCACTGTTTCATATGATTCAAAATCAAAGATTGGCATAAAGTTGTTTTTTTAAATCAGAAGAGCATCCAGACATGTTCGTTATGTAACACACCACCTCTTGTACATGTAGTAGGTGTTGTTTTCACAGCTTATCCCCCACCAACTGTTCCTCTTTTAACATACATTGTTGATTTCAACTAAGAACACACACAAACAGCTAATTAAATACAACTATATGTAGTAATATGTGGTCTGAAGGTCTGAACAGGACATCAAGAGCAAGCGCTTGCTTTACGATCACAACTCGAAAATGTCCATGATCCATATTATTAACCCATAAGGACCCACCGTGACACGGGTGTCACATGCACTTTAAATGTTCTGGAAAGTTCCTTACACAGCTTTAGCTTTGTTTTTATCTCATGAAGTCCCAACAACAACAGAATGAACAACATTAGCACCGGGATCGTCAGCACTGAAACTATGACTCTAAAACTTACTGCTCCTCAGATCGCTCAAAGTCTACGTGATCAAACATGACTAAAGGAAGCCATACGCTTACTTAACTAATAGGGCTCGAGTTTTGTTGAGCTTGGACGGTCTGAAGATGCGCGCGATGGGCAGAAAAGTAGCGCCGGTTGATTTCTTCTTCTACGCCTGTGTGGACAAAGAGAGAAATGGCGCCACGTAGTGTTAAGACCATGTTTTATGAAGATGTTTAATGCTTGTTTGATACTAAACCATTTTGCTGCATTTTTATTCTTCATTAACTTAAAGGCTAAAATGAAGAAATACATTATGAAAAACAAAGCAGGATTCATTTTATTAGACTTATGGATACAACATATACAGATTATAACAATAGGCCTACTATTAATTAAAAAGTCATGTTTTGGATTGGCTAAAATGAGTGAAAAATAATGTTCTTTCAAGACAAGTTTGGGAAACCATGAATCTTTTAGAAAAGCAAGTAATGTGCATCCGGCCATAAGTCCTCATAAAGTACAAACAAAGAAAAGGTGATCAGATGTTTCAATATCACCATAAGGAACACAATTATTTGTTTCTATTCCAAAACCTTATTCCAAAACACTGGATGGATACACAATATTCAAAAATGTGGAATTCATTTATTTTGCTAACTTTGGGAGTTATAGGGAATTTAAAATATTTAGTCACTAACATGTGAATGGTACTTTTTAAACAACACTTTCTCAGGAGAGAGCTCTGATCTACACATACGAATGGTACATTTTTTTATTCAAGTTAGTAGAGAGATTGAAAACGATAGTGACAGGCTGTTTCAAATGGTCAAAAAGAAATCAAGAAACTAAAAACCCTTTATTAGGGCTAACTAACAGTTCTAAGTGCAGACATAATGACTTCATAGAAAGTGAAAGGCACATGATCAGATGGTTGCGGACAATATTTCCTTTATTGTAAAACAGTGCAGAGGCTTAAAGTACACAGTAAAAGAGCACATTGGACGTCGTTTTAGGGGGCGTTGTTGGAAAAGTAAGGAACTGAATTCTCGGATGGAGCGTCTCTGCAATCTTTGGACTTCAATGAATCGGCTTGCGGAGAAACTGGTGGTGGTTGCACAGATTGGGAGGGGCATTTTTTGTTCTGGCGATGAGCAGGAAGGGTGGTGAACGTGCACGATAGGGAGGAGGAAGCATCTCTGGATCTGGAATTCCAACAAGGCCTGGAGAAAACACAAAGAAAAGGTGTTGCATTAAAATAGCATTCATCAGCAAACGTGCATAAAAATCCATTACCTAAAATGTCATACTGCTATACTCTACGTACAAGTGGGAGGAAGAGGAGCTCTTTCTGTTTCATGAAGGCATCATCACAGTCAGTCAGGTTCATGTTGAGGAGTGTGAGCTCAGTCTTTCACACAACGTTTGAAAACACCTGTGAGAAGAAGAACAAGTGAACTGAATGTAAACAGAGAGCCAGCTTTAATAACACAGAAATATGTTTGCATATTAACTGTAGGACTATATCTGCGTGTGTTTCTCTGGTCCTTGCTGTTCCACTCAGGTCTCCACATGGCAGTAGGATAACATCTGTGCAGGTTTCCTTATAGAGGCTGTAGGTGGAGGTTTGGCCACAGCTTTCTGTGGGGATCTTCAGGGGGAGTGGTCTTCTTCAGGTGGCTGAAGGTGGAGGTTTGACCGCAGTGATCTGTCAGAATCTGCAGGTGGAGGCGGCAGCTGCAGGTTGCTGACGGAGGCTGCAGGTGAAGAGTGAGGCAGCAGTTTGATGCTGAAGCTGCTGGTAGAGGATGTAGGCAACAGAGAGACAGCGGCTGTAGGTGGAGAGGAGTCTGTCATCTCATAGGCTGCTGCTCAAGGCTGATGTTTTGTCTGGTAGAAGTAACAGGTGGAGGCTGGAGGGTGGAGGGTGGAGCAGGTGTTCTGGCAGGTGATAACTGTTGCTGTTGAGGCTGAAGCTGGAGTAAGAAGACTGTTAACAGAGGAGCAGGAACTGATTCAGAGGAAGACAATTCATCAGTGGTGAGATACATTAAGATCAATGAAAGTAAACTTAACTCAAACTAAATACTAACTCTTAACACTAAATACTTATTCTTAATACTAAATACTTATACTTAACACTAAATACTTATACTTACTACTAAATACTTACTCTTAACACTAAAAACGTATACTCATTACTAAAAACTTAACACTAAATACTTATGCTTAATACTTAAAACTTAACACTTAACTTAACTTCAATACTTAAAACTACTAAAAATGAAACTTAAAACAACTAAACTAAACTTAAAGCACAGTATTATTAGACAAGTCAGCTTATGAGAGTGTGTCTTAGTGCTTTGCCCTTTTTGCTGGTGGATATTCGGGCTCTGGTTCACCAGAAACATCCACGTTGTAGAGCGGAGGCTGGACTCCAGCACCGTAGGACACGTCCACATGGACCAGACCGTCTTCATCCACTGTCTCTGTGAACATCGGACGGTCCAGTCGCTCCCACAGCTTCTGCTTGATACGACGACCCAGACCCAAACTATATGGACGCAGGCGACCGTCCGGGAACCTGAGAGGAGAAACACAAAAATAAATCTTTATGATGAAGGAAAATAGAGAGATAGATTTCTAAGAGAGTGGAAATTCTGTAAATGAACTGACTCGTTTGTGACACAACGTACCTCAGCATGTTATCCACAACTTCATGGTAGATGAGCTGGTACTCCTCGACTGAGCGGTTGTGGATCCTGATAGGGTCTTCGAGGTGCAGGGGAGCAGTGGAGGTCCGGAGGCCGGGGGCCACATTAGAGACAGGTGGCAGGTCAGCAGAAGCAGCAGGGCGCCGGCGCTTTGTATGTGCCACCTGGAGAATGTGCCAGAGGATGTCAGACTCTAGCAAACTTCTTACTTAACAAAATACTTTTATAATTGAGGAAACAATACTTCAGTTCTTGAAGATTAAACCGTGTACAATTTCAAGGAACAGAGTTGAGTATCAGATGTCTCACCTGGTCGTCCCTGCAGCAGGGACACTGTCTGCAGACGGCAGGCCTCCTCTGGCGGGCAGAGACTCTCCTTCCTGTCTGGTTCTCCTGCGGGAGGACGGGCACTCGACCCTGCAACAACACACACTCATGTTAGGATGAGGCTTTAAAAGTACATGCAGGATTTACCTTTTTCTAATATTTTGTCATGTCGTAATAGGAAAATCAAATGTGTTATTGCTAGTTTTATGTGCTGCAACATTACCTGGCCAAAACCTGATGTGGTTGTTGGATAAAAAACATAAATGAAGGAATATGAAACATGTAATCAAAGTCTGAAAACCTCATCAAAAATGCTACGTTAAAGTAGGCTACTTCAGTTACTTTAATTAGTTACATTCAAAGTCACAATATGAATGTATTTCAGCTTGAAGCTGGGTGATATAGCCTACAAAGTTAATATAAATGATTTGTATTAGACAACATTTATGTGTTATTATATTCATATAGTCTTGTTTAGATTAATTAATGTGTATTTTTGGTATTTCGTACTGCATAGATTCATTAATTGAATTGTTTCAGTGGCACAGCCGACATGATATTAATGTAATATCAACTTTGTGTAATGGTACTTATCGTTACAGGAGCCTAAATGATTTGTTAAACATCAGTAAACTGTGAGGTTTCTGAAAATGTCGACGGTAAATTACATTGGAAACAACGGGGACATGAACGGAATGAAATCTTACATTTTCCATACTGAAAGTGAGTTTTCTCTGCGTAATAACTATCAGGCGGTCTCTGACTCTTCGGGATGTAAAAATACTTGAGTAGAAGCGATAATTTGGAAGAATCGTAGAGTGAAAGTGGAGAAAATATTTGTTGTGACCGTCTTCAGGTAGTTTTCAGGTTGTTATGGTTTAAATATTGATCCGATATTAATGCACGTCCTGCGTCAACCCATGGCAACCATGGAATCCTCTACGTCCATTTTGTGCACGCAGTCACGTTTTGCCTCTAATATAAAGTGTATACTATCAGCCTGAGATAAAGTTAATATAAATGAATCTGTATATATAACTGGTATTGAACTGGAGTATTACACGCAGTTTTCAGTTTGCTATTAGAGATAAATCCAAATATGTGCAGGCAGTGCAGCAGAGACCATAGTGATATCAGTAAATGGTTTATCGTTATCTTTAACCCGAAAACAAAACTCTATGGGAATATAAATTATGGCAGCACTTGTTATTGAACTATTAGTGGTAGGACTACATAGCCTACCTGTTGTTGTGGTCGTTCCTTTCGTTAATTACTCACACAGCAATTGTGCAGCTTGTTGAAAAATATTTAACTTCCAACTTTCCTTATAGCTACTGTTGTAACATAATCTAGCAGCCAGCTCTTTCTTTTATTTGAATGTCCCTCTGAATGAACCATATCGTGGTAACTGACCATAACGTGGATTTGTTTTAATTGTTTTATTGACAAAGGTGTTATGATAAGATTTACACCACTCATATTCACAGAGGTGGTAGAAGTACTCAGATATTGTACTTGAGTAAAAGTAGAAGTAGCCTCAGAGTGTAGGAATACTCTGTTACAAGTAAAAGTCCTGCATTCAAAATGTTACTCAAGTAATAGTACAAAAGTATTAGCATCAACATATAATATAATAACATTTTGCAGAATAATATATATGATATGTTTTGATTATAATTATTGATGCATTAAAGTGTTATCAAAGCTGGTAAAACGTTTTTTTCACATTTGTTATCCAAATCTGCAAAGATATTAGATAAATGTTGTGGAGTAGAAGTACACTATTTACCTCTGAATTGTAGTGGAGTAGAAGTACAAAGTACCAACAAATACTCAAGTAAATTATGTTGCGAAAATGTTTAATAACCCAGTGAGAATAGTTTAGGCAGAACAAACATAGACATACAAATGTCCATTATAATTACAAGTCTCTCATAATTCTACTTAAGCAGTAGGCTACTTGAGTAAATGTACTTAGTTACTTTACACCACTGATTGTGACCTATAGCTATCTCAACCCTCTTGTGTCACTTCTGGTTGAAAAAGTTGCTGATTGCCAAAATGCCAAACTTGAGGCCTCGTTAAAAACGTAGTCCATAAACCTATAAGTGAGGTCACATTAAGTAGGCTACACCACTTATTGTATACTGTCCCCTTGTGCCTTCCAATACTCCTTATTATCATACTAATTTGAATGGCAAAAAAGGTTTAGCATGTCCCTATACATAGTACGTATTGTGGGGGAAACAGCAATGGAGAGTTAGGACTCAGAGAGACACGAGGAGAGCTGGAGCTTTGATGGCAAACACTGGTGGTTTATTTGGAGTTATGGCCGGAGAATTGACTAAACAGGTGGTGCGTCACGAGTTGACACAGCGGTTGCCAAACCAATTCTGAAGAACTCTTTCTGTAGCTCGAGGTTTTAACTAGTTCAGAGTGTAATAATCAACATTCTTTATCAGTGAGACTAAACAATTATGGACCCTGAATCCAGAGATGGGGACTCGAGTTTGTGACTCGGACTCGAGTCGCACACACAGAGACTTCAGACTTGACTTGGACTCCTGCTCAAAAGACTTCGGACTCGACTTGGACTCGTGTTTTGGGACTCGTGAACAATCATTTTGTTTTCTATTTTTGGCGTATTAAAGGTGGGGTAGGTACATTTGAGAAACCGGCTCAAGATCGCTAGAATTTGAAAATACACAACCGGACAAAATCTGCCACTTCCTCACAGAGCCCCTCCTCCAACACACACGAACGCGCACATGACCAATGAGGGCACGAGATAAGTTTGTGCCCCGATGGGAGGCTGACAGGCAGGTAGGCCATCCAGTTACTTTAGCCGGGCCGGCTATCGGGATGTTAAGAGCATTCCATGGAATATAACAAAAAGTGTATCTCGAGCCGGTTTCTCAAACTTACCTACCACACCTTTAACATTAACATTAACATCATGGTAACACCATGGCGACAGGCCGCACACCTGCAGCTGTACCGCTTGTAATTAGGTTCAACTATAAAAACTTCGAACAAAACGCCGGCGGCACCAACAAAAGGAGCGCACACTGCAAAGTCTGCAATATTAAAATCAAGGATGCTGGTGCAACAACGTCAAATCAGGCACTTGAAAACTCACCCGGAGAGGTCAGTCACATTAACGCATATGGATGGTTAGCAAACATGTTTAGCTCAGCATCAGCTATGTAATGTTAACTTAGCTTTGTAACTGAATATTTGAAAAGCTGAGTGAATGTTTGCTTGTCACACTTGTTTGCGTTGAGTGGCGTTGACATCCAACTCTTGACATGACATAAAAAAGGTCGGTAACGTTAATCATTACGTTCCGCTGGCTAACGTTAAACGTAGAAAAATACATAGTTACATACATAAATACATCTGTTGGTTTATAGGCAGGTTACAGGTTTACATAGCCGTGGGAAGTAGGGGTGCTGCAGCACCCCCTGTTGGCGAGTGGTGTACATTTGAAAAACTGAGTGACCACCTAAATAAAAATGATTAAACTACATAAAATAGTTATGATTTTACTTAAAATAAAATTAGCCGTATACAGTAGCATATAATAGTCATAGTATATATTTGTATATATTTGTATATATCAGGTGGCTTGAATTTATTTTCCAAATAAATAAAATCCGAGTCATCTAGGTCAGTGCTTCTCAAAGTGTGGTCCGCGGACCACTGGTGGTCCGTGAGCGCCCCCTAGTGGTCCGTGAGTATATTGGTAAAATATCACATTTTAAATAAATACATTTATTTAAGTTTTTCGCACTCTCGCGGGAATATCTCCGCAATGGAACGAGCTTAAGTTTCACTTTCGATTGCATGATATAGCCCAGATAAACACCTTGATCACACATGTGGCCACTTGTTTGTACCATTGTCAGGCGATTTGTAAAAAACGATGTGTTTTTGGATATTTGTGGAGTTAGGTGGTCCGCGAGTGTTTTTGTATTGGTTAAGTGGTCCTTGGTATGAAAAAGTTTGAGAAACACTGATCTAGGTCATAGGTCGTGGGAGAGTGACGTAATTGACGCGACACACACACTGCAGAGTGACAACTTTATAGAATGGCGCAAAAAAGGATTTTGGATTTTTTTCTCCAACAAACAACCCAATAAAAAGAGTGGACCACCAGCTACTCCTCAGCCCACCACCTCTACAACTAGAGTAATATGACACAGAAGAGACTGACACATCTGACTTTAATGCATGTCCATAGTAACATTTTGGACAATGTGGATGTATCTGCTCTAATGAGGGTCTTCATTAGTGCCACCCCAGGCTACATTTGGAGTTTTGTGAAGCCCCAACACAAGGTAAGACGATGTTTCCTTTAATGCTGCTGCCGCTGTGCAGTGTTTTGCCTTGTCAATCAGTTACAATTGAATTCATAGTTTTATTAATATTGTAAATAATATTTTCTGACTATTTGTAATGTTATGTAGGTTTGTAAGACCCATAGTTAGCATGTGGGCATGTGCAGCTGTTGCTAAGGTCTATAATGGTTTATTAAAGTTAAGGCGAGACACCCCAGGTGAATAGGGTAATTTCTCCAGTTAATTACCTACAATAAAGCAATTGTTTCTTATATTACAAGTTTTCTGAATATGCAAATGAGCCATTATCTCATTACATTTGCGCATATTTTAACACATTTCAGGAACCGAAATCTGAACTTTGGATAAAGCCAGGTTCAAAATGCTCGTTTCATTTTGTTGTCATATTAGCATCTAAGGCTTTTACAGAAGGGATTTTGGATATCTCTTTTTATCACTCCATAAATCAGAAAATACTGTCAACAGCCCTAAAATATCAATTTTCGCCATGTTTCTAGGTATAACATCTTATATAATTCAGGCTATGAATGATCTATGAACAAACCCTTCTGTAAAAGCCTTCATAGTATTGATAGGAATATAACTGGAAGGTTTGGTGTAGGAGATAAAACTCATTTTGAGAAAAGGACCTTTAAAGATTGCAGTGAGGCGCTAGCTAAACCCTCCTGTTCTTTGGGCATCGACGCACTCCGTGAAGGTATTTCATGTTCGGGGTCATTTGTGTTTTGTATAACCTTGCTTCGTGCAAGTGACAATTGTTGTTGTCTTCTCTGTGAACGTTTTTTTCGCCGTTCCTTTGCCATTTTGAGATTTAAATTTCTAGCGGAAAGCTAACCAGGAAGTGTTTTAGCACATCACGTGACGCATCTGAACGAATCACGTTGTCAGAAGTTGACACGAGCCAATGAGATTTCGTTTCTTGGTTTAAGACCCCTTTGTACTTTCACGATTGGTTGCTGATACAAAGGAAATGACCATATTTGGATCCGATGAGATTGTGCAGGAGAGACTCAGCTTTCCAACGATGACATGGTGCAAACAGCGGTCGCGGTACTTTATGTTACGTTAGAATGCTAACTTTTGGTGAATTTAGGAGAAATATACAGACGCAAATAAACCAACTATAGTAAAATGAACACTTAAATGTGTATTTTGTACGTTTTACTTCCAAAAGCCTTAAAGAAAACATGTTATGGAATCAAAATAGTACAACATCTCAAAATTGACCAGTGCATGAAAAACGATGTTTTTGCCTGCCGTGTCTCGCCTTTAACAAACAATGTATGCGGCTCGTATCGCTGACAGCTGGGCCCGGCCCGGCACCGACTTTTTCTTTTTTTTTTAAGCGGCTCCCTCCTCACTTTTGGCAGCACCCCCTGAGCAAAATGACTTCCCGCGGCTATGCAGGTTTATTGTTGACCACGTAACGTTAATGTTACAGGTTTATCAGGTTACCATTGCACTGGGTTTGAGTGAGAGGATAGAGGAATATGTTTATTTATAGTAGACTTAAAAGATGTCATTAGAGACCCAGTGTAATTAAACAATACGGTTGCAGAGGTCACATTTTAACATTTTTGTCCACTGGCCAAATGGCGAGCAGCATTTGGCTGGTAAATGGTGTTAATGGTAGATATCTCTTTTGGAACAGGTCATGTTTTAATATCACCAGTTCAGTATATTTCAGATAATATTGCAGCAATAGTTTTTTAGTTGCAAATGGCACAGTACTTTTAACACAGTTTCCCTGCGGGGGATTAATAAAGTATTTGTGATACTGATTTCTGATTCTGAAGTGTTTTGCTTATAAGTTGTTTGCATTTAGCTAAAGTGTGATGTTTTTCCTCATATTACATTGCAATAGCCTGTTTAAAGTGATCATATAACAAACAACTAATCAGTACTGATACTGTATGCTAATAGATATAGGAGTGATAATAATACAGTAAATGCTTTGAATTTCTTAGATATAGCTGTACAGCATTCTTAACAGACTGGATAGCAGCAGACAATAGAAGGCTTATTACAACCAGAAGAGACATGAGACTTTTATTTTTTAGAGACTTGAGACTTGACTTGGACTCGTGACCAAAGACTTGAGACTTGATCAAGTCTCACCCCACAAAGACTTGAGACTTGACTTGGACTCGTGACCAAAGACTTGAGACTTGACTTGGACTTGCAAAAAAAGACTTGTGAACATCTCTGCCTGAATCTAACTAGAGCTCTCGTCCATAGAAAAGAATGTGCGCCAGGGAACCTACGTGCCTGAACAGTAAACTACCTCATGGCGGCTTGTGCTCTGTCATAGACTGGCAACAACAATGTGCTCAAGCTGCCCCTCCTAAAGAGAGATAGCAGCAATACCCAAGGCCGTAGAACTATGCCATGCGAAAGGAGACAGTGAGAGGAGAAAATGATTAACTGTGTCAAAGGTTGAATACCTAAGCAAATTGTTCCCTAACACGTATGTCAAATGTCAAAAAAGGATGTCCCTTCACATCTTGTCGCGATAATGTTTTTTCGTCTATTCTGACCCACAATCCTTTGTACAGCGGTTATATTACAAAAAATTCAAGGTCCAATTTGTTGACTAAATAGTATGTCCCGATCATATGCATATCATATGTAATGGCAGCTGCACTAGATACTGTAAGACAAGAAACAAATAGTATGCACATTTTAATGCTGCCCAAGCTGGGAATCAGGACTGTTGCAGGGGCTCATAGAGCTTTCCAATCACAGCAAAACAACCCGTCCTACCCATAAACTGTATATAAAGGTCCTGCTAAACCCATCACAACAAGGGGGTGTCTAAAAAAAGCCACCCAGGTAAAATAACTCCTTGGTACTCTCCACTAGGGGTCTGCTTCTCTCACCATGCAAGCACAAAACAGTGTACAACAAGTCATACCGGTCCCCCTCAAATCAGTCTGTTCGGTCTATGTTATTGTGGGACATTTTCTGGCATGCAGCTGGAGAGGAGGGACAAACTTTATGCCCTCAAACTGACAGAAGTTGAAGACTGCAATTGGCTCTCTTGTTAAAGGGAGGACTTTGAACGCATACAACTCGGCTCAGTCACAGAGGAATTTCCACAGTAACCTGAGGGCGGTGAAGGCTTACACAAGCATTCATAGAGAGAGTGTTGGGGGGGTTTATGTCCATTGTTTACTTACATTGCCTCACCTTTTCCTTCTTGTTGGATTCAGTGAGCTGCAGACACAGAAGAGAGAACAATGTGGACATCTGCAGTGTTTTTGTTCCTGCTTCTAAACGTGGATATGCAAGTAAGTGGTGCTGTCGATAAGACCGTGGCAGAAAACTCCATACCAGAGAAGCTCAAGACAAAAGAGGCTGCAGCGACCAGCAACATTCCTGCAAGGGACAATGCTTCTTCCGGTTACTTGGGCAATTTGCTGGTGGTACCCATGGATGGGAGTCACTGGGTGGGTATAAAGGCCATTGCCCAAGAAATGGGTCGCCGTGGACACCGGGTCACCGTGGTGATACCAGAGGTCAGCATTCGAATGGGTCCAGGAAAACACTACGATACCTTGACCTATCCTGTTCCTTATGACCGGGCTCACATTGATTATGTCATGTCTTCACACATAGACGTGATGAAAAAATCAGCACAGTCTTTCACGGAGAAGGTGGTGACGCGATTTTCGCAAATCCAGAGAATTACGGGCTTCATCCACACCACAGCAGAGAGCCTACTGTTCAATGCAAGTGTCATCTCACATCTGGCACAGCAGGTGAGTGGAAGTACAGAGGTTGAAAACAAAAAAATACAAATATTGACAACCAGAATCTGTTTTTAGTGGCGTCATAGGCAAATAAAGTTCATGAACTACTGGTTTAATGCATCAAATGGAAATATTTAAAAAGGGTTAGGCTTAGGGTTAGACAAATATGACATTTTCTGTAGAAATCATGCATGAGTGTAACAAGTATGTACTTTTAACATTTAAGTATGACATTTTGTATTATGTGTGTGAGTGTTTAATAGTGAAGGTGGCCAAATTCCATTTAATTTCTTCTGTCTCAGGGTCCTGCAACGTGTTATTTTACAATCATAAGTCGAAACATCTGCTGAGAAAGCACTAAATAAACACAATTATTAAGGTTTTAGAGATTGCTTTTTACCCTGTAGTCTATTTTTCGGACCGTGTCTCTCTGCAGAACTTCGATGCCGTCCTAACAGACCCCATGGTGCCCACAGGCTCTCTTATAGCTCGGAAATTGGGTGAGTTATGCAACCCCTATATTATTTGCTCTCATATGTCTGCACAGTTTCTCACCAGTCATCACTTGCAGGTCTCCCCACAATAAACTTGCTGAGAGGAATTCCATGTTCCATGGATATGAAGTCTGCAGGCTGCCCATCCCCTCCCTCATATGTGCCACGCTTCTTTACAAAAAACACGGATAAAATGAACTTCAAGGAGAGGACTATCAACACTTTGGTGAGCAAATGAATCCCTCTTTATAGCTCTCATTTCTTTCCCTTTCTCTATAATTCTACAGAAATATTCAGGTGTATTTGAGATGTTGCCATGGTATAACTTGCCTCTATTATCATGCCACTATACGTCTTCCTGTCTTCCTACCAAGTCATCATGACTTTGGTTTCAGCACTGTTAAAATGTAACTTTCACTACTGTAATTTAATTCTTATGCCAAGCACCTATGCCTTACTCTGTTAACTGGTTTATTAGTGTGAATGCTGTGCAACAGCATGTGCAGTCACCTCAAACACAAACCAAAAGACTGGAGTTCAAAGACTGTCTCAGCCTATTATTTTCTGTTTGATGGAGACTTCATACTGACTTCAACATGTTCCACATATTTTATACATTATTGGTGACGTATGGTTTTAGTTCAAAAGTTTGCAGTTAAAATATTCTGATGCTTTACAAAGCGTTTTTACTTTATTTTCTCTTCTTAATACACATTAATTCACTACTACTTACATTTAATATTTAACTCCTTCAGCCTATTTTCAGCTATAAACTATTACATTATTCAGCTATTTCAGGACATTGAGGCTATACATGTTGTTGTTTATACCTTTTTAAAACCTTTTCTTTTAAATATTAAGCTTCTTCACTGTTTTTCCTACTCTTCCAGTTTAACATTTCACTTTCAAGTTTTCAACAAAGTCATTGCAATGCATTTGAGCTGTAACAATTTGATTCACATCATTTCACTTTTCTGCATTTCTCTGCTAAGTTCAGCAACATACTTACTAAAAGCAGCTACAGAGACCATTCAACTAATAACATATTCAGCTTTTTCTGCATTTTCAGCTAAATTCAGCCACAAATGTTCACAGTTTACAGAATTCACACGCATTTTCAGCAGGAAATGCATTTTCTAGTTGCTGTTTGATGCCTCTGACCTACAGGTGGCTTTCCTGGAGCCGCTGCTTTGCAGACTGATGTACTGGCACTTTGACAGTTTAGCCTATCAGTTCCTGGGGGAGGAGGTGGGTGTGGCTGAAATACTGTCAGAATCGGCTATCTGGCTGCTGAGGTAACATGTACAAAGGTTATTTATTGACATTTTGGAAAAGAATACTCATCAACTGCAGATGGACTTTACCAGTGGTGGAATGTAACAGAGTTTATTTACCAACATAGTGCCATACACAAGTACTGTTTCGACTAAATTGCACGTGCATGAGTATTTCTAATTTCTGCTTCTTTATACTTCTACTTTTCTACATTTAAAAGACAAATATTCCACGTATTCCAAGTTCTTTTACATATAAATACACATTATGTGCTGATATGTTATGATGCAGTACTGTATTACCAATCTACCCGGTATTTTAAGTAGCTGAAATTGGCACCATATTAACAAACTACTATTTTAAAATGCTCTTACATGTATTTGTTAGTAATACAACTGGATGATATAATATTCTATAATAGGATAATACTGTAAAAAAAGAGCAATTCTGCATACTGAGTACTTTATTTATAGCCAATAGTACTTCTACCTAAATGACATTTCAATTCAGAACTTGTACATGTAATGGGGGATTTGAAGACCATAGTATTTCTACCTTTACTTAAGGAAAGGATCTAAGTACTTTGTTAAATGATTGTTTTTGTGTTTCTGTTGTCCTGTGCTACTGAATCAAACTAAACTATAAAACATTTTAGATTTATTATTTACATAAATATGTAAATACTGTGTTTAAACAGACTTGATTTCACGCTGGAGTTCCCACGGCCACTCATGCCTAATATGGTGCTAGTTGGCGGAATTAACTGCCATGTGAGGAATCCTCTGCCTGAGGTAAGGCCTGTGTGTCTGATCCAATAATTAACTGTAAATTGTAAAATTGTTTCATATTATATTGAGACACCTTCTTGAAAAATGGCATTTCAAATTGATTTGGACTCAAATAAACATTCTGAAAATAATATAAAGAAAAAAACTCTCACTGACCTGTGTGTGTGTGTGTGTGTGTGTGTGTGTGTGTGTGTGTGTGTGTGTGTGTGTGTGTGTGTGTGTGTGTGTGTGTGTGTGTGTGTGTGTGTGTGTGTGTGTGTGTGTGTGTGTGTGTGTGTGTGTGTGTGTGTGTGTGTGTGTGTGTGTGTGTGTGTGTGTGTGTGTGTGTGTGTGTGTGTGTGTGTGTGTGTGTGTGTGTGTGTGTGTTGCAGGATTTGGAGTCCTGGTTATTAGACGGAGAACATGGGTTTGTAGTGTTCACTCTGGGCACCATGGTGTCAGATCTGCCTGAAGAGAGAACCTCCGTCTTCCTGGAAGCCTTCAGACAGATTCCACAGAAGGTACAGGAACATATATGTAAACATTACGTAAATGCAATTCAAACCAAACTATCTTCAAAGAGAAATGCATTATTTTTGATAGGTCGTATGGAGATACACTGGGCCGGTTCCTGATAATGTTCCAGAAAACGTGAAGTTTATGAAGTGGGCTCCTCAGAATGACCTGCTCGGTGGGTAAATCCACTGCAACACATCCTTAAATGTGAAGCCCGCGACTGAAAACTTCCCAATGATGTATAACATAATTTAAAAGATCCAACATCTGTGTGTTAGCGCATCCTGAAGTGCGGGCCTTCATCACACACGCCGGCTCACATGGTCTGTTCGAGGGACTGTGTCACGCTGTTCCCATGGTGATGGTGCCACTTGGGGGGGACCAGCCTGACAATGCGCAGAGGTTGGCGAGCAGAGGAGCCGGACTCGTGCTGGATATTTTTGACATAACTACAGAGATCCTTCTGCAAGCACTGAATGAGGTCATCAACGACACCAGGTGAGGGGACGCTTAAGCTCCTTAAAGAGGCCCTAGTATATTTTTCTGGCTTTTCCCTTTCCTGTAGTGTGCTAATAGGTTTGTGTGCATGTAAAGTTTCCTCCAGAGGGAGTTTCTCTTCCAAACACTCCCCCCCTGCCTCAATTGTAGTCCATTATTTACTTCCCTAACAGTGAAATCATTCCATCACACTCGTGCTTCTATTGGCTGGTGCCAATACAACACCTTTTAAACAATAAAGCATGTAAACATGTCACAATAGATATGACACATGAAACTGAGCCTAATAGGGTCGCTTTAAACAAATTGATAACTTTGCCTCCATGTTGTATTCTTCAACTCTTGCCATGAATCTGTTTTTATCCAGGTATAAAGAGAACGTGCAGAAGCTGTCTGATCTCCATAAAGACCGGCTGGTCGACCCACTCGACCTCTCTGTGTACTGGACAGAATATGTGATGCGGAACAAAGGGGCAAAACATCTTAAAGCTGCCGTCCATGGCCTCAACTGGATCCAGTACTACTGCCTGGATGTCATAGCACTACTGGCTACTGTAGTGCTGGTTTTTGTAATCCTGACAGTAAAATGTTTTAAACTAATCTTTTGGAAGCTGAGCAGGAAGAGAAAGCAGGACTAGTCGTTCTATATGTGCACGTTCAAATAAAAATGTACTGTATGTTAAATTGGTTTTGGTTTAAAGATGGGACAGGGTGAATAGGAAGAATAATGGAAGCCATGGAGTGATCAGAAAACATTTAATGAACAGAAAATACAGATAATTAGACTCTGGGGTTGAGCGTTAGTGTCCGCCCTTCTTTGGTGGGAAGAAGGTGTACTCTACAGCCAGAGCAACAGCGAAGGCGGCAAAGCCCCACTTGAATCCTTTCAGAAGCACTTCAGACAGAGTGACAGGACGAGCGAAGCCCCCAGAGTATCTCCAAGCCTCGTTGCTACAGGGACAGTTAAAGAAAGGATAGTCAGTAATCAGATTCATTAAATGGGAGACAGCTATATTTACTTTTGGTAGAAACACTGACCGTGCCCATGGATCCTTGAGGCCCCTGGATATCAGCCTCCTCTGTACGATCTCCAGTGGGGTCCCCTCTATCTTCCACTGCCGCCAGTCTGGCAGGACCAGCTTGTTGTGCCCGTGGTCACCTCCCATTCTGAAAACAGATGCATGTTAATATGTAATCACCCATAGATAACTTGAACCTCTCATCATATTATTACTTACTTTTATTTTAGAAATGTGTTGTCAGAAACAAGCCTTACAGGACACACAATATGTCAATGATCCACATATTTGTTTAAAACAGGCTCAAACATGTTTCCGCTTATGTAGAAGTGAAAACTGCTAACTCTTTGGTTTCCATGTCTGTTTACGTCTAGAGATGTACATGTGGGACCAGGTTTCAACCATGTTTAAATGGCATTAAAATGTTTGTAAAGACGAACGATTTATGTTATGCTCATTGTATAAGCATATAACTGGTCTCAGGTTATACACTATTTAGTGCCATTCAATATGGAGGTTGATGTGATTGGCTGTTTTCTATTGTCTTATACCTGTCTACATTACACTGGCCCAATACCTGTTTAAGCTTTTCTAAGATTCTCAGGACGCAAGTTGGCACATCAATCAAACTTTATAACACTCGGTTTAGGCAATCATTATCATTATGCAATGTTGATGTTTTAATCTTTGAAATAATGGATGTAAACTAGCTGTGAAGCAATCTCTGGCAGTGATTTAAATGTTGTTGAATGTTTACTGTTCGTAAATAATCAATAAACAATCTGGTCGCAGCACCTGCAAACACTGAACCTGTCAAAGCTCAATGATGTTAAGCGTTATTGAACATTTGAAACATGCCCTACTTTATTCATGACTAGCTTTCTTTATACACAGTGTCATACAAGTTACGTGTCTTACTAAAGCAAAGATGTGTACATAATGAATAGGGAAAAAAGCGTTGTTTAATGAAAGTACACAGCGTTTCACCAGCGAGCATTTCGTTAGCTAACGTGCTAACGTCAGCTAACTTGTCTAGCTACATCCATACAATTGCAGCATTTGCTCTATGAGGCATTATCTACAGCTTCATTTGTTAATATACCGTTGTCAGCCACAGTGAAAGAGCAACAAAAGATGCTTCAGAAATGTAACATATTAATTAAAAAGCATAACACTGTACCTGAGTGGTTTGTTGTGACCTCTGTAGCAGGACTAAGTGTTCTTCTTCTTCAGCGTTTTATCGCAGGTAGACACCAGGGATACAGTACATTACCGCCACCTACTGTGTTGGAGAGTGAACCAAAAATATCTATCTATATCTAAGAAAAAAGGAATCTCTCAGAAAATGTTAATAAAATATACACTGACTAAAACGTAATGTCTAATGAACAGCTCCTCGATTAATTGTTACTAATCTAAAGTGGTTTAACGCCAATATTACAGCAAAGCACGCTGGACCAAAAAACAAAGCGTCTTGCACCGTTACAAGTACATTACATTACATTACATTGCATTTAGCTGACGCTTTTATCCAAAGCGACTTACAATAAGTACATTCGACCAGGAAGACACAACCTTGAAGAAAACAGAATCATATAAGTACATCAGGTTTCATAGAGCCAAACATTTCAAGTGCTACTCAACTGGCTTTAGGTAAGCCAGTCCTTTATGAGTATAAGTGCTTCGTTAATAGTTCTAACGCTCGAAGTGGAGTCGAAAGAGATGAGTTTTCAGTTTGCGCCGGAAGATGTGCAAGCTATCTGCCGTCCTGATGTCAATGGGGAGCTCATTCCACCATCTTGGAGCCAGGACAGCAAACCCACGTGTTTTCGCCGATGGGAACTTGGGTCCCCCTCGCAGCGAGGGCGCAACGGGTCGTTTGGCTGATGCAGAGCGTAGTGCACGCGCTGGGGTGTACGGTTTAACCATGTCCTGGATGTAGGAAGGGCCAGATCCATTCGCAGCATGGTAAGCAAGTACCAGTGTCTTGAAGTGGATTCTAGCAGTTATCGGAAGCCAGTGAAGGGAGCGGAGGAGCGGAGTGGTGTGGGAGAATTTAGGAAGGTTGAAGACCAGACGAGCCGCTGCATTCTGGATGAGCTGCAGAGGTCGGATGGCACATGCAGGTAGACCAGCCAGGAGGGAGTTGCAGTAGTCTAGGCGTGAGATGACGAGAGCCTGGACCAGAACCTGAGTCGCTTTCTGAGTCAGCTGGGGACGTATCTTCCTGATGTTGTAAAGCGTGTATCTGCAGCAACGGGTTGTAGCAGCGATGTTTGCAGTGAAGGACAGGTTGTTATCTAGGGTCACACCCAGATTCCTTGCAGTCTGAGTCGGGGAAACAACTGAGGTGCCGATGTTGATTGTTAGGTCAAGAGTGGGACAATCTTTTCCCGGGAGGAAGAGCAGCTCAGTCTTGTCAAGGTTGAGCTTGAGGTGGTGAGCAGACATCCACTGAGAGATGTCAGCTAGACAAGCAGAGATGCGTGCAACGACCTGGGTCTCTGAGCGGGGAAAGGACATAATTAATTGGGTGTCATCAGCGTAGCAGTGGTAAGAAAAACCATGCGGGCTAATGACTGATCCGAGCGAGTTTGTGTACAGGGAGAAGAGGAGGGGACCAAGAACAGAGCCCTGAGGGACCCCCGTAGAGCTATACCTTTATTTATTGTTGTAATATCTGGGTCATTCCAGAATTGGAGGACATTTCATGTCCCCCATATAAAAAATCTAATAATCCATGCCCAAAATGCTAAAACATGCACTTGTTGTGTTAAACATACTTGTATTGAGACAAAATGTATATAAAGTTGTAGAAAAAGTGGTTTCAAAATATTATTTAAATGGTCAAATAGCTCTCGAATATCCCCTAAAATGGCATTTTTCTCTTGTCCCCGCTTCTTGGTGACCAACTTGCATGTCAAATATAACATTTAAAATAGGGATTTTATTTACTTTTTTTGATATTATTCTATTGATATATGTCTCTTGTAATGGTAAAATCAATTTGTTAAATCATAAACATATTTTAGATAACAGTAATTTTGCACAGAAGGTGTGCCCTCAACATGCGTTCAACCCTGTTACCCAAACCTTTTTAGATTGGCACATGAAGTGAACAAACTGTAAATCAGATGACACAGTGGAAGTGACATCAGCAAGCCATGTGCTCGTGCCATGGGTAGACCAAAACTAAGTCCTCTCTTTTATTTTTCATATTTTTACAATCTTTTCAGTCTTAAAAGAGTGTGGCAATCTGTGCCACTCAACCCTGTTACTCATATTATCAGAATAAATCATATTCATTTCAAAGTTATCTTTCTTGCATTAGATATCCAAGTTTGTCCTTGCCTTGAAAGTAGCATTACATGCTACATCTAGCAATACTTCCTGAGGTTAAAGCTCAAATTAGCATTGATTTTCAACCCTGTTACTATAATTAGAGTAACAGGGGTAATTCTTCATTGGAAAATATTAATTTGATGCCTAGCTGGGCAAATCACTTTTTTTGATGGTTTGTTTTCTGTTTTTCCTAAATACATTAAAAAAAATAAAAGGTTCATTTTTCAAAAATGTTGGTGTCTAAATTGTCCTCCAATTCTGGAATGACCCATCTAATAAATTGTAAGACAAGCTATTTTGTCATTGGAAGAACAAATACTTTATTTCTAATATACATTATTCTTTTACTTACTATCCAATTAAACCATCCTTAGGGCAGCAGAGCGGAAACGGTGGAAATCCAAACACCATGACGACTTCCTAACCTATCAGGCTCTCCTCTCCTCTTTCTCTGCTTCCATCTCTCCGGCAAAAAGCACTTTCTTTCAAGATAAGATCCAATCTTCCTATTCCAATCCCAAAAAACTATTTTCAATCTTTTCCACCCTCTTGGACCCCCCCAAAGCCCCTTCCCCCTCCTCCCTTCTGTCAAGCGACTTTGTTAACCACTTTGAAAAAAAGGTTGATGATATTCGCTCTTATTTTTCTGACTCACCTTTACTCACCGCTGGGTCACCAGACCCTCCTTTCACCCACACACTAACCTCCTTTTCCCCTCTCTCTCCAAGTGAGGTTCTTACCCTCATTACCTCTGCCTCTCCTACCACCTGTCCTCTGGACCCTATCTCCTCAAACCTCCTTCAGACTATCGCTCCTGATATTCTACCGTTTCTCACCCATTTCATCAACACTTCTCTAACTTCTGGTCACTTTCCAAACAGTCTCAAGGAGGCAAGAGTAAACCCTCTCCTAAAGAAACCCACTCTCAACCCGTCCGATTTTATAAACTACAGGCCTGTCTCTCTCCTCCTGTTCCTGTCTAAATCACTTGAACGCGCTGTCTTTAAACAACTCTCCTGTTATCTCCATCAGAACAACCTTCTGGATCCGCACCAGTCTGGTTTCAAGGCAGGTCACTCCACAGAAACTGCTCTCATTGCTGTCTCTGAGGAACTGCACACTGCCAAGGCAGCATCCCTCTCCTCTGTCATCATCCTGTTGGACCTGTCTGCTGCATTCGACACGGTGAACCATCAGATCCTCCTTCGCACTCTCCAAAATCTTGGAGTTTCAGGCTCTGCACTTTCCCTCCTCACCTCATACCTCAAAGACCGTACCTACAGGGTAACTTGGAGAGGGTCTGAATCCGACCCTTGTCAATTAACTACAGGGGTCCCTCAGGGCTCTGTTCTTGGTCCCCTCCTCTTCTCCCTGTACACAAACTCGCTCGGATCAGTCATTAGCCCGCATGGTTTTTCATACCACTGCTACGCTGACGACACCCAATTAATTCTGTCCTTTCCCCGCTCAGAGACCCAGGTCGTTGCACGCATCTCTGCTTGTCTAGCTGACATCTCTCAGTAGATGTCTGCTCATCACCTCAAGCTCAACCTTGACAAGACTGAACTGCTTTTCCTTCCGGGAAAAGATTGTCCCACTCTTGACCTGACAATCAACATCGGCACCTCTGTTGTTTCCCCGACTCAGACTGCAAGGAATCTGGGTGTGATCCTAGATAACAACCTGTCCTTCACTGCAAACATCGTTGCTACAATCCGTTGCTGCAGATACACGCTTTACAACATCAGGATACGTCCCCAGCTGACCCAGAAAGCCACGCAGGTTCTGGCCCAGGCTCTCGTCATCTCACACCTAGACTACTGCAACTCCCATCCTGGCTGGTCTACCTGCATGTGCCATCCGACCTCTGCAGCTCATCCAGAATGCAGCGGCTCGTCTGGTCTTCAACCTTCCAAAATGTTCCCACACCACGCCGCTCCTCCGCTCCCTTCACTGGCTTCCAGTAACTGCTAGAATCCACTTCAAGACACTGGTACTTGCATACCATGCTGCGAATGGATCTGGCCCTTCCTACATCCAGGACATGGTTAAACTGTACACCCCAGCACGTGCACTTCGCTCTGCATCAGCCAAACGACTCGCTGCACCCGCACTGCGAGGGAGACCCAAGTTCCCATCAGCAAAAACATGTGGGTTTGCTATCCTGGCTCCAAAATGGTGGAATAAGCTCCCCATTGACATCAGGACAGCAGAAAGCCTGCACATCTTCCGGCGCAGACTAAAAACGAATCTCTTTCGACTCCACTTCAAGCGTTAGAACTATTAACGAAGCACTTTTATACTAATAAAGGACTGGCTTATCTAAAGCCAGTTGAGTAGCACTTGAAATGTTTGGCTCTATGAAACCTGATGTACTTATATGATTATGTTTTCTTCAAGGTTGTGTCTTCCTGGTCGAATGTACTTATTGTAAGTCGCTTTGGATAAAAGCATCAGCTAAATGCAATGTAATGTTAAACTATAAAGGGCATTTTTTTGGTCCAAATAAACACTTTATATGATTCAAATATGTTTTTGTTTTACAGTACTATGTTTCATTTTCTGTTTTCCCTTAAATATTGGACAAATAAAGGAAACATGTTACACTTACATATAAAGTCTGTATTTCATAACTATATCAAAGATGAACAGCCTCAGTACATATATTTAAAACATTATTGTAATTTTCCATCATTGTTTCTGTCTTTTGTCTCCATTTGCAAATAATGCAATGTTGTCAAATAGCACCGTTAATTACCAACTTACAAAGGCACTGAATTTTTTTATATAGTGCTCTGACACAACTCATTACCAAAAAAACAATCAGACACTTGTATATCTATTATTAAATACAATTATATACAGAATTTGTTATAATAAATCACACTATCTTAGTCCCGGGCCACTATGGTGTCTTGTTTCTTCCCATTGCTTGTGGTACCCATCAGCTCTCTGTCCATGGTGGTATGTTTATACATTGGGCTCAGACAATTAGAGCTTGCTTTTGGGGTTGAGTAGTTCCTTCAGAGCCTCCTGGTTCTCCCCCTCTGGAGCTTCAGGCCATGCACTGTGGTCTGGAGAAAGAAACAAAAAAAGACAATAATTTAGAACACAAAATAGTGTGCTGTGTGGTATGAAGTATAAACCGTAGTGTTGATACGTACTCGGTATCTCCCACATGGAGTGGTACAGACTCTGTCCTGCATCAACCCTCAGAGTGTCTCCAGAGATGTAGGAGGCCCCAGGAGAGAGCAGGAAGCAGACTGCTGATGAGATCTGAACAAAGAAACAAGTACAAAAAAAAAATTAGATATAGCCAAAACTTTTCTTTAATCTGTTAGCCTACTTTTATTATTTTTGCTTTCAATATACACTGCCCCTTTGCTGTTGTAACACTTTACATTTGCCCAGTTTGGAACAAATAAAGGATTTCTGATAGTTTAGTTTGTGGCTCAGTGGTTAGTGTGCTGGACTTGGAATCAGGGGATAGCAAGTTCGAGTCCCACTGCAGTCAGCATGTCGTTGTGTCCCTGGGCAAGACACTTCACCCCAAATTGCTCCTGTGGGGATTGTCCACAGTACTGAATGTATGTAAGTCGCTTTGGATAAAAGCATCTAACAAATGACATGTAATGTTTATTTTAAAGCTGGAAGGCAGAATGATGGTTATACCTCTTCTGGTACCCCTAGCCTTTTTGCAGGGCTAAATGGAACAGACATCTTAAAGAGACTTGGTCCAAGATCCTTGTAGTTTTCCATTGCAGTTTTGGAAAAGATTGTGCCCTGCAAACAGAGAAAAGCACAGCTTTTTAATTACAAACTAAACACCTTCATCACTTATCCTGTGTTTCCTCGTGATCTGTACTTACAGGTGCGACAGAGTTGACCCTGACTCCTGAAGCGGCCCACTCGATGGCCAGACTCTTTGTCAGGTTGTCCACTGCTGCCCTCGCTGCCCCTGTGTGGCTGTAAGTGAGAGCAGAGATTCAGTAAGTACATCATACAAAGTCTTGCTCCTTGATTATTGGTTGAACCAGAGTGGTTCTGGTAAGAAATCAAGGTTGAGGAGCAAGCAGAGATCTCTGTGTATCGATGCCAAGGATACACGAGAGCATCCTTCCTCATTGATGAAGTGCTGTAGCTGATCTGACTGATATGATACATTACAGTCAAATGCATCAATCCCATGTAACGGTTTTTTTGTTTCTGATTTACCATATAGTTCAAAATCTGTGTTTATTGTAGATCTGAACAATAAAACGAACCAAAATCCTCCTAATTTTTCTTATTAAACATTCTCTTTTTCCCTCTCCACGCATGGTTTTCTTGCATCATACAGCCCCAGAGGGAGGGATTAAGACGCAAGGAAAATACCTAATTGACGGTATCATGAATTTAATTTAAGACTTGGGATTAAGAACTCACAATACAGAAGAAATGACTAATTAGTTTGACTAACTTTGCACTGTGATTTATTTCAGATATATGAGGAAATTAGCAATGTTGAAACAATATTAAAATGATCACTTAAGAAAAGTTCTCATGCATCTGTTTACAGTTAATTTATATATCGTTACAATATTTAGTATTGTATTCCACTGTACAGTATTTCATTGGTTTTTATTCTGTCTTAATCTATTTGACATGCATAGAGTTTACTTCTTTCTGCATTTTACTTGCACCTTTGTTTCCCTTGCAGTATTTCATTTTTATTTCTTCTTGCATTATTTTTATTTATTTGTATGTCTTAATTTTTTGCACTGTAGAAGGAGCCAGAAAGTGAAGATTTTCATATCACCTTTTGATAGAGCCTTTTAATCTTCTGAATCAATGTAAAATATATTAAAATGAACATAGTGTGATATTTTAAGAGGATCTTTATCAAACGAGGATTTTTATCATAGCGTTTGAATGCCTGGACTTCTCTGCAGCACCACAATGCTTCATTCAGAATTTTCACATATTTTGTATTTACCAAATATTGCGCTGACTGCAATTTGGAATTGCACTCATTAACATTGAGTCATTTTGTGTTTTAACTAAATGGAAACGATTGTGTGAATTAATTTGGTGTTGCTGCTTACGCCATCCCCGGAAAGCCTTTCCACATGTCAGCTATGATGTTGACGATCACCCCTCCATGCTGTTTCATCCATGCGGCGTACACTGTGTGGACAGAACCATAAAAGTCACACTGAGCTCTTTATCCAACACACACTGAGGCGGTGTTAGCGTCTTTACCCTGCTGGCAGCAGTGGAAAGTTCCTGTCAGGTTGGTGTCTATCACAGCTTTCCAGCCTTTAGACGACATGTGTTCTGCCGGGCTGCTGAACTGACCTCCTCCATTGTTCACCAGGAAGTCTATCCTACCGTACCGCTTCAGCACTGACGACACAAGATCCTTCACCTGGGCATAAAAGAAAACAGAAAATCAGCTGTTGAAAGCAACAGCATGAAGTAATGTGAGCCTGAGGGTGAGTGCAGGTCCTCACCTCATCTTCGTTTCGGATGTTACACTGCAGAGGAGTGACACGCGCCGGGCTGGAGGCGGGGATCTTCTGTCTCATCTCCTCAGCTGCTGCTTCCAACCTCTCTACCTTTCTACTGGAGATGACCACATTGCAACCTGAAGACAACAGTCATCTTAAAAAACTAGGATTACAGTACTGACTGAGGGCTGGGTTATATATCAATAACATTATATGAGTATTAGATCTTTGATATCTATAAATGGCATTAGTGTATTTTCCTAGAGACTGCATTATAAAGTCATGTCATTTTCAGAACTCCTGTTCAAACTGTTCTATTTGCCTTTACTCAATTAGTCACATTACTGAGATACATATAAATCAAAATGTCATTGTGTGTCTTCATTATTAGAATGTCATTACTACATTGTATTTGAGGGTGTTGGTAAAAAAGTTTATAGTCAGTTCACATGCAATATATTTTATTTAGAATTTATTTTCAAATGAACAAAACACATCCCTTGAGTTTCTGAGTTCTTCATGGTGTGTTAACTTTGAGAGAACTTGGAAATCATTAATGGATTATTTGGAGCTAAACTTTAACCCACACACCCACCACCATTTTACTGAATGTAACTCCAGTAAGTGAGTGGCATTTATTTATAAACTCGTATTTTTCACTGCCTTTATACCCCATCACATTGGAATTAGATGTGGGTATATTGTCCCCGTTTCATTCATGCCAATAAAGCATTTAATTTAATAGAATTTTGATACATTTTTAACATTCAGAATTCCATTTGAAAGCTGTAACCAGTTTGCCTGCACACTGCACAGTGTTTAAACCTTTATACAGTCTATAGTTTAAACTGAGTGACATTTTGAAGAATTCAGTAGCCTACATGGCTTCTTGTATCTGTGTCGAAGTTCACTTGGCTCTTGTTGTCAGTCAGTCGCTGTTCACTTCTGAATCTCAGCTCTATGAAAGTAAAACTGTTCCCCAAGCACCCCCACATCACTCACCGAGCTCCAGCAGCTCTTCAGAGATAGCTTTACCGATCCCGGTCCCGCCGCCCGTTACTATTGCAACTTTGTGGTTGAACAAGCCCGGTCTGAAGACACTGGACGCCGCCATGTTTGTTTCTTGACGCTGCTGCTGGGGAACACGACCCCTGGTGGACAGCAGCTGTGTTCGGTTCAACATTGATGCCCTCTTTAGGAGTGTTACTACACTGACATTGTTCTGCATTGACCTTGTTAATACAACAGAAACTTAGTGGAATATTATAAATTCAACTGTATCTATAATGTATAATATCTATGTAATATTTTCTTTGTTACTTACACTGAACAAAAATATAAACGCAACACTTTTGTTTTTGCTCCCATTTTTCATGAGATGAACTCAAAGATCTAAAACATTTTCTATATACACAAAATAACCATTTCTCTCAAATATTGTTCACAAATCTGAAAAAATCTGTGATAGTGAGCACCTTTGCCGAGATCATCCATCCCACCTCACAGGTCTACGAAAACCAGTCAGTATCTGGTGTGAGGGGTAGGGTTAGGGTAATGTTGCTAATCGAGTGGCCCATGGTGGTGGTGGGGTTATGGTATGGGCAGGCGTATGTTATAATAATAATAAATGATATTTATATAGCGCCTTTCAAGGGACCCAAGGTTATGGACGACGAACACAGGCAACCCGATTCACATTACCCTAACCCCAGATACTGACTGGTTTTCGGACCCCCCCAATAAAGCAAAAATGCACGTTTCAGAGTGGCCAGCCTAAGGCACACCTGTGCAATAATCATGCTGTCTAATCAGTATCTTGATATGCCACACCTGAGGTGGGATGGATTATCTCGGCAAAGGAGAAGTGCTCACTATCACAGATTCTTTCAGATTTGTGAACAATATTTGAGATAAATGGTTATTTTGTGTATATAGAAAATGTTTTAGATCTTTGAGTTCATCTCATGAAAAATGAGAGCAAAAACAAAAGTGTTGCGTTTATATTTTTGTTCAGTGTATATACCATGGATATTCAATTTGATGTATTTACTATCAATTTTAACAACCAATATTATTCCAACCGTTTAGTACCAGATCTAAAGCTGTTCATAATCTTTTTATTTTATTAATTGGTCTACATTAATAATGTAAATTGATGTTTAAATGAGTTTGTAGGCAGACCATTGGGTTGTTTTTTCATTAAAATATGAAAAATGTACATGATACAAAATCCAGTTATTTAAATGATACACCCTGATGGATCCTGCACAGCAATTGTTCCCAGTTTTCAGCTGAACTCACATGTCCTTGACTCCCCATGTTTTACTTTGAGATTAAAGTGGATGAATTAATCTCAATATTTATAATAGTTTGGTCTACTACTTTGTGTAAAGTTGAATCTTTAAAATTGTAATTACTTTTGGCTTCCAGTTGAACTTCTGTGCCCTCTTGCGAACTGGTTTTGAACATAAGGCTTCATGTAGATTAAGGTCTAAACCTTACCAACTATACATTTGTAATTAAATCAGTATTTAAAATAAATAAATTAGTGGAGCTATGCTAGTCTTCCTACGGACTCCCTGGCAACTTCAGAAGTAGGATAGGAATGATATATATAGTCTATGGTGGAGAATGACTGTAAAGTACCAGTAAGTAATTTTTTCAAGCACTCACAGCAGGAATTATTCCAGTACTCAATATTTCCTTAAAATCGCTGTGGATTAAAAACAGGCAAAGGGTAATGTGGCAGAGCGATAGATTAAGTATAAAAGGTTATTAGAGCGCAGGCCAGAAAGACACTATTAAATACACATTTCTTATAATATTGGAACACCTTTTGATGTTGGAACCCTGATCTCTAGTGCGACTTCGACACACGTTTTGATCTACATTATAAAAACAGACACAATAATTCCGCTCCAGACAGATTTATTTCTTGATGTTGTGGCCATGTCCAGGGTGGGTTAAACAATAGAAAAAGTCCCAAGGTTTACTGGTCTTTCAACTCCTTCAGCCTCCTGATCGCAGACTTGACTGTGACAGCTGAAGTTGTGCTGCAAAGACAAAAAACAACATTAATACTTATTCATTGAGTATGCATTATAATTCAATTTAAACCTTGTTTATCCAATTGCTGTCCCTTGCTTCAACAGGAGCTTACCTCTCTAAAAAAAGTAAAGAAAAAACTTGTTGCCGCATTCATGAAGGTCCTTTTTTAAAAATAACTTTCACATAAAAACTCCATTAGGTGATCTTGCCTTTGTTTCATTAGTTTTTCAATATAAAAACTTTTCCTTTGGCAATATAAAAAACAATGCAACCCTTTTTTTCTTCGTATAAGTCTACCCGTAGCCTTATTTAAGGGTCTGTAGAACAACCTTATTAACAGTATATTGGAAAACATTCCTGAAAACCCCTTACATTACATCAGAACGTAGCTGTCCACAATCCCAAAGATTCTTCATTTGAAAGATTGCTTGCTTTGTGGTTCGGCGACAATGCTCAATGCAACGATGATGATTTAAGGTTTTGATGGTAATTGGCAAAGCAACCCAATAATCTTTCCTATTGTGGTCTGGGAAAGGCTGCTACCATATTAAGTTAGGAAATGTACCATCACCCTTGACACATCAATTAACATCTCGTTCACAGATTGGCAGTTTCCCGTCCAATTTAAAATTTGAACAGCGGAAGCTTTTCTTTAAAAAGTCAAATGTCCCTGAAATATCTTACAATTTACGTTTCTTAAAAAACAGGAGGGGAAAAATACAAATCATTGCGATTTTTAAACATGTTGTAAATGATCGGTCTGAAAAGTCTGACTCAATTCCTTAGTTATCCATTTCACATGTATGGTAAATCTCATTATGTTTGACAAACTTGCTCTGTACAATACTCAAACATTGTGTGACACTCAGCTCCAGGAGAAACCTGTATGGCTGCTTCCTTTTCATACAGTTCTTCTACGTTTTACTCATTTACTGTCAAATATTTGCAGCAAGTAGAACTACATCATCTAAAATAGAATTGTTGATAGGGGAATCAGGCTTAGCAACAGCTGAAGATGCCGCCCTAAAACATTCATTCTCAATATGAAATAGTAAAAAGAAACCTACTTGTATGTCCAGGCGCCTCCAGCCACAGTCTTCCTGCAGGACCCACAGTGCCAGATGCCAACGGCCCTCCTCTTCATCTTGGTCTGTCGAAATACATTTAAAAGTGGCATCTTGTCAACAAATACACAATATAAAAATGTTTTACATATGCTGCAGGTTTTTACATTAATATATACACTTTAAATGAACCTGAATAAGATCACAAGTTAGGTGGAGCTGTTTGTGGATTTTATAGTTGACCTTACCTTGCCACAGAAAGAGCAGGTGTATTTTGCGTGCTGGGAGATCTCAATTTTCTTAACCATCTTCCTCAGCGACGCGCCATAACGCGTGCCATATTTACCCACGATCCCCACCTTCTTGGTACGCTTGGCCTGTGAACAACATTAACACATACAATGTTCAAAATATGCAACAATAATGTAGCTGTAGAAGCAGAACCCCCTCTGATATATTTAGCCGATACTGCTACCCCTGCCACTCAACTCTTAGGCAGCAACTGTTACTAAATCGGCAACGTTTTTGCACAATATTCTAGTTCTGCTTATACAAAAAGCCAGTTTAGTTCTAATGATTACATTTTCTTACAGCTGAGTTTACAGAACACGACCACATGTCACATCAGCTTTTTTAAATGAGTTTACACCATTAAGTTGTGAAACTCGTAGAACCAGGCTGCTGTGTTAGCAGTGGTGTAACCAGCTAGCCTAGCTTCCGTTAACCAAGCTATCCAACGAGCTAACCTACACCCAGTCAACAACAGTGTATACAGGTTTGGGGACTACAACCCTCTAGAAAAAAAGCATTTACGTTTGCTTTAATTTGAAACCTGAGGGTCCTCCACGTAAGCAAGAATTATAGTATTAATGCTAATATGCCTAGCCCACCCGGTACATGGTCTCAGTGAGTAGCAATGGAGGCAGCCATTTCTGTCTCACTAGAACATGAACACATCGTATTTGCTGGAGAAATAATCCCCAAATCGCCACAAATAACGGGCAGGTATAACAAACAAGAACATTGTGAAGCCTTCAAATATGTGATTAAATCAGTATTAGCTCAGGAATTGGTAGATTGACACGGATTAGCAAGGGGACATTTTCGGCTCACCATCGTTTCAGTGGAGACGTAGGTCCAAAGAGGGATTGCTCACCGCGCAGGCGTGATTTACCCACTCGGTTACGTTGCATTGTGGGACTTAGAGTTTCCAAAGAATGCAGAGGCTACGACTTTTTTCAAATAAGTTATTTTATTATTGCATACTTATAATAACAAATAATAATACATTTATCCACCAGCTCGGATAATATTATAGAAATATAATGACGGAAATGATTGTAACTATGGACGCGTCGGTGGATACGCGCACGCGCACTCATGGGGTGAAACAACATCCTTGCTCCTTTGCTGCTGAGTTGAAATGTTTGTTGACTTAGCCTGTCATAATGCGGCATTTGTTTCTTGTGAACATTTAGTACATTTAAAATATTCTTTCTTAAAGGCAAAGTCAGTTATTATGCTATGAAGCTAACACGGAAACAGGTTCTCGCGAAGGCTAAGGCCTCCGACTTGGAGAGCGTGAAGAAACTGAACTGCTGGTGAGTGTCGTCATTTTAAAATAATAGTTAACGTAAGTCGTTTTTGTAGCTTGTTGGTAAACGTTAGAGGCGTATGGTCGACAAGTCCAGCTTATTTGGTATACGTCGCATTTGTAGTAACGTCACACTGCATTTTGTTTTTGCAGGGGATGCAACCTGACTGATGTGAGTGTTGATATGATATTCTGGTTTAGCATTGTAATACTATTAATGCTTACATGACTTTGCTAGGTATATTTATTATTAAGTAAGTGTTAAGTTAAAGTTATATGCAAGTATTGCTATAATAGTGTACCCTTATGCTCTATCTTCCCAGATTTCCATCTTCTCTCAAATAGCTAACATTGAGGTGCTGACACTTAGGTTGGTCTTTTTAGTCTTTGCTGTGTCTCTTTCTGACACATTCACACACGTCACTGACACCACATTATTTGTTACATCTGCACAGTATCTTGAGATGATCAGTGAATCCTGTCTGTGACGTCTTCTCTTTTTCTCCCTCTCTGTAGTGTCAACAGCATCTCGTCCCTCTCTCCTCTGGCTGGCTGCCTGTCTCTGTGTGAGCTCTACCTGAGGAGGAACAGCATCCCCTCCCTTTCTGAGCTCTCCCATATGCGCCCACTGACGCGCCTCAGGGTGCTGTGGCTGGCAGAGAACCCCTGTTGTGGAGCTGACTCCAGCCAGTACCGCCTCACAGTGCTGCGCTGCCTGCCTCGCCTCCAGAAGCTCGACAACCAAGGTGTGTGTGTGGGCCTGTGTTCGAATTAGTTGCACCGACAATAACAAAAAAAACCATAGAGCTATTGACTGGAGCAAAATCTGCAACGCTAAGGTTTGACTTTAGAGGACAAGGTGAGGGTTGGATGAATCATCAGTGTGTGTGTTTGCAGTGGTGACAGAGGATGAGATTGCACTTGCTCTCGTGGAGGGTGAAGAAGTCAACACGCCTCCAGGAAGTGTCCAAAACCAGCTTTCAACCAACGGACATCCAGAGACAGAGACAGAGAATGATCCGCTCAACTATAACATGGAAGAGACCAAGTAAGCCTTTTGGATTGACACCACAGAGAAATAAAATAATAAATCTGTCAAAGTGCAGTCGACATATTGAGAAAAACACATTTCTCATATTTTTCAGCAAAATCAGAGAAGAGCTGGGAATGAAACTCCTCTCCAGAGACAAGTTCCCCTCCCTGTCTTCTCCATCCACCCGAGAAAACAAACTGACATTGAAAAGGGTAAACTTCTCACCTGAACAATGCTTTCTAGAATTAAAAAGCGACTAACTATCTCCCTTATAACTTTAGTTTTATTTTTCAGACACACACTCTCGATGCAGTTCTGCTGCTGCTGCAGGATTTGGATGAAGAGGAGCTTCGCTTTGTGCACACAGCTGCCACAAACAGACTGCAGACTTACATGCTGGATTCAGAAACACTGACGTATTCACTGCAGACACAGAAAAGGGCAGAGATCCAACACTGAAACATTTCATAGCATGGAATCGTTTGCAAGACTCTCTCTTCTTCTTTGCATCAACCGTAGCCTCACTGACAAAAGGGATTATTAAAAATCACCCTCCACGTTATTTTGATCTTTTACCTTACAAATGCATGCATGGAATGTTTCACTGACCTCTTTCCTTTTTGTTACAGTTTACACATGTGGAGTAGTACTTAAAGGGGCCCTATTATGCTTTTTGGGGTTTGTAAATGGTCTGCAAAGTTCTCCCACACATTCCCCCCCTGCCTGAAACCCCCCCATTGGACTCCTTTGTTTACTTCCGTGATATAAAAGCTTTCTCATTTCTCTAATTTCCCCTCCTCGACTCCTATCCTCATGTCTTAGTCCCGCCCACAGGAGATGCGAGCGGAGGAGAGAGGAGGGGAAGCAGCAGGCGTTTGGAGAAATGAGAAATCCTCTCCGTCAATTACGGGCCAAAAGTTTGATTCATAAGTATTAAAAGTAAGCATAGGACACCAAACCAACTGTGACCTGTTTGTCCGCAGCATCTACGCACTGTACAACACACAGAATAATAGGGCCACTTTAATTGCGTTTTTTTTAACGCAGCATGCCTACCTGCCTTGAACAAACAAAAGAATGTACGTTTTGCAAAATGTCAATCTATTTCTGTAATTAAAGAGATGAAATTGCATAACTCACAAAGTGTTTTAATTAAACAGATGCTGTCTGAAAACATATACATTAAAGCACAAGGTGTAAATGTCACAGTGCAACAATGGGGGCATTATTGACAAGTGAAACTTTACATCAAATATTAGATGTATTCAAGTGGGCATTTATATCAGTGATGGAAGCAACCAAAATATTGATTTGCTGGTAGAGTCAGTAGCAGATTTACACAAGTCCTCTCTTTTCAGTCCCCCTCTTCGTTCTCCAGGAAATCCATCAACGTGCCCGGATCCACAGCGACGATCAGGTACTCCACTCCGTCTGCACCCTGGTGAGTCATGGGAACAATTGTAAGTGAGTCTGCTGAAAGCAATGGCAGCCAATAAAGGTTGGAAATCCTTAAGTTAAACAGGGCTCTACCTTGCGTGTGCGAATGAGTTTGTGGTCTCTGAACTCGGTCAGCTGAGTCCTGAGCGTGAGGTCAGAGTTCACCAAGAACGACTCTCGACAACGCTGGTAGAAATCTTGGAATGACAATCCTGCACCCAGCGATACAAATACGTTACAATCTTAAATCTACACACAATCATTTTAAGAAGAAGTTGTTACATCATGTTGAAGCTTTGCGTGTGCACCTGTGTATGAAGGGTTGTCTTTGTTTTCCAGCTGGAAATTCACCAACAGTTTGAAAATTCCTCTGCAAAAAGAAAGAGAACAAAGCCATAAAAAACTAAAGCAATTCGAGAGTGAATTATATCAAGGTTTAAATAGCATCGAATTAATTATTCCAGACTTATATTGATATTTGATTAAATATTGGGCCCTGTTACGCTAATTTTAAGGTTTCATAATATCTTGTTCCTCTTCTGTGACATGGGTCCACCCCTTAGCCTATCATGTACAATGTGTTGAAGCGCTAGCCAATAGAAGCCAGGGCTGCGTCTCAGGTCGGTTAAATGGATTCCTTGCTTCCCTCACTTGTGTCGTTTCCCTGCATCTAGTCCCTCCCACCAGGGAAGCATGGAGGGACGCAAGGAAACCACGAGAAGCAGGGAAACGTGAAGCGACGTCCGTTTGTGATGATGCCGCACAGCTGATCGTCTGACAGCAGCTCTGTCCCCGTTGTTTTCACAAACACCCCCGCCTCTGTTAGTACACATTTACTGACATATACATTTGTATCATCTGTTGTAGATCAAAATAAATAAAATAAGAACTCATTCTCAAAAAAGATAAACGCCGTTCTTAAAATGTATAAACGTATATCGGAGCGAGTGTCTGAGGATTTCACCGGAGGATGGTCTGGTGGTTCCTCGGTTATCGCTCCTCGATCCTCCGGCAGAAATAAGCGCCATGGGACGCTACTCAAGATGGCGCAGACAAATCAACTTCCGGTGATACCGAGACCGAGGAGCAAGGAAATGAAAATAACCGACCTGAGATGCAGCCCAAGTGTTATATAGCTATGTCACTATGTTACGGAAATAAACAATGGTGTCCAATAACGGCTTTTCAGGCAGGGGGGGGAGAAACTTTGGGAATTTAGCCTTTGCAGACCATTTACATGCACAAAAACCTATATAACACACTACGGTTAAACTAAATAAAAACAATTGCATAATAGGACCCCTTTATCAGTTAAGTACAATTTTCATGCAAAAAATATGGAGATTTCCTTCCAATCTTGATATGTTAAAGTGAATATGTTCTAGTTTTGGAATGACAGAAAAATACATTTAAAGCCACTTTGAGAAACTATGGAAATGTTTCCCAATTTTCTGACACTTCCTATATTTATCGCTTCATAGACCTAACTTTTGAATCTAAAAAAACAATGCTGGTACCTTGCATTGGGTGTCAAGCTGCGTAGCACGTGTGTGAGCGAGGACAGGGCGAGAGCGCCGGTCTGCTGCACCAGGAGCGAGTTTTCATAAGACGTTTCCTCTGTGTAATGCTGGAAGGACACGCACTCCCACCACAGCCAGTTGAACTGGCTCTGCTTAAACTGGTCCCACACTGGAAACAGGAGAAAGTCAGCAACAAATACTGACTTGAGTAGAATAAACATACACACTAGAAAACACCCACCCAATGGAGCGTTAATGTGGTCCAAAGAAGCCACCAAGTGCAGGTTGGGCAGGGATGCCAGCTGCCCCAGTGCACTCTGGGTCTTCTCTCCTCGTAGCGTTGGTCCATCGATGTTATGGATTATCAGGTACAGATGGAGGTCTGGGCCTGTAAGTAGATGCTTCCATTGTAAAACACATCATTTAAACATTGGCTTTATAACGGGAAACAATTGACAGTCACACTTACTGTCTTTTAGGGTCTGAGCGATGAACTGGATCTGGTCTGAGGGGGTCCGGAAACTTCCCTCGTGCTCTAGAGCCTCACATGTCAGAGCATTTAGGATCTGCAATGAAAGCATATTATGATGAGTATAGAAGGGCAAAAACGTTAATAAATATTCAGCACATTGAAGAAAAAACATGCACCTGTAGTTCTTAAAAGTCTTGATCAGTTATCAACCTCGTCTTTGTTTTTTATGTTTAGTCGCATCTGTTTTCATACTGCATTACCCTTTTTATGTTGTTACTTTTGGGTTTTATGGTTTTATTGTACGTAAACATTGTTTAAAAAAAAGTCCTTTAAAAAGTGCTATGCAAATAACATGTTTTTATAATTATCTATTGCTGGCTTTTTTCCTTATTGGAAATAAGAAACCTACAGATTGCCAGCCTTATCAGCCCAATCCATGCACATTCCTTTGCAGTTTAATTGTTGTTATAAAACGGACAAGTCAAATCAAGCAATCTGTCGGTTCTTAGCCATGATATAATGAGCGTATATCACGGGTAGAATTGTAGTTACTTTTCACAAGTCCTGTATCTCTCTGCGTCTGAGAAAAGCTACAACCGTTACAACTGTTACATTACGTCCGTTACGAAACTAACTAACTAACAAAGCTTAAGATGGAAACATTTAAGGTTAACTTCGACCTCCGGGCTGGCCTTACTATGGAGGAGTACAAAAAAAAAAAAAAAGCACCTAAACGACAACATGCAGAGCTACGTGAAGAGCAGGGGGGTATACTACGAAGCAGGATTTTCGCTTAGCCGGCTAAATTCAGGGAAAACTCCGGCTTTCCGGTCCTACGAAGCTGGTTCTCTTTTTAGCAGGCTAGATCTCCATGGTAACTTATGCTTAGCGGCTAACCTGGTCGGGACCAGGTTAGCCGCTAAGCATAAGCATTCGTAGTATACCCCCCTGGTTAGGTTGCAGGCTAAGAGCTCAACTCAGTGAAAGCACCGCCTGCTGACCAATCAGAGCTCAGTGTGCGGAGTTTAAAGCGATCAAGTCATATTACAGGAGAAAGGAAATACAGAAAAACTGCCGTTGCAGGAAAGACGGCCGGCAAAAATCACCGACTGTGTGAACGTGAACATTAATAGAATATCACCTCCCATCTTCAGAGCAATCTGACTATTATAACATTAGCGTTAAGAAAGCTTACTTAAATATCTGCCACAACATAAGTACACTGAGTGCAGACGATGTGTCCCATTATCATTCATATCACATCATATCACATCATAATGTTGTATCATATGTCTCCTTATCTGAGTCAGCTGAGCCGTATCTGGCCGTGCAACACTCACAGTGTCACATACTGTATGCAGAAGTATTATTTTAAGCAACACATTAAGTTGACGAAACACTCGAGACAAATGTAATTAAAGTCAGATCGTGTTTTAGACGGGGCCGTGATATCATAAACCTGTTAATGTACGCATTCAAACAGTTGTTCTGTCACCAGCTGTATTCACCTTGCAGGTGCAGCTATGTGGCTTTGATCCTGGATAAAGTGTTTGAGTCATGGATGTTTAAAGTTTAACTTCTTCATATGTCTAATATTAAAGTTCACTTTTCATTCAGGAAGTATGACGCTGCGCTGTCAGTACGCTTCTCCATGTTTGTGATTGGTCGAATGCTCCAAATACCACCCCTTTCATGTGAACGCGCACCTAACTAGATAGGACACGGCTGGCTTGAGCGATCCACTTGATAACCCGCGTCGTAGTACCGTTTAGCGAGAGCGGGTATGTTTTGGATTAGGCCAACCGGCTAACTCAAACATATCCAGGTTAGGTTGAACCAGCTTCTTAGTACAGGCCCCAGGTAGACCAACTGGAAAAGTACCACCATACAAAAGCTTTCTGATGCGGGTCTTAAAAGAAAGCAGAGAAATGATGACCGTTAGTGGCCACAGGTGCGAAAGCTATCTCCAGAGCTACGGGAAGCCAAATCTCGGGGACCGGAGAAAGTGGAGAAATATTCTCGCCATGCCGAGCAACAGCCTAGAACAACCTCAACCTACAAGTAACCACGTAAGCCTTGCTACTGATGCTGGACAGGTTTTCAGTGGCAGCACAATAAATGGCAACATACACATTAATGTAAATAAATAGCCAAATAATGGATCATATGTTCGCTAGCTGTTAGTGTTGTTGCATAGCAACCACCTCGCACTATGTTTTGTCAAGGCAACGGAGGGACTATTTTATTTTAAACATCATTATTTAATCATAAAAACTATTTAAATTAGAGTGTGTATTTTTCTTTCATATTGCCACACTTGGTAACCGTTATAAAAGCAATAGCTCACTTCAGGCCGTGATATATGCTCATTATATCACAGCTAAGGGGCGTGGTTTGGCCCGAGCTATTGCTTAAATATACACTGTACCAATAAAAGCATTTTCCTGTGCACACTGACCGATTTAAGAGTAATGGAGGGGAAGAATCCGTTGACCACGAGGTGGATTTCCTGAGCCAAGTGAGACACACGGAAGTCCTCCAGCAGAGACTTTTTGCTGCCCAAACCGTAGACGATCACACTGAATCCCAACCTACACAAACAAAACACACAGCCACTTGTACCAAATACAAAAAATAAAATAAAAAAACATTGAATAAGGAAACCACACTCAACTGTAACTGTAACATCCATTTGCTAAAGTGCTTTCTGTGTTTGCTGTAGAGCTGCTGGATCTCTTTGGCGCAGCAGGACGGCTTCTCCCCTAAAAGCTGCCCCAACATCTCCTGTAGACAAAACAAAGAGGAGGATGCAGCTTTAAAACACGGGAACACAGCAGCTTGTAGAATACATGGAAGTACAGGCTGTTTGTCCCTGACCCTGTCCAGTTTGGGGGTGTGTAGCCGCTCCAGGGTCCGGTCTGACGTCAACACCTTAGAGTTGCCATGGGCTTCGAAATACTCCTCCACCATACTGGGCTGGTTGAGGGCTTCGGACTTGCTCTTCTTGGCGGGGGTCTTGTAGAGAGCTGCAGATGATCCTTTTTTTGGAGTCTTTAAGTTCTCCTTGTCCTCTTTCTTCACTTTCTTTTCTTCCTCCAGCCCGTCTTCATCGTCGTCCTCCCCAGAGTCAGAGGGCGACAGCTCGCTATCGCTGTCTTGCACGCTTGGAGCTGAAAGCATCAAAGAGCTTAGCTGTACTCCAACTTTAAATATCGGAGCAGTAAGAGAATTTATGAATGTTACACTCACTGGTGATTCTCTTCCTGAGCCTGTGGGGGGTTGTGGAGACAAACTGAACCTTCTTGCTCTGATAGAAACAGAACAGGAAATAATGAGAACACATCTGACACTGCAGCAATTTCACCTAATCACATCTGCTCACGAAAACAATGATGCTGGATGTGATATATATATGTGTATATAAGAAGATAACAAGTAACTTTGATATTATTCAAAGTACTTATTTGTGCCACTGAAAGGTCCAAATTGATATAATAATTCATTTGAAATACATAATCTGAAAAATTATGGAAAACATCCTAGAGAGTAACAAAATGTTTGTTTTACTTTCACTTGATCCCAACTGTTTGTTATAGTGTTGTCTGCGTAAAACAACATTGGAAACGTCAGCGGACAGAGGAGTGCCGGTGTAGTCAGTTTGTTGTTATGGAGTACAGAAAGCGTAGCTCAGTGTTATCTAAAAAGTCTTTTTTAATGTCCTGGCTGAATATTTTGCCAATTTTCTCAAGGTTGATGCCTCGTGAGATTTCAGAACCAGTCTTCTCAGGGCAAGACTTGGTTTTGACAGAATACCAAACAGACCTGATCAAAGGAAATCGAAAGAAAAACATTTTATCTCTCCAAGGGCTCTTTCCAAAAATGTATTCATACACAATATCAGCCAAGTCCTTTAAGTGGACCTACCTTATTAAGCTAAAAATCCCTTCTAGTCTCACCTTCTGTGGCGTCCTGATTTCACCTTTGTTGTCTAGTTAGAGAGAGGGAAAGTGGACTTAGCTGAATATTAATAGTCAGAGCAAAGAATGGACACATTAAAATAGTGAAGTGTGCTGAACTCACTGCGGCCTTTCCTGGTAGGAGTCGAGGGCTCAATGTCGGGGGCTGAGCCGAAGGACACTTTTTTCCCGGGAGTCCTGGCCAACTCACTTGCTATTTACAAAAACACAAAGTATGTTACATCCTGGAATCTAAAGGAATAATCACATGATACAGGCAGCTGGTGTCATGCAATAAAGAGAGTGTGTGTGTTATGACGGAAGAGGACTGAGGCTCTCACCAGTCAGGGCCATGCTGTGTCCACGCCTGGATTTCTGAAAGGAGAAAATGGACGATCCAGCCACTCTGTGCACTCCCTCATCATCTTCTGTGAAAGCAAGGAAAAGGATGGAACTGAGATGTGTCCGATCAAATAATAATTGACAGCAACAAACTCAATGGACTTGTGCTAATTCACGCTGTACCAGTAGAGCTGGAGCTGGTCAATTCCAGCGTGGATCAGTTGTGAAAAGTGATCGGACGTTATAGAATTTTATATTAGATGGCGATAAAAAAACGCTCATAATAAGTTGATCAGAGCGAATTTCCATTATCACGACCATAATGGCGGAGAAGTGAAAAATAAAGCCTGTTCAAATAAAAACCGGGAAATAATAATATATTTCAGTATATTTTAAGATGAGTATCGTGTTATTGTAAATAGTATTTTTGTCCTATTTTATCCACAATAATCCAAACATTACATTTTCATATCATGCCATTGTAGTTTTGAAAATATATTTAGTGGAATAATATACTGTGTGTACATTTGTTATAAATGTGAATAAAAAATGCTTCTAGAAGCATTTAAGTGTTACACAATAGAAGATAACAACAGTAACACACACTCTTCAAAACAGTTTCAACAAAAACAAACACCTTATAACCTAATAATGACTTAAAAAACTGGCAACTTAGTGTATTCTTAGTGTTAGAAGGGTATTGATTTATCTCTGGCATAATTATTTGTTCACAAGTCTTTGCTGCTGGTGGTGTTTTTATTTCTATAAAATGTCTTTACTTTTTTAATGTAATGCATGTTTGCACAACTCACTGCATTGTGATACTGTTTCAGCCCATCTGTGGGAATTCCCTGTTGAACAAGAAAACTAATACAAATATTTTGAAGAGAAAGAAGGGTATTGATTTGAATTATTTAACAGCAAGCTTTATAAAAAATACCCTATCAAACACATCGAGAGCTGGGGGGGGAAACCTGACAAGTAGACTAGTAGCAAGGTTTACTACCCCTAATATGTATTCAATAATTACACAGTACCTTCTGCATTTTCTGTTCCTAGAGCTTCTATATAATGTTGCTCATCAAGGAATACATTTTCATCCCCATCATGTTGTGCATCCTCTTTGGGCCGACGTCCAGCTTGGCTCTTAAACGAGACCATCTTCTGGACAGCCCCACTGCTGCTCGGGACACCTGTAGTTACACACACAAACGGAGAGTAAAACAGAGGAGTTAGCCATCTGCTCATTACCAAAGACTGTGTATATATGATGCTCATAACACAACACATCTAAGCAAGATAGAGGTTAAGTGTTGTACATACCCTCCTGTTTGTCCACGATGTGCTCCAGAGCATCTCCATCACCAATGAACTTCACCTCCAACACACTCATGGCTAAAGAGAAATACAGTATAGAGTTTGACAGGAGCTAGCTAAAAGCTAACTAAGTTACAGTTCACACAAACTATACATTCAAACTCAATACAGACAGTACAGTGTGGTGTAAGTTACGTTAAATTTGTCTCGCTGTGGATTTACATGAATGTCGAGAAGAAAAACGGAACACGTACAGAATAAATATGTTCAAACTATGATAACTTACCAGAAAAAGAGTCACTGTCGCCCAAGGAAAATGTAAACAAAACTAATATAAGCTGAGAGCTACACAGTGCAGTGTGACAACTTTCCGCGCCATCCTCCTGAAGTTTTTAAACCACGTGACAAGTGAAAGGTTATATGGTGGCCAATCAGAATGTAAGCTTTACTAAAAACCACATTTCCCAAGATGCACTTCGTACAGTGGTTCGCAAGCTCCTTGCTGCTGAGACGACCTATGGTTTAATGATTATTTTCAACAAAAATAGCAAACACAACTAGTGAATAATGATACAAAAATAATAAAGCGGCAGTTAACCACTGTTATAATACATATTGTTTTTTTATATTGATTTCCTATTATAATTTTTAGACATATTTGAGATATTATTCAAGAAACTATTCAAACATGTTACTGGTTACATGTTACTTACAAAATAATAATTACAATTATAATTACAAAATAATTAGAAGTTGAAACCAAAAGTAAATTACGTAGTCTGGAAAAAAACACCATCAGTAATCAAGAGAAACAGTAGTCAGTGCACACTTTTTATAAAATAAACTTTTTCATAAAAGAATACCATAAAAATGTATGTATTAGTATCCCCAGTTAGATAACTAGATATCAATTACAAACAAAAAATTGTGTAAAAAAACTCAATGAGTATGAAAAAAATACATGACACATCTAGGCTACACATATTGGAGATACAAATCAAGCTATCACGTATAGCAGGGGTGCCCAGCCTTTTTTGAACCGAGAGCTACTTTTAAAGTTGCCAGTCTGCCGAGATCTACCAGTCCAAATAGAGAGGCGTAGCCATTACTGACAGCCTACTACCAGGTAAATACACACTTCTACCTGTATAAAACTGACCTTTGTACGATGAATACTTCATAAAATACTGCAGATCCTTTATCTTACCTCTTTCTAATCTACACACATACAAGTATTTAACTGAAGTTACACAACAGTGTTGTTGATACAGAGTTGGAGTTTATTCACAAGTCACATACTACAGTGGGTAATGTTTTCAAGAAACATTGAACAGTGCTGCCACATATGACACAGGGAAAAAAGAAAAGACTCGAACCCTTTCTTTGCCATTATATAAAAATAGTGTTGCTACAAAAGTATAAATGAGGCTTACTAATAAGACAACTCAGATCTGAAGCTACACAGGAATTTGCTGCCAAAGTGCAATAAAAAAGACAAAATTAATAGAATCAAACCCTTTTTTGTAGCATTTTAGTAGAGTATAAAAAGAAATGCCTTTTAAAATAGGATGCAAGCAACACTAGTTTCTTAACCTGAATTGATAATAGACTATAATCAATGTAAACAGAACAGATCTTAATGTTTGCATTCTTATACCATGTTGTACAATAATTATAATGAATAAGTTCAAACAAACTAAAACTTACAGCTGATTAATAACGGTATCTAACTTGAGTTTTTATTATATCAAAAGCCTGTTGAAATGCTACTGTTATTTACTGTCCCCAAAAAGCGCATCAGCAGCCTCCAGGAAAGCTTCTTTCACAACTTCGCCGTCTTTGAAAGACTTCATGTGTTTCGCAAGAACGTGACTGACACGATAAGATGCTCTGGTAGCAGCCTTGCTCTTGTTGTTGGGCCTGGTGGAAATGGACTGCTGTGCATTTAGCTGTCCTTTCAGGCCCCTCCCCTTTTGGGAGCGTAGGGCAGAATTAGATGGGAATTCCGTCTCGTAGCGTTTGTGCACTGTTTTGAAATGCCGCTCCTAAATTACCTTTCTTCGATAAAGCCACGCTCGCATTGCAGATGAGACAGATGGACTTTGAATTGGAATAGATACAAAAATAATCATCCTCCCACTCGGAGTGAAAATTATATATTTTGGGCTTTTTTGCTTCTGCCGTAATTGCGGTCTTGTGTGTGTGCGGACTGTCACTCCTGTTGACACGGACAACGTCAGCGAGGCGAAGTCACGCCCATCTACTTCCGGACCATGGGACCCCGGAAGCGAAAAATTTACATTGAATTCAATGGAGAGAGAACACGTATCTTTTGATCCCGTTTGAATTGTGCCACGAACTACACATATGATGTTTGTCAATCTTAAACAATCATTTCCATGTCAAAAAAGTCACATTTTGTCGTAAAACTGCTGAAATATAATACTATGGAAAATACGCTACTACAAAGACTACAAATCCCAAATCTCATTCTGGGTCGCGTAAGTGATGTCACAGGCATGCTCGGTGATTTATAATAAGACTCGTAATTAAAGCGAAGAAGAAGAAGATCTCATAACTGATTTATTCCCTCCAATAAATGATAGATCGCTAAAAATAAATTCACTTTTACAAGATGCCTGTGTGCTTTGTACCAGGTTGTAGTCATAAAAGTGATCATACCACTTGCTCCTTCTATCGATTCCCGTCTGATGAAAGGACCAGGAGTCGCTGGATCAGACATATCAGGTAATATCATAGGTAATATACATGTTGTGCATGGAACATAGTCAAGTTAGCTACCTAGCTAGTAGCGACGAGTAGCGAGCACGTTAGTTAGCATTACATTACTTAGCCTTGTCATTTTTAGTAGCCTTACCATGAAGTTATTATTTTATTACATGAAGTAAACCAAAATGTTAAACAGTAACCAAACATGATGGTAAGTATTTCGTGAAACTTTTGAAGAGTAGCCTACTGCGCCCTCCACCGGGTGCTAAGGAAGCAGTTCAGGGAGAGTCGAAGGCAGGCATGGAGCTTTGCATGTCATTCTTCTGGACTTGTTTCATTGTGATGACAATCTGTTTGTTGGAAAGACAGTCGTTGTGTGCTTATTGAGAGAAAATTGTTAGAAGAGATAATTATTCAAAGTGTTGTTACTTTAAAGTGTTGTTACTGACCTTTTTCTCTTTTATTTTCTTTACCTCACCTGTAACTGCTGAGACGTTGAGGAACATGCACACTGACCTGCTCTGGCAACCTGATTTCCACTGTACGTAATAGTATTTGGTTATGGTATATTATTTATATACATCAAAGGCACAATGCACCCCCCAGAGACACACATGTATTGAGTGTGATATGTTGCATAGGTCATGTGAAATCATCTTTACATACTAGAAAACTGTAGGAGCGGCAACTTGTTTTGAAATTGAATTTTTAATATCCGATAATAAAGTTGATATGTTTTCTTTATTCTTCTCTCTTCCCAGCTCCATCCATCACAATTCTCTGTTCCTGCAGGTCCTGCTTGCTAATCAATGCTCATATTTTTTTACACAATTACAAATAAAGTCATTGTATTGTATGACATGAAGTTGTGCTTCATTCGGAGTCAATAATAAATTCATTCTGCCTTCAACTGCGCAATGATTGTGGACTGCACCGACATCCATGTAGCTGCCCCCCAGTAAGATGAACCAAGCAAAGAGGGTCCCCATCATTCCCAAGGACATCCAGCTGGCCCGCCGCATCCGCGGAGAGAGGGCTTAGACTGACCTGAGACCAGCACACCCAAACACAACAGCTCTTTTAAGAGCCACCTACATTTTCAAAGAGTTGCAATCCTACGTTATTATAATGATTAAACTGTTTCATGTATCACTTAGTTTACTGAACCGTGATGAATGAAATAAATTAGTGAGGTAGTGGTTTACTGAAGTTACAAAGACATTAATATATGAGTAACAGGTCAGTGTAAACACAAGCTTCTGTCAATTATGGATCATTCAAACTATTTATATAAAAATATGTAATAAAGTTCTAAAACAAGTATTCGGTATATTCCTTGATAGCTTTTGGAGAAGGTTGTTTTTAAGTTTACTAAAATCTATCGTTTCAACTGTTTCACTTTATAAAAAGGGAACAGGTGAGTAGAGCATCATTGAGTTTCTTATTCTGTCAGTAAATTATCCAAATGAATGTTTTTCATTATTTTAGTCAACCCTAAACAAATTGATTGTACCTTTTAATGATGACCTTACATGGTCGGCAAAGTTAAATTACCTTCAGAAAATCAAATCTGTTCTGAGAAAAAACGAATAAATGTTTAAAGATAGGAACTTGCCATCCCACTGAAAAACAGTCCGTAGAGATTTAAAGGCGTAGTTGTAGTTCAGTCCAACGTTTCATTTGGATTCATTTGACAACAGTCAACTATTTTCATAAAGAATATATATATTTTTCAAAGTCAACTTTATTGTCAATCTTACTCAGTTTGAGAGATCAAAAAGACGTTTAAATAAAATTATACAATTTACAGATATGTATACAAATATATATATCCTATATACACCATCATGTATAATGATGGTGTATGATGTAGAAGGAAGTGTGGTAGATAACAAGTAAATATAGAGTTACATACAGATCCATGTTACAGCAAAAGATGGAATAACTAAGAAGCACACAGTATAATAATAATTACATGCAACAATTAAATAACTGCTCAGCATCTCCACCACAATCCCAATCTGCTGTGTCCTGTTTTCCTCCCCTCTGCATAACACCCCATCACACATATGAAACACAACGCAGAGTCCGAGGGTGTTAAGAGTATGTTTATTGAAATGTCCTCCTCTCTACTGGCCAACACAGGGAGCATATGCTGGGTGTAGAATTGTTCCAGGAGGAGGAGATTTCCATGCCATGCAGGGTCTTTGGGGATGGGGATGATGATCGCCTCCTTCGTGGTCCACACAACAAAGTAGCAGAGACTCCGGTCTGTGATATGCAGCTGCCCTTGGACCTGGTGCCAGTATGGGTGATTCTCCTTGAGAATATATGACCCACCCTCCTCACGGAGACAGAAGGATGGTAACTGGACTGCCTCCGCGATGGTCATGTTCCTCTGGCTGTGTGGACACTTCACCTCCAGCAGGGCAGATGGCTGCACAAGTCCATCGGGTGATGCTCCCAAAACACCCGACTCACTCACAAAGAGACCAGACTCGATTCGAACACTGTCACTTGATGCCTCCACAAAAGCCTCCACAAAAGCCTTCACCCCTTCGGCCTCGTTTACAACCCCCCAGTTGACAGTTGGCGATGTCTCTGGCCAGTGGGTTGTATGTCTCCTCTCGCTGTTGGTAAAGTTGAGACACCAGCTGGACTACTTTGGAAGTGCCAGGCTTCCTCCACTGGCACTCAACATCTGTGGAGCTGATCTGCCACATGGAAAATATTGCCAATGCTGCAGCGTGGCTGCATTTGTACATCCCCTGTGCACAATCACAGACAGCGCTCTGCATCGCGCCATCATCTCCCATGCAGATCTGTAAAAATAAAGTAAGTACAAAGTAATTTGTTAGCATGCTATAATAGATTGAATGAGCAATAATACAAGGATGGTCCGGATCTGGGGGTGGGAGGGTTTATTTTTCCATAGTTTTGTCCTCTTGTCTGTTGTTATTGTTTGTTTTTTCTGTATTTTTTGTAATTTGTGCTGTATTGGTTGTGATTGTACATTGTATTTTTCTAAATGTGTATGAATACATTTTTGAAAAACATTTGATCAACAATAAAAAAGGATTTGGTCAGGATCTAGACTCAGTGTGTAGTTTATTAATTAATCAATGCTCTCTACATTAGGAAAACACATACCGGTGTACCAGAGGGAGTCACACACAGCTGTGCCTAGATAACCAAAATCCTTGAATCGACACACAGCAAATAAACTCAAATGACACAACGAGAAAAAGGAGATCACACATACAGTATAGTCGATATAAAACTGGCCGCTTCAATCTGAAGAGCAACTAAAACAAAACACGGGAGTGTACCTTGTTCTTGTGAACACTAATGTTATCCACAGCATACACAGAGACCACGAAGTTCTTAAGGAGAAAACTAGTTGTTAAAACAAAACACGTTACTGTACCTTGTTAGCTAATGTTAGCTAGCTGACATTAACGTTACACATTGCACTCATATTACTCACCGAAACCTTGTAAAGCCGGTCCCGCATGCTGGCTCTTACAGAACCGACTAACTCCCCTTTCATATAGGTACAGCTCTCAACGTGCCCAGACTTGTAGTGATTTTCACCTCGTAAAATACTTGTATTCTCATTCTGAAAGAATGTGGTGAAATGTGCTAACGTGACGGCCATCTTTATGTTGGTGACGCGTATTGTGCGAGACCAGAGACCTGTAGTTCACTGAGCGGTTTCACACGAAAAAATGTGTAACTTCACAGTTTTACGACACATTTTTATTTTTTTGACTTGCAAAATGTTCTTTTAAATTGACAAACATCATATGTGTCATTCGTGGCACAATTGAAACGGGATCAAAAGATAACCTTTCTCTCTCCATTGACTTCAATGTATAATTTTCCGCTTCCGGGGTCCCATGGAGGCTTTCGGAAGGGGAGGGACTTCGCCTCTCTTTGCCAACTGCCCACCAGCCACGCCCCGACACATGGGGTCACGCCGGCCAATCACAAAGCTTTGATGCGTTCAAGTGCATTATTCTGGCACAGGAAGATTATGTTACAGGACATTAACGATAAAACAGAATGTTGTTGTTCTATTTTTAGAGACATCTCGCGATCGACTGGGAATCTCCCCGCGATCGACCGGTCGATCGCGATCGACTGGTTGGGCACCCCTGACGTATAGCATCAGTGAAAGCCCAAAAACTGCCTACTGGCATATGTTGCTGCTGTTGTTGTTGCTGGTCTTAGTATGTTCACATAATGACTCATTTATAAACACTGCATTGATAGAATGATTAGGAGACAACATAGTGCTACAGCTTTTATTCATTTAAACATTTAAAAGCATATACATGTGTTTATTTTTCATCAAATTGCTTCACATACAAAAACATTAGGGAGGTCTACATAGTACGCAAAGTGTTATTAAATCAGTGGTTTTGGAAAATCTCTACACTTATATTCTGGGATTAATTACAAATGACATGATTGACAAGTTAGCTATCTGTTCACCACCCGCGTGTCGGGATCCACTTGCCCAGCAGACGGCCCTCAGAGTGCACATGGTACACAGGATGCATCACTGCAGTTGCACACGACTGTGAAAACAAACAGAGACAGGGTCAACCCGAGCGAGACAAGAAACGGATAAGGCATTCAACTCTTCACTCATTGAAGTGTACTGACATGGTAGGGGATCAGTGTGAGCAGAAAGCCCAGGGGAAATTTACTGTAGTCCAGCGGCCCTGAGATGGGCTCCACTCGACCGTGCTCCTGGGTCATAGACAACAACCTGGAGGAGATATAACATTTTATATGAATAACTCATCACATCTTACATTGAAGAATTACGAAGAACTGAGAAAAATCGTGATTCATTTAAGTATATGGGGGTAGCACTTTACAACAGACAAACTATATCAAAACATCCATTTACCAACTTTCACACATCTTGTGCAGTTCAATATAAAGTTTAGTGTGTGCAGCACACTGCTCACTACAAACAGATACATTTTCGCTGCTAAAGATTGAATTGAAACCTATGATTGAAACAAATGTTTTAATATAGTTTTGCTGCTATTAAACACAGACCCATTTATTTTTCAATTCATCTAGACTTTTCTCTGTTTTTCACATGTGAAAAAAACAAAAACTTGTTTGCACTACACAAGGTTAACACAATGTGTGCTATTGACAAATACATGGTCATTTTGTGGCATCCTTCGAAATTAGTATTAAGACTACAGAAAAGAGTAGGTAGCTTCACTTGAGGTCTGGGTGTCCTTCGATCACAGCATATCCAGTGGGAAGTTTTCCAGCTCCGTCTTGACTGAGAGCAACAAGCAAAAAAGTGTTTAAAGAATATATGAAAACAATAGATACCCACAACGATGAAATAAAAACAACAGTAATGTAGTAGTGAGATATAAATATGGCAAATGTATCTGCTTAAAGCGTTGAGCTTAACAAAAAAAGTACAAGCGACACTACTAGATTGACATATTCAAAAAAGTTCAACAATTATTCTCAATATTTCACCTTTATTCTCAAGATCCGAAGAGAGTATTGCATTATGTAATAGCCATAATGCTCTTCCATACAATTGAGGGGAAATACTTCAAATATATATATTTATTCATCCTTTTCCGAGCAACTTATGTGTGCAGTTTGACATCTTCAAAGTTAAGGTCATCTAAAAATGGAAAACAATATTGATAAAGGTACCTGAGTCCGCACCATCCACAGTCGATCAGGAGTTGGTTCCTGTGAGGACAGTGTCCGATGACTCTCGTCAGAACCTTCACAGCCACTTCCTCCAGAGTACACGAGCCAATCACAGACTGCTGCACGTCTACAACACAGAAAAAAGAGAAAAAAAACATCATTTTTCTAGATACACTAACTTCAATCAGAAAACAGCATAAACAAACTGGTACACCGACTCAACTACATAAATACACACCGTAGAATCCATAGTTCCCAGGATGCACCTCGCTGAGCTTCCCCATGTCTTTTACTGGGTGACTACAGGAAGGGGTGGAGCCAATGCTGGACTTACAGGTGATCCCAGAAGCCTTCAGTCTGAACAAAAGAAGAGAAGATCACTGGATGATACATCTCAGTGAGCATTACCTTTTTCACAATTCATTTACACAGATAAATAATTTTTACAAATATTGATAAGAGCATCTTTAATATATCAATGCTGAATTTTGAAATAGGTTGACGTTTTTTTAAGTAGTACATTCATAAAAAAATAAAATAAACTGTACTTCTTAAAAACTAAAACTAGTATATGCCAGTGGACAGGTTATATATTGACATGTTTGACCTTTAATTGCATTTGACCATATTTGTTATGCCATACTTTTCCATGAATTGCAGAGTCAGGTCAGTGGTTTCCTGGGCGACGGCCTGAATCTGCTCCACTCCTCTGCAGTTATAGCTGTTCCCACAGTGAACGTACACTCCTGTTAGCTCCACACCTTTCGTCCCAACGATGGCCTGAGCCAAGCTGATCGCCTCAGGCTGCGAGTGCAGGACCCCAGCTACGCAGATGACAAACACAAGATCAGCTGACACTGACCTATCACATTTCAGCAGTTATTGATGAGCCGTGTCCTGGTTGTGCTGTGTGTTTACCTCTCCCATTACCACAGTCCAGTTTGAGCCAGACGTGCCACAGCCGACCGTCTCTCAGGGGTCTCTTTTTGAGCTCATCCAGAGCATGAGGATGATCCAGTAAAATCTGGAAGAGATCCAGCCTCTCTGAGAGGTCGGCACAGCGCTCCACCTGTCAGCACGCACACACAGGCATACGTTAGTGTGAGTGTGAGATGTCAAAGATAATTGGAATCAGAAATATTTTATTTATCCCCAAGTGGATATACTAATTAGCAGCGGGTAGATAAAAGTTGCTCCATTTTAGAATAAAATAAAATAATAATCTCTTATACATACCTAAAGAAATGAAAAAGTGCACATTGTACTAAGATGTAAAACAACAGTAAATAAGTAAATTACGTATTTTGAAATATATACAGTACTGTAAACATATTAAAGATATTCTTTATAAAGCAAGAACATTGCTTGAAATGTACAGTGTAATACAGTAAGAAAATAAATACAAAATAAATCAAATGTGTGATTGTAATGTCCTGCATGTTGATATTAAACATAAAATGTATGAGTTGGAATGCAAAAAGTCCTATCGTTCACAATATAGTTACATTATTTTCATCCATCTGTGCTTTCGATGCTCTGACAAGTAACGTATATTCCCAATCTAATACTTCATACTTTTAGAAAACATACAGTACTCCAGTTAATTTGCAAGATATTAACTTAACCATTTGTAATTGTGCAAACTGTGACTTCTGTCCATAAAATATATATAATTTTCTATGTTTGTCATTGAATAAGTGTCAGCTGTTTCAGCAATGTTTTAATTATATGTACATGTGAGCACCTCCCCAATTACCCATGTGTATATAGACATTTCCACACATAGTAGGAATAGGTTTAATTTATAACTTGACAATGGCTCAATATACAGTGAATACCAAGACTCTGAAACTGAAACAAGCGACTAAATAGATTGAATTAAAACTGTTTTATCATATGCTTTTCCAATTGGAGCTGTCAAAATGTCTTCATAATGTGTTACTTTATATAGTTATGTAGCTATAGTTTGCATGTACAGTACATTCTTAATCAAGGGGATTTGAAGATGCACTTTTATTTAATTTGATTAATTGTTGTCACTTTTCAAATATTTAAAAAACACTACAAATTCTAAACAGTTACTATACAACTGGTCTTTTTGAATGAGTTGAGATGACCTTATCAAGGGGAAGAGAGTATGCATAGAGGATGTCATCAAACCCATGGTCGGCATAGAAACAGGCCTCTGCCAGTGTGGAGACCACGATGCACCTCCGTGATCCACCTGTCATGATGTCAGCACACTCACTGCACATAAACACAGATACACACACACAGCATCCATTACATGTGACTGGTTTGTGTAAATGTACTGTTTAAGTGTGTGTCACTGCGCCTATCATCATACAGGGTTTTATGGGTCTTCATGTGGGGCCGAAGCTGGACCCCCAGTTTCTGACAGCGCTCGATCATCCTCAGGGCATTTCTCTTCACTTTGTCCACATCCACCACCAGAGCGGGGGTGCACAGAGAGGAGAGGGGCTTCTCTTTCATACTGGCAGCACTTGAACACACACAAATAGACAAAAAGAAGAAAAAAAAACACACACACACAATTTTCCAATCAGATACCAAGTGACAGTGACACTATTCATAAAACATGCACTGGTATACATATCATATAGAGAAGAGTGCATAGGCACAGACAGGGCCGTCCCTCCCTACAGGCCGATCATGCAGGCAGCATGGCCTCACATTGCGCAGGGGGTCATCGGCTTATGAGCTAGGCTTGTGCTTGTGCGCAGTTCTCTATCAGCGCTGACACGCGAGAGTGAGAGGTGTCAAGGGGAGCACGTCTGTAACCCGACACCGTTGTAATGAATCGACATCTGACCAATCACGGCTTTGATACGGCCACTAGTGCAGGTGAAGAGATGTCGGTGAAAAGACAGTTTCAGTCCGGCGCAAGCAAGAGGGAAAAAAAACAAAACATGAAGAAACTAGAGCATCACTCGAAGGTGGGTTATTGTATGAGTCAAATGTACAACTTGCGAATGTTGTATAAATCAAATGTCACACTTTTGCCAATTGCCATATTAAAACATCAGCTGAAATTCACGACATGAAGAAGGCAGTCTCTGCATAGCATATAGGCCAGCGTTTCTCAAAGTGTGGGGCGCAGAGATGGGTAGAAACATGTTTTTTTCTGCTGTAAAATTGGCCATTTTAACATGGGGGTCTATGGAAATGGCTCCTTTCTGCAGTCATCGCTGGGACGCCAATACGGAAGTGCCACACACTGCAGTTCATATATTGGCCGATCCAATATATGAACTGCAGTATGTGGCACTTCCGTATTGGCGTCCCGGCTCTTCCCCATAGTTTGCCACTTGGGTTTGACGTGGCGTTTACAGCAGTGGATAACAGCTTCTGGCCTGGGGCCACATTTATAAAGGGATATACGCTAAAAAAAATGGCGTACGCCAGTTTCTACACAATGTTTGCGATTTATAAAATACTAACGAAAACGTGCGGTCCTCCACGCAAACTCTAACCCATGCGTACGCACTAAGCACAACAACGGGAGAGACGAAAAACTGCGACACCGTTGGCAGAAGGAATAATGGAGAGAAATATGTGGAAATAATACCATAAACAAAATGTTACCTCTCATTTATCATATATGAAGAATTCATTTTCAAACATTGATTAAAGCCAATCTTAAAATGATTAAACAAACGCCTGTTTGAGACTCCTCAGTGCACACAAACATAACATAACTTGGAGAAATAAATAAATACGGATATGTTATTTAAAACCACCTCGAATATGTTGTGTTAATGTTATGAAATGTTTTCTCATAAATGATGCGGTTTTGCATTTCTATAGGTTGTACGAGCATGGTTTTATACTACCATGTTTAATCATGTTTTATGCCGTTTGCTAAGACTTGATAAGTCGCTCATAAAACACAGGAGGTATGGAAACTAAGAACACCATATGTGGTAAATTGTACAGCTAATATAACACAACACATTAGTTGTATTTCCTTTAACTGGTGGATATAGAGTTGCTGCAGTGGAGACGCTGCGCACAGCTGATCGACAGCTGGGACACAAACCACCAAATACGAAAACATAATTCAGATCCAGTCGTCATGACTCCACTCCGGAGGGATTCCCCGATCATTTCTTACAGTCTCTCATCAAGGGTGTACCAGAGATGGGGACTCGAGTCTGTGACTCGGACTCGAGTCGCACTTAAGTCGCACACACAATAGGCTTGTTTGAGACAAGCAAGACCTGCGCAGACCTGCGCAGTTTCGATCAACGTCTTGCTAGTGCGTTGCATGATGGTTAGTCATTTTGTCCGACTTGCTCTGGAGGCCCGCCCACATGAGACTTTGAAATTTCGCGGGACAAAGACGCCCGCAGCCTTGAGAGCGAGGCGAGGCGAGTTGGCGCAGTTGCTCTCCACGGGCTGCAGAAGCGAAATGCTTGATGGGAAACGTCTCTCTCGAGCTGAGCGCTCATTGGTGGTTTTTACCCCGTGCTGCTGATGAAACTCTCCAATTGGCTGGCAAAAGTTTGTTGTTGTTTTGTGTCAGTTTTACGTCGCCACATCCATTCCCATTTTTCATCATTGTTCCACAATGTTTATCATCATGAAATTAATATCTATATATTTTATACTATACTGCTTACCGTTTTCATACTTTATATATCTTAGCATATTCATACACACTGTTCATACTGCTCACAGGCTGATATCTAGTGTATTCATACCCCTCACTGTTTATTCATCATTCAATTCTATATTTTATTCTGTAGGTTGTGTACATTACTTTTCACTTTACTGCTTGTTGCACCTGGTTAGAAGCTAAACTGCATTTCGTTGTCTCAGTACCTGTAATATGTGCAATAACAATAAAGTTGAATCTAATCTTGAGCAGGAACAAATGCATTTACTTAGTACATATCTGACATTAACGAATATACAGATTTGTGCATTCTTTATAAATGCAAACTTGTCAAGACCACTGACGGAAGTAGTTTTGAAAAGTAATAAGTGGTTCTGTCTTTTACATGTATTCAACCCCCCTTGTACTGATTTGTTTCAAAATGAACTGACACTTGAGTCATTCATTTGTAGTGATATATTAATTGTGGGATTTCTATTGCATCCACTTCATCTGCAACGAAAAACGCCAACGCAATGTCCGCCATTGCAAACCCAGCCAGTCAAGCCGACTCCGACTCCGAGCTGTCCGACTTAAGACGAGCTTTTTGACACCTCCCCCGGCTGCGATCGGCTACTCTCGTCTACTTTCGAGGCGAGCCGCAATGTGTCTCAAACAAGCCTAGAGACTTCAGACTTGACTTGGACTCCTGCTCAAAAGACTTCAGACTCGACTTGGACTCGTGTTTTGGGACTCGTGAACAATCATTGTGTTTTCTATTTTTGGCGTATAAAAGGTGGGGTAGGTAAGTTTGAGAAACCAGCTCGAGATCGCTAGAATTTGAAAATACACAACCGGAGAAAATCTGCCACTTCCTCACAGAGCCCCTCCTCCAACACACACGAACGCGCACATTACCAATGAGGGCACGAGATAAGTTTGTGCCCCGATGGGAGGCTGACAGGCAGGTAGGCCATCCAGTTACTTTAGCCGGGCCGGCTATCGGGATGTTAAGAGCATTCCATGGAATATAACAACAAGTGTATCTCGAGCCGGTTTCTCAAACTTACCTACCCCACCTTTAACATTAACATCATGGTAACACCATGGCGACCGGCGGCACACCTGCAGCTGTACCGCTTGCAGGTTCAACTATAAAAACTTCGAACAAAAACGCCGGCGGCACCAACAAAAGGAGCACACACTGCAAAGTCTGCAATATTAAAATCAAGGATGCTGGTGCAACAACGTCAAATTTCATCAGGCACTTGAAAACTCACCCGGAGAGGTCAGTCACATTAACGCATATGGACGGTTAGCAAACATGTTTAGCTCAGCATCAGCTATGTAATGTTAACTTAGCTTGCTACTAGCTTTGTAACTGAATATTTGAAAAGATGAGTGAATGTTTGCTTGTCACACTTGTTTGCGTTGAGTGGCGTTGACATCCAACTCTTGACATGACATAAAAAAGGTCGGTAACGTTAATCATTACGTTCCGCTGCCACCATCTACTGGCTAACGTTAAACATAGAAAAATACATAGTTACATACATAAATACATCTGTCGGTTTATAGGCAGGTTACAGGTTTATTGTTGACCACGTAACGTTAATGTTACAGGTTTATCAGGTTACCATTACACTGGGTTTGAGTGAGAGGATAGAGGAATATGTTTATTTATAGTAGACTTAAAAGATGTCATTAGAGACCCAGTGTAATTAAACAATACGGTTGCAGAGGTCAAATTTTAACATTTTTGTCCACTGGCCAAATGGCTAGCCTAGTGAATGTTGAAATGTTACCAGCCACTCAATAGATTGACATTGTTATTTGTGGCTGGTGCGTGCAACATACAGTACCAGCCACTTGCATGATTTACCAGCATTTGGCTGGTAAATGGTGTTAATGGTAGATATCTCTTTTGGAACAGGTCATGTTTTAATATCACCAGTTCAGTATATTTCAGATAATATTGCAGCAATAGTTTTTTAGTTGCAAATGGCACAGAACAAATGTTTACTTTTAAGTACTTTTAACACAGTTTCCCTGCGGGGGATTAATAAAGTATTTGTGATTCTGATTCTGAAGTGTTTTGCTTATAAGTTGTTTGCATTTAGCTAAAGTGTGATGTTTTTCCTCATATTGCATTGCAATAGCCTGTTTAAAGTGATCATATAACAAACAACTAATCAGTACTGATACTGTATGCTAATAGATATAGGAGTGATAATAATACAGTACATGCTTTGAATTTCTTAGATATAGCTGTGCAGTATTCTTAACAGATTGGATAGCAGCAGACAATAGAAGGCTTATTACAACCAGAAGAGACATGAGACTTTTATTTTTTAGAGACTTGAGACTTGACTTGGACTCGTGACCAAAGACTTGAGACTTGATCAAGTCTCACCCCACAAAGACTTGAGACTTGACTTGGACTCGTGACCAAAGACTTGAGACTTGACTTGGACTTGCAAAAAAAGACTTGTGAACATCTCTGGGGTGTACACACACACTGCCTGAGGAAGGCTCTGTGTATTCTTTTTGTCATTAACCTTTTTCGGACCACTTATTTATTTATTTTGGTGACGATCCGACCTCCATGCTGCTACTCTGGTTCAAACTGCATCCACCAAACAATATGTTTTATCTCGACCTCCCCAAAATAACCACAATCTGACCCCTGGGGCCTCATTTATAACGCTGTGCGTAGGATTCACGTGGGAAGGTTGCTTACGTAGTAGAAATCCGAAAAATAGGTCCATAAATGTTCCGCCACTTCCCGATTCACCAAACATTGCGTACCGTCGAGGAAAGTGCGTACAGCACTTCCTACGCCGGTTTCCCTTTATAAATCACAACCGACTCGAAATGCGGTGCAGCTTTTGCGGGGTTCACGTAACGCCCATATTTGCCTATAAATAGTGAAAGAAACGCCCATTCATTCATTCATTTTGACTGACTGCATGAAGAAGATCGCAGGAAATGACGACAGAACAGCTAAAAAAGACATCTCACACCGTGTCAGATTCTGGTTATTTTGGGGAGGTCGAGATAAATCATATTGTTTGGTGGATGCAGTTTGAACAGGGGAGCAGCATGGAGGTCGGATCGTCACCAAAATAAATAAATAAATGGCCCGAAACAGCTTAATGACAAAAACAATACACATCCTTCCTCAGGCAGTGTGTTTGCACTGGGGACAGGAGACACCCCCTTGATGAGAAACTGTAAGAAGTGAACGGGGAATCCCCCCGGTGTGGAGTCATGACGACTGGATCTGAATTATTTGTTTGTATTTGGTGGTTTGTGTCCCAGCTGTCGATCAGCTGTGCGCAGCCTCTCCACTGCAGCCTGTGCGTCTAAACCCCCCCACCCCCCCCCCCCCCCCCCCCCAGCAACCCTATATCCACCAGTTAAAGGAAATACAACTAATGTGTTGTGTTATATCAGCTGTATAATTTACCACATATGGTATTCTTAGTTTCCATACCTCCTGTGTTTTACGAGCGACTTATCAAGTCTTGGCAAACGGCATAAAACACGATTAAACGTGATAGTATATAAAACCATGCTCGTATCTACAACCTATAGAAATGCAACACGGCGTCAGTTTAGACGTAATTCTGTCCTCCTGCTTACCGCATCATTTATGAGAAAACATTTCATAACATTAACACAACATATTCCAGGTGGTTTTAAATAACATATCCGTATTTATTTATTTCTCCAAGTTATGTTTTTGTGTGCACTGAGGAGTCGCAAACAGGCGTTTGTTTAATCATTTTAAGATTGGCTTTAATCAATGTTTGAAAATGAATTCTTCATATGATAAATGAGAGGTAACATTTTATTTATGGTATTATTTCCACATATTTCTCTCCATTCTTCCTTCTGCCAACGGTGTCGCAGTTTCTCGTCTCTCCCGTTTTTGTGCTTAGTGCGAACGCATGGGTTAGAGTTTGCCTGGAGGACCGCACGTTTTCCAGTCAAGTTAGTATTTTATAAATCGCAAACATTGCGTAGAAACTGGCGTACGCCATTTTTTGAGCGTATATCGCTTTATAAATGAGGCCCTTGGACACAGTTTGCACCTCACATTCCTGTCTATTCTTCGGACGAACTCAAAAAAATGGGCATACCTCCACCCCTCGAAAGTTATCGCTGACTCAGCCATGTTTATGGAGCGTTTAAATGGATATTTGTGAGGAATGTATCAAATGGGTTTTTTAACGTAGCAAACTTTATTAATCCTCCCATTCATATCAAAGCAGATCTAGCATTGAGCTAGCAATTATCAATATAAATGGCTTACCAATCCGTGTATCTACCGTCCATTTGTTTTTTCTTTATTAAACACGTAAATGGAAGAGCGTTCGAGAGACTTTTTGCTTTTTACCTTACTAAATAGAGAACCGCAGTGACGCGTCGTAAAACCCGGAAGTAAGGTAGCATTTTTAGCACTTCCGGTTCTTTCGTCAAAAAGCAATGCATTTTCTCCATAGGGTTTTGGAAAATAGCTCGAAATAAGGTCTGTGGTTGACACAAATTTAAGAGATAAATCACGTTTTGTTCTACGACATTAAATACATCCGCAGTGACCCCACTGGTGATTTTTGAAGAGTTTACGTGTCTGAAAAACGATGGTTGTTACCGAGTGGCTGAATAGGACAACAGAAATTGTCGAGGCCGTTGTACGTCATTACGCCTAACACGTAAACACTCGCGCTAAATTTGTTTCCCCCTGTGTTCTGCTTGAAAGCAAGTACCTGCCTATCTTTAGTATCTGTATATCCAGGCCCGGACTGACCATCGGGAGGACCGGGAGGTTTCCCGATGGCCTGGCCTGTTAAGTGGTCTGCTGGCCTGAGGATTTATTTTTATTTTTTATGTATGTATGTATTGTGAACGCAACGCTGCGCAAATGTGGGTCTGACTCTGCCTCACAGAGGGTGACTGGCTGTCTACATGATGTGGCCTGCCGACATGGCCACTTTCATACAGATCATACTAATGCCCTCGATTGGTCTCTGTTTGTGTCATTCAAGCTCGGGAGGGTGTGTGAGGGTGTATGTGTGGCGCGAGCGACTGAGATAAAGCGCGCGCGCCGGTTACGTGTATTGTTGTTGTTAGCATCTGGTGCTAGCTAGCTGAGCTAACGGATATAAGGAGCTTTTTCAACAACAAGGTGGAGGAGAGTCCTCTCCTGTGAGACTGAGAGACTGATAACTACAGCTCAGGTGAGGTAAATTACTCTCTGAGTACTTAGATAGTTAACTTAGTCTAAGTTCTCAGTGGGTCTCAAACGGTTTGGTCACCATTTATGTAAACACATATTTCCATTTGAGGGGGGAGTGATTAGCAAAATATGCATGAATAATAATTTTAAAAAAACGTTAACTAGGTGAAAAAAGGTAAGATAAACTATTAAAACTTGTTGAGAGCTAAAACTAGTCTTTGCTTCTGCCTCAAAGAGGAGCAGGAGGGAGAGGAGGGAGACAGGTGAGGCTGGTTCAGGAGCACAGACACACTCACAACTATAAATGAACCAAAAACAAATAAATAAACAAGCTTCAATGTTTTTTCATATTGGATATGATATGTTATTGGTTATGGCCATAGACTGTATATATAAAGGTTATGGCCATGTTTTTATGATTATTTAAATGTATACAGTTATGTTTCATATGGGTGTAGTCTCTTTATTTCCAGATTGATGCATTTAAGTCCAACATTTTAAAAAAAATCTTACCGGGGGAGCATGCCCCCGACCTCCCTATAGGATTTGAGGTACACCCCCACTTAAAATATGTTCACAGGTTCCTAAATAGATTTGCACATTTTTTTAAATAGTAAATGTTTATTTTTGGGTAGATTTAGAGGGCTATCACTACAGGCAGCAACGCTGTAACAATTGACAAATAGATCCAGCAAAATGGCACAAAAAACTGGTAGTGGCCTAGCTGGGTGTATAATTCCCGGTCTGACTTATTGTCCCAGTCCGGCCCTGTGTATATCTATATCTGACCATTAGAATCTGTATTTTTGAAATTGTCGTTTTTAACACCGTAGTTTTACAAATTATAGTGTAGTAACTCACAGGAGGCTGCTGGTGAGCATAGTGGAGTTTATTGGTTTCTGGTAGCGCCGAACTGCGACTCCGGTTCACCACATACTTAGCATAACAACATAGCTCCCAGGTCCTCTTCTATGCTTATGGAACGGCAACAACTTAAATGTCACAGTGCCACCTAGTGGACTGGTGAACTAACATGCAATGATATGATCTTACAACATCCCCTTCCCTTCAAGCAGGTTATATACATCCAACAGGAACATTGTAACACTGTAACATTTTTTTATTTTTTTTATTAAAACTAACAGGTGACTCACAACCTCACAACAGTATTATCTATTCCCTTCTTAGCTCAGCTGGAAGTCTTTAAGGTAACTGGGTAACTTGGTCTCTCTTTTTGACTGTCTCTTCCCTGGACTTGTATTTTCCACAGTTCCATGGACCCTCTCTGCTGCTGCAGCTTCTGTAGCTGCTGGCTCTTCCAACTCGTCCCCACTGAGCACCACATTCTCAACGTCCTGCCATGTCTCTCTTTTTTTGGCTGCCTGACTTAGCTGAGTCGAGTCAGTCTGTTGTCTTTCATGGTCTTTTTCTGGTCTTTGGTGGTGAGCATGAATCTGGTCCACATGTCTCCTGACTACTCTCCCATCACCCAGCATCACTTTATATGACACTGGCCCTGTCACTGACTCTATGATTCCTGGAATCCACTTGGGTCCAAGACTGAAGTTTCTCATCAGCACTGAGTCACCTGTTTTGAACCAGCGCCCCTTAGCCTTTTTGTCATGATCTCTTATTTGTCTTTCCTGCTTTTCTTTCACCTTCATGCACAGATCTGGATGAATTTAATCCAAACAGCAACGTAGCTTCCTCCCGAGAAGCAGCTCTGCTGGTGACAGACCTGTTGTAGTCTGAGGAGTCACACGATAACTAAATAACACTTTGGCTACTTTGGCTGTCAGTGTGCCTTCTGGACATTTTTTCATCATCCTTTTAAATGTCTGTACCCCTCTCTCTGCTAACCCGTTACTAGGGTTGGGAACCGAAACTCGGTTCCAGATGAGAACCGATAAGAAAATGCCGGGTACCGGGTACCCGTACAAAATACACCTTTTCGGTTCTGCTTAACGGTTCCTAAACGCGGTAGACCCTGTATTCCAGCGGGTCCGTCTGTACCGCGGTGACCCGGTGGAATACAGGGCGGACCTGGAGAATCACAGAACGGCCGGTCGTCAGCGGGCCGTTGACGGCTGGCTCGGTACGCTGATGGCCGGCACCGCCCTTAATTTTTTTAAACGGCATCATGTAAGTTGCGCTGACAGGCGACAGAGGTCCACAGTTGCCCCGCAGCGAGGCTCCCCCCGCCCTGCCGTAGACAGTTCACAAGCTCAGTCACTTCATAACACCAAAGATGGGTCGCGGTAAACGCTCTGAAGTGAGGCTCCACTACACTAAAAAATAAAAAGACAATTGGGCACAGTGTTAATAGCTTGCCACAGGCATAGCTCAGTTAAAATAAAGCACAGCTATTGTGCAATACATTTGTATTGCATGTATATTTTTTATTTGTAACAATTTCAGTTAAAGCTGAAAAGAATAAAGATATTTTTGTTATCTAAACGTTTGACCTCTTTCTTTTACAATTTTGGAATCGAAACGGGGAATCGATAAGAATCGGAATTGATAAGCAGAACCGGAATCGGAATCGATAAATTTCAAACGATACCCATCCCTACCCGTTACTGGAGGCGTGATAGGGTGCCGAGGTCACATGACGGATACCATTTATTTTCAGAAAATCTTCGAACTCTGTGCTGATGAAACAGGTGCCATTATCAGACACCAACAATTCAGGCAGTCCATGGTTACTGAAACTGGTACGCAGGCACTCAATTGTAGTGGCTGAAGTGGCAGAATTGACTGGACCATCCATTTTGAGTGTGCATCGATGAGCACAAAAAACATCTTCCCCATGAATGGCCCAGCATAATCCACATGAATACGACTCCAGGGCTTATCAAGCCAATCCCAGGGGTGTAACGGAGCTGGTGCCGGAACATTTCGGTGCTCTTGACATGTTATACAGGACTTTAGGGCTGCACGGTATTGAAAAAAACTGACATCGCGATTTCCCCCCCCCCCACCCCCTGCGGTATATATTGCGTTTTTTTTAAACCTGTTAAACCCCAAAGTCCCGGCGGGTAGGCTACTTTACTTTTTTTTTCACGACAGTGTCTCAGGGGATCGTAATATTTAAAAACCTATTAATGTGTTATACCAGATTAACGGAAATAATCTCAGCCAATTGACGATACAAACCATTTTTACCAAAACAAAACACAAGTCTCATAAGAAGCATCTAAATGACCCCTGAGCGAAAAATGCTAACGCACTTTGGCACAGAACTCAAGATAAAAGTACCCTTATTATTACTTATCGTAGCTGCACTTACAAGATATCCGATTAAAGCTGAGGTTCCACAGATTATTTAGGTATATAGTATCATCACTGAGTGATCTGAACTCGGACAGGGGAAGCAAACACAGACATCACAACACGTACCTTTACGTAGCTTCTAGGGGAGATGTCTCACCGTAGCTGTCAATCTGATCAAAAGACGTGTTCAATGGCATTAAAACGAGAAAGAAAAAACGCGGCTGAATCGGTTAATCCATAGGTTTTTAACGTCTCTGTATAAAAAAATGATTTAATTTATAATCCATAATTCCATTTTTATGTAAATATCGCAGAGCAAAAGTTAGCTGCTAATGGTAGCCACCAGAGTGGCTGCTGCTTCCGGTCTTGGCTATGCGGAAGTCTCACACACACACATTACCAAATAAGGACTGTGTGATTTCCCCTCGATTCCATTGGCTCTGACGGTCAGAAAGAGATGTCACATGTCAAAATCCAGCAAGGTGGGCCAGAGATATGGAAAATCCACCCAAATGGCTACCATTAGCAGCTAACTTTTGTCCTCCGATTTTTATATAAAAATGGAATTATAGATTATAAACAATTGCTTCAAAGCCACAGATACATTATCAACCTATGGATCAACCGATTCAGCCGCGTTTTTTCTTTCTCGTTTTAATGCCATTGAACACGTCTTTTGATCAGATTGACAGCTACGGTGAGACGATCTCCCGTAAAAGCTCCGTAAAAGGTACGTGTTGTGATGTCTGTGTTTGCTTCCCCTGTTGCGAGATCGGATCGCTTAGATACTATACTTAAATAATCTGTGGAGTGTCAGCTTTAATCGGATATATTGTATGTGCAGTTTCGATAAGTAATAAGGGTATCTTTATTTTGAATTCTGTGCTAAAGTGCGTTAAAAAAAATGTTTTTAAATGAATAAAACCGCACGTCCCTGCGGTGTGAATACCGCGCATGCGCATACCGCGGTTATCGCCATGACACGGTATATCGTTCAGCCCTACAGGACTTGACAGTATCCTCTACATCAGGGATCACCAACTACATTTGTCCAAGGGCCAAAATGTATCCAATAGACACTATCGCGGGCCAGCGATTTTTATATAGCCCAGCATTTTGAAGTGGGGGGGGGGGGGGGGTGCTAGTGGAGCACGCTCAGGTGCTGTGGACCGCATAAAGCTTAGCAGACTCTTCACGCTAACGAAGGATCACTTCTAGGCAGGGTTGGGAGGGTTACTTTGTAAATGTAATCAGTTACTGAATACATGCTCTGAAAGTAATCAGAATACAGTTACAGTTACGTGTCTTAAAAAAGTATTCAGATTACTTTTAGAATACTTTTGGATTACTTTCTTTTTCCATAACAGATGGGTATGTTTTGGTGAACAGGAGACACGTATTTTACTGTTTTCATGGCTTATCAAGAACTCAAACACAACATCTTGGTGTCATTCTGGACAGCTCCCTCTCATCTGCACCCCACATAAAAAACATCACCCAGACTGCATTCTTTGTACTGTCTTAAAACCTTTCCTTGGAATATGTTATGAATTGTAAGGTGTCCTTGGGTGCTTTGAAAGGCGCCCCTAAATAGAATGAATTATCATTATTATGTATTATCTGAAACGATGTAATAACTTTTAAAACTTTTTCCAGTCACTAGCCCCATGCCTTCAGCAGCAGCAGGCCATTCACTTTGATTTGATCCCGTTATAAATGTCATCATCTCGACAATAAAGAAATGCTACATAAACGTTATCTTGCACATTTTATCGAACCATCTAACGATACTGTGTCTCAGGGGATCTTAATATTTAAGAACCTATTAATGTGTTATACCAGATTAACGGAAATAATCTCAGCTAACTGACGATACAAACCATGTTTACCAAAACAAAACACAAGTCTCATAAGAAGCATCTAAATGACCCCTGAGCGAAAAATGCTAACGGACATTGGCACAGATCTCAAGATAAAAGTACCCTTATTACTTATCGTAGCTGCACATACAATATATCCGATTAAAGCTGAGACTCCACAGATTATGTAGGTACATAGTATCATCACTGAGTGATCCGGACTCGCGACAGGGGAAGCAAATACAGTCATCACAACACGTACCTTCACAGAGCTTCTAGGGAGATCGTCTCACCGCCGTAGCTGTCAATCTGATCAAAATACGTGTTCAATGGCATTCAAATGAGAAAAAACGCGGCTGAATCGGTTAATCCATAGGTTTTTAACGTCTATGTATAAAACAATTATTGAATTTATAATCCATAATTCCATTTTAAATCGGAGAGCAAATGCTAGCTGCTAATGGTTGCCACCACAGCTAGCTGCTGCTTCCGGTCAAGCAGCAGTCTCAGTGAGATATAAATATATAAATATCTTTGCGTTTTGGGCTAACTTTAAAATATTCCCATGCTTTTGAAGACCTGGGGCGAGATGTTTTCGTTTGAGGGCTTCGTGCGCAATCCTGTGAGGAGGAGTTGGTAGCCGTTTCAGTCTCCATTGTGTTAGAAGTGCGATTGCGAACTGCTTGTTGCTTTGGGTGACCCACGTGTGTGTGGCGTCATACAGTCTATGGTGGCGACGCGTCGACGCGGAAATATGTCGTCGACGATATTTTGAAGTCGACGCGTCGCTACAGCACTAGATGCGTCACATGATAGCACAATGTATGAGGGGCCGTACAGGCCATAATTCATACTGGTCCTCTCACGCACATACATTCTCCTTTTACATACATACATTCTCCTTTTACATACATATATTTTCACTCTTACATACATACATTCTCCTTTTACATACATACATTTTCCTTTTACATACATACATTTTCACCCTTACATACATACATTCTCCTTTTACATACATACATTTTCACTCTTACATACATACATTCTCCTTTTACATACGTACATTTTCACTCTTACATACATACATTCTCCTTTTACATACATATATTTTCACTCTTACATACATACATTCTCCTTTTACATACATACATTTTCACTCTTACATACATACATTCTCCTTTTACATACATATATTTTATAATATGCATGTCTGAAGAGAATATATGTATGTGAGAGAAGAATGTATGTATGTGTGAAGACAATATATGTATGTGAGAGAAGAATGTATGTATGTGTGAAGACAATATATGTATGTGAGAGAAGAATGTATGTATGTGAGAGAGAAAGTATAGTGGAAACGGAAGGAGTATGGTTGAAACGGAAGGCAGGTCATTCTTGCGCTGTGATTGGCTCAGAAGGTCGAGCGGGGCGGGCTCATGTTCAGAACTTCTGATTCAAATCAACATGATGGAGGGAGAGGGTTAGGGTTAGATGACTCCGTGTATCTACGGACCACTTGTTTTTCTTTATTAAACAAGTAAACGGAAGAGTGTCTGCGAGGCGTTTTTGTTTTTTACCTTACTAAATGGTCTAATGGTCATTGTAGCGAGGGGGGGGGGCGATACTCGCGGAAGTGATTTCAAAACAAAAGCACTCGTTTGCTTGGAACGTTGAACATAATTATTAACAAGGGGAAACAAGGTGAATTTAGCGATCACAACGAAAACGGCCAAGACACACATTGAGCCCAGAAAATGAATGTTATTAAGGCTGTAAATATAATAAGCATGTGTCTAAAATGGACAACATTGTTAGGAGA